CCTATAGAATCGTTTAACAATACCCCTCTTATCCCCATTGAAAAAATCCGATTCCTAGGACTTCACCTAGACAAACGTTTAACTTGTAATCATCATACCAAACTAAAACGACAAGTAACCGCTTCTAATTACTTACAAAAGACTCATATATATGATTATAATAAGGCCTATTTGGATATACGAAGTTACACTTTGGAGCTCCACTATACCATCGAATTCCTCTCGTATCCAATCCAAAATCCTTTGGATAAATCAAATCATACATAACGACCTTAATGGTCCATATATTTCGTAATCCAGATAACTATCCTTCCATAATAAACTTCAGAACCATCCTAATCCGCTCATTTGTAACCTTGATTCCTCTTTGATCCCTGATAACCCTACCAGACGATTGAAAAGAAAATGGCCTTGTGATTTCCTAAATTAAAAGTTTTATTTTGACAGATGACATAAAAATAAAGAATATTTCATCTGTAATTTTTTGCAAGGTGAAATCTGCATAAAATACTTTGAGATTATTTACTAAAGAAAATTTTACAAACCTTCTCCGATCCTGTAACACTAAAAACATAAATTCAACAGAATCGTATGTAAAAATTATTTTATAAATAATATCGATTCCTATATTCCTTCGTACTATTCGATCTCCTAAATTATAGAACCGTTTAAATGGATTCGGAATAAGAATTTGTTAATTTGGAGACAAAATGCATTTAGTTTTCTAAAATTTATCTTCTGTTACAGAGGTAAAGGTAGACAAAATTCTATGCTTTTTACGATGGTGAATTCATTAAACCCAAAATGATTTTTACATATCATTCTTTTAATGCATATTTAGATAGTTTATACAATTTTTGTTTGTTTATTTAATTTCAAATAAAGATTCTTTACAAGTTGGTCAATTTTTGACTGATATAATTTTAATTGTTTGTCTCATCCATAAATCTTTTATGAAACATTCATAAAAATATACAATAATATTGTAAACAGCATATTGTTGAACATAATCAATTCAATTGTACAGCATGACTTGGCTTTTTACATTTAATTTATGATTATTTTTTCATTATATTTTTATGTAATTATTTTATTGTGTGTAGATCAGATTGAGATTTATTTTAATGTTTTGATTTAATAATGTTCATTTTTTTTAATTATAAAATTAAATAGTTATAATTATAAAATGAAATGAAGTTTAATTATATAATTGTTATTATAAGTGTATAGAATCGATAAATTCAAACTTAATTGTTTCACAAATCAATTTTTACATCTGCCCCCTTTATCTGACTTACTATCTGTCTTTATGTATTATTTCTTAGGGATACTTTTTTTCGGTGAGTCATACTTAAAAAAAAAATCCATCAAACCCAATGACTGAGCGTAATTATTTTGAAGATTACGTTTTCCACTTGTGCCGTAAAATAGTAAATGTCTACAAAAAATAAAATAAAATGATATAATTATAAGGAAAATAAAACTTTATTTTCCAAAACTCATAATTATACAATTTCAAGTTAGTTATACGAAGGATGATTTGAAAGTTTTCTAATCTACCTAAAAAAATGAAAAAACAAAATCATGAAAATCTGACTATTGTTGGGAAAGATACTGTCTGTGTTCAATTTTGTACAGACGTTTTGGTTTGTTATTTTTCAATAAAAAAGATCCTCTTTTTTTAAGGTTTATTGAATTTACGTATTTCCGTACTATATTTTGAGGAATTTATTTTGCGTATTATTCGCTAGGGCCAAGTAGTAACTCTTATTTGGGGATATCGAACTTTTCAGAAATGATTGAGGTGTGCAATCTCCTTCGATATCCTCGAAGGATCTCAAATCCTTCTTATACCATCCGACAGGATGATCCTGCAAATTCTGATTGGATGTTTACTATCTCGAAGTACAATGGGCTTTCTCGACTCAAATCCTATTACTTGATTCTCAGTGTCATCTTTTTAGGAGCTCAGCAGAAACTTTATTATTAATATTTTAATATACAATATTAATAATTTAACCTAAAACATCTCAAGAAAAATAAGTCATTTTTATTCCTCAATAAGGCTGCTAGGGGCTTTATGTTTTTGTTTTGTTTTTTTTTTCATAAAAAAACTTGTTTTTCCTTATCTTTGGATTTTTTTTTAGATATGGAACTTCTTATAATTAAAAATTTGGAATTTACCATTAGCCTATAATAGATTATATGCATGCTATTGGAATGTCTGCTATTCATTTTAGGGCTTGAAAAGGCAGTAAGGGATTCGAAAGTTTTCCATAGGGCACTTTTATATGAGCTACATCTCTAACGCTTGTCGTTTTGCAATTCCATTAACATAAGTTTACACAATTCATTCTTCTAGGAATTGAAAGTAATTTCGTGAAAAGCTAAAACATCTCAAGAATGGTTTTCATTCGCTAACGTTTTTTTGTTTGTTTTTTTCTTTAAAAACTTGTTTTGCTGGCCTAACGTTTGTCATCAGGCAGAAGTACTTCCACTGAATTTTCCCTTGAATTAAATAGAAAAAAAAATGTATTTACTTACTACCTTTGTTTAAAACACTTTTTTTTCTACATTAAAATAAGTAATTCAAAGTGCCATCTTACTTCACCTTTATTAAGTTATATTGTAAAGTATAATATTGTTTCTTCGATATGATAATGAATAATTAACGAGACTGGTTTAAGAATTAAGTTTAAGTTTATTTATATTTTAATTATAAGGATTGTAATTAATATTTGTTTTTTATAGGTGTTTATGTGTATTTAATCATAAAACATGTTATTGTATATTATCTTTGTCTGCTTCATGTATGAAATTGTTTGTATGTTTGTTTATATAAATAGTAATATTTTTTAATATTCGCTATTTAAATAAATAGCGAATATTGTTTACTGTTCATTCATTTTTTTTTTTTTTTTTGTAAACACTTTTGCTGCTTATTAGAAAAAACATTTCAATAATATATATCACATTATTGAAACCAATTTTAATTTTACAAATCAGCATATATATATATATATATATATATATATATATATATATATATATATATATATATATATATATATATATAGTTTTACGATATTTTCAATTGTTTGAAAATATTCACATTTTTTTCCTCTTCGGAATTTTTTCGAATGAAAACATATTGGAATAACATGCGGAAATATTTCTAGTATCAACGATATAAATATAGGAATGTTATTGAAAATTCCGGCGAATTCTTAGCAGAGCCTATTGTTTCGAACTTTTTTTAGCTTTGCTGTGCCATTGGTGTGTGTCAAATATGAGTTTGAATTTTATAAGTTTTTTATTGGATCCCTCGTTATAGCGTAGTTTGTTTTAAATAAAATAAATTTTTTTGAATTTCAACCCAGGCATGGAATTGACTTTACTCATTCTAATAAGGAAAACCGAGTTCAATTAATTCTGTGGGTTGGTTTCAGAAGGGCTATTGTTACTATTATTAATATAAATACGCAGCAAATGTTGCTAACGTTAGCGTTTAGAAATATATTGAACTTTCACCAAGTTTAACTTCACCTTAAAAAATATTTCTAGAAAGCCTTTATTTTCTTCAAAAATCTGAGCTAATATATTCCTAAAGTTTTTTCGACAGGAAAACATGATTTAATTTTTTTATTAAGATTGAATTTTTTTTCTGCCATTGCACTAAAAAGTGAAAATCTACATAAAACATTATATTACTTTTAAAGCTGAATAGGAGATGAAGCTATTAAATAATCTTTTAAAAAATTTTCCGAATCCAGGGTCAACACCTACGGCTGATAAAACAGAATAAATAATTTATCTGCCATGAGGTGGGATTCGAACCTGGAATCTTGAGCATTGGAAGCTCAGCGCCTTACCACTGAGCTACCACATTCCATATTGAATAACGATGATGCAAAATAATAATTTGATTTCATACATAAATACTTATTATCACCTTCATTATACACTCCTTCTCTATCCAAAAAACGCTCCATGCGTATCTTCTATTGATTGATACAGAGCTTGATGTCTTCTATCAGTTCCTTCACGACGGTTGCAGCTTTTTTTTATCACAGCTTGAACGTACTTAAATCTTCTTTTTTTTTAATGCTGATTGATGAATCGTGGTTTTTATTTATAATCCTGAAATGAAGCGTCATGAAATGTGCAAATCAAAGTTCAATGCAATAATGATTTTTTATATTCATGGGATTGTATTTCCCTGGGTTCCTTAAGGTCAAATTATTATTCAACATTATTACATTCACGTTCATGCTGAAAATGAAAGCGCCACGAGTTCTGAAGAAGATAATAGAAGCAGACTTTCAGCAGTATCAGATATGCGAGATTCGTTTAGAGCATTGTACGAATGGAGGAAGTGTGAATATTGAAGATGATAATAAGTAAAAATAGTCTCATCAAACTAGAAATAGTGATCCAATAGCTTTTAATGTCATTTGTTTTCTGTGCTTTTTTTTTAAGATTTTTTCCTTTGAGTTCTTTTAATTTTTATTTGAACGTATGTATGAATGTGATCTGAAGCAGAACTCTCACTTTTGAAAGATTGTTATTGAACTTTGTTTGTGGAAACGTTAATAGTACGAGCTGAGGCTGGCCGCCTCCGACAACCTGAAGGAAAATTACACGACGGTCGTTATCCACGTTAAGGATGTCAACGACAATCCGCCGGTCTTCGAGAGACCGACCTACAGGACGCAGATCACGGAGGAGGATGACAGGAATCTGCCCAAGAGGGTCCTACAGGTCGGAATCCAACTGAAAGATTGTCGTCTCCCCTCAAAAATAACTTCTTATCGAACGGAATCATTTTTTTTTTTTTTTTTTTTAGATTAATCTTCTTTGCTTAGTAATGATATTATATTATTTTGTTGGATTCCTTTCTATTAAGAAGTTGTTTCACGCAGTACAGAGTCGTTCTGAATTGCGCGATTGAGGGAGACGTTAGCACTTAGATGTGCATGTACCCTGCACGCCCTTGCCCCTGACATGTGTTAGTGTAGCATTTACTTTGCATGAGATAACTTGCAGTACGAGCTGAACCTGGTGGCCTCGGACAGCCTCAACGAGCAGTCGACCACGGTGGTTATCCACGTCAACGACGTCAACGACCTCCCGCCGGTCTTCAACTCCTCCACCTACAGGACCACCATGGAGGAGGAGCTCGGAGAGCCCCACCCCGTGCGCCTCCTCAAGGTACGTTGTCCCTTCATTCCTTCCATTCATAAATCGACCATTCATACACATCCATTCATTGAGCAGTTGTCTCCTTAAGAAAAAATCATGAATTCCATTACATTCCATTAAAAAAAAACACTTCTGAAACTGATAGTAGATACTGTTCATAGTAATGCCAATAGCGGCTTTATTCTGAACAAAATTGTGTAATTTTTTGTTTCTCTGAAACTAAGCATATCGTCTAGTCAACTTATAGTTTCTTCGGTAACAAATATCTAATAGTTTCAAAAATTCCTCTTTTGTTTTCTAATGGTATTTTTACTTGAATGAGACATGACGTTTAAAGCCAATTATCAATGAAATTTATTTTTTTTTCTCTCTTAAACTAGTTTTCATCGCTTAAACTACTGTCAAATATAAAAATCGTGTGTCGTTTGTTTCCAAAGTGAACCCTAATCGATTTTTTTCGGAAATCGAGGTAAGTATAGATTCATATGTAAAAAATTCTCATGAATGCAATAGTCCAATTAATTTTCTTCAACAACAAATCTACATATTTAAAAAAAATTGTATAAAGATAAATTTATTCCCGAAACCGGTTTTTTTTTTTTTTTTTTTTTTTCAAAGCATGCTAAGAAACTTGCATTTCTTAAGTATTCCTAAAAACGATAATTGTTTTGTACCATTACCATAAACAAAAAGTTATTTAATTTTTTTGTAGTATAATTTTTATCACTTTGATTCTCAAAACATACAGCATTTTTTGTTTGCAAACTAAATCCCAATTGACCATTTTGTTTTTTTGGTGAAAAAATTTTAATTGAATTTTCATTCTTTATATTCACTTTGGAAATAAACAACTTATTTGTTAGTCATCATAATTTTTTCTTGCATCCATAATTTATATCCCTTTATCATGTTGCGTTAATATATTTAGGAGAGAAAAACACCAATTTTTCTTCTCAATTGTCAGGTCATTTCTTCGTTGTTATGTTGCGAGAACTATTGTTCAGATCAAAATACTTAGATAAAAAACTGATTTATGTTTATTGAATGTGCTACAATGAAATTATTATATTTTGTTTTGTAGTATAAATCTCAGAACAAAATTTACGATTATGTAGTTATGTTCTTTGACACATGCATTTGTTGCAAATACATGATCATTCTACAATTATCAACACAATTTTTTTTAGTTGCATACATACAATTCTATTGTCTGAATAAAAATATTCTTAATAATGATACTAAGAAATTTCATCATATTTTTACTATGTAATCATAACCCAATATCATATTCTTAAGTGTAAATTCTGAATTAAATACATTATTTTTCTTCCTGCCTTAATAAAACAAATCCTAAATTACTCCTGACCTCTGTAATTTATAATTTATCTATGATCAAGCTGCAGTCTTCCTGTTGTCAATTTAGCGAAGCCTTCAACTAAGCTATGCTTTTTTAAAACTTATCTTAAAGGGAAATAATGAAATCTGTTGGTGTAAGTAGCTTAACACTGGACTACCATGTAATGTCTCATGATTATTAGTTACTAATCTTGCTTAATTGTCTAATTTGCTTTATCTGTGTATTAATCTTTTGTATATTAGGAAAGATTTTGGGTGATGGCCTTCTGGTGAAGGATCTGTTTATTACTAATAGTTTCTGGATTGCATATGTAGTTAAAAATTATTGTTATTTTTCAAAAATAGTCTTTTTTTATGTAGTCTTAAAACTATTTAATGTTAAAATATCCTTTTTTAAATTTGGTATTCCAAATATGTAGCCAAATGAAAGTTTATGTTTTTTCATTTGGATTACTTTTATCATTCATGTTGGTAGTATAATTTATTCAACTACACCTACTGATATGAAGGTTAGCAAATATTTCTAGGTTACTCCATTTCAGTAAAGTGACTAATATTGTATATGATCAAAGATATCTGTGCAAATGTGACAACTTTTCAAATGGGTCAAAAAAAGTTTGCTATATTTAAATATTTTGAATAAAAATGAGTGGGCTGTGCAAGGTGGTTTTCTCATACATTTTCTTATTTTACTCAACCTTTAAAAATGGTTAAAGAAGATTATATCAGTGATAGTATACAAATCATACCAATAAATCAGATGGATTGAGCATTTTTCTAACCAAACTTCAGACCAATCTCCAAAATAATATCTATAGGTTGAGAATCGTTCATCTCTGCTTTTCTCGTTTTCTTAGTCCTTATGGATTGCTGGACTTATTTATTACAACAATTTGATATTGTTTATTTTATCTCAGACAATGGAAAAACATTGCAAGTTGATTTAAAAAATAGTTTGATATGATTATTTTGTAATCGTTGGTATATTTAAAAATATAATAATCGTTGTCCATAACTTGCCAGTTTTACAACTGATTCTAAACCATAAAAGATTGGAAACCTCTGCTATGAAGGATACTATATAACTTTTGATACCCTCTTTTTCAATGTTCGTCTATATAAAAATCCTACAAAGTAAAAGATGAATTCAGCTTTGAGCAATGAAAACATGACGATGTAGCCCTTTTCCAAATTTATTAAATTTCAGGAGTTGTCAGAGTAAGACATTAGAGAGCGCTCTGCTTGAGAGAAGAAGGGCTGGTGAGTAAGTACGGTGAATGCCCATGCACATAGCTTAGCCCTCAGCATGGACCTAAAATATTCAAAGCATGGATCTCATAATTTTATTCTCACTTTAACTCCAGTTACGATATTTTCAGTTTTAGCCTTATACTTTTTTATTTATTTTCTTATTTTATTCTATGCACGGTATGCCTAACTGCAAATGCTTTTTATATATAACATGTTAAAAAATCATTTTTATTTCCTGTTCACTCACTTAACACATTATAATTCCCCCACCTGAAAATGAAATGTTTTAATTTTAATCCTGTTTATTTTTATTTATTTGTTTATAACTCGAAATCCTTATACCATACTATATTTAAATTGTTCATAATTCAATATTATTAAACCTCAATCAGTCAGTGAAAAATGACAATGGTTTATTTATTTTATTGTTTTGTAAATATACATTTAGTAACTTTTTTATATTGCTTTTTATGTTAGTATTAGAATTATCATTTTTATCAACTCAATGGAATGGATTATACAAATGTGTGTAGATATATACATATATGTATATTTTAATTTTCAAATTTAAGAATAAGTTCCATGTTCATTGATTAGGCATGTATGTAAAAAGGCTACTTTGTTCCTTAGAATCTTTTATTTCAGATCTTGATTTGTTCCCTCCATAGCCCGTGGTATAGACCCCTTTTTATCCAACTATTTATAACATCTGCCTGAAACTTAGTAAATAGATTTATCTCATCGTAACCTACAAACATTTTATTAACGCTAATTCTCGGAAGTTGGCGATTTTCAATCTTATCACAGCTTATCTCACTGTTTATCTATTATCTTATCTGTTAATTATATCTCATTATAAGTTTATAGCCTTTTTACTATTGTCTTAAATTACTTTATTATATTCTTCCCATTTTTATTAAATTAATTAGCTGTACATTTTTATTGAAAGATAATTCTTTTGGATTTGATTTGCTATTAATAGTTATTTTGACCTCAAAATTTAAAAAAAAAAATTTTTTATTAGAGGAAGTTAAAGTTAAAAATGAATCAATGAATATTACTTTTGTTTCTTTGAAAATTTACAGTTAAAATACTGTTTTTAAATTAAATTCTTCATTGAAATAATATTAGTTAGACTACAGATTTTCAACATATGAAGTTTCATGGCAAAAGGATAAAACCAGTTTTGTTTTTTTTTTCTTTAATTATTAAAGGTGGCTATAATTTTCATTAATTCACCACTAAAAAATTGTTTGAAATCATTTTAATTCAGATGATAATTTTGAAATTATGATTATTAGTTCAAATAATAAATAATTGAATCACAAATAATTTCTACTTTAATCAATCGGTTAATAATAATCATTAGTAACCAATATAGTTTCTTTTTTCTTTTCGAATATTTTACTCTGGTAATAAATCATCTATTCAAGTTGAAAGCAACTATTCAAATAACTAGAAATTTATATTTTTGATGAACATTCACCTGCCTTTAACTTCTTAATTTTCTTCAAAGTACTTCTTTGCAGAAAAATAAATTAATCTTTTTCAATAAGTAAATTGGATTATCTACTGTTGTTAGAAGTAGTTCATAAAGTAATTTTCTATTTTATTTAATGCAACTTATTAATTAATTTATTGAATTGTTGTTTAATATGCCACATTCTGCTTTTTACTAATTACATATTAAAATGTATTAGTTTTTTATTCCCTCAGTTTGATATTTTCATATTATATCAGTAAAAGATCTGTCCATGCAAGCTCATATGTACCTCCTTAATATTACATATTGGCTAATTTAATACCTCTTTACTGTTTCAAACTATTGTTTATTTGAATTTGTGTAAACCTGTAGGTGACAGCGACAGATGGTGACAAGGACAGACCCCAAAACATTGTCTATTTCTTGACGGGTCAGGGTATTGACCCAGATAACCCTGCAAACAGCAAGTTCGATATTAACAGAACAACAGGAGAAATATTTGTGCTCAAGGTGAGAAATTTATTTCTATTTTATTTATTTATTTTACATTCTACTTTTGTTCTCCATATTTTATATAAATATGGTAAATTAAGATTCTATTTTAAGGATTTTGTGATCAGTTTTTGACTTTTTTTTTTTTAAATATATTTCAGCCTCTAGATCGTGATCAACCAAATGGACGACCTCAGTGGAGGTTCACAGTTTTTGCACAAGATGAAGGTGGTGAAGGTCTGGTGGGTTACGCAGATGTGCAAGTTAATCTAAAAGATATTAACGATAATGCTCCCCTTTTCCCACAAGGAGTTTATTTTGGCAATGTTACTGAAAATGGAACAGCTGGTAAAATATATATATTTTTTAAAGTATTTTTTTAGAGTCCATATTTCTGTTCAGCTTTTTAATTCTTTTTCATTTAATAATATCAATGTTTTGTTAATTTATTTTTCAAGAAATAATTTGCTTTACCAAATTAATAATTAATTTTAAAAAATTATTCTCTAGGAGAATTTAGGACTAATTTTTACATTTCTAGTTACTTTTAACATATAGTGCATCAAGATTTTTTTTTAAATCAGCTGATAAGTATGTAAATACCGGTTGGTATTGAACAGACCGTTATATTATTGGTTAAAAGTTGTTATGTTAGTAATGACATAAGTAATAATGTTTAATTTAATTAATTCTAACAGGTTTGTTTTCGTTGATTTATATTGTTCTTATTAATTTATTTTGTTATCTAATGCCATTGCAATTCTTACAGATTAATAAAAATCAGTTGTTATTACTTACATGTTTACAAACATAACAACTTCTAACTAATAATATAATTGTCTATTCAATACATTTCTTGAAATAGTTTTAATAAAAAAACTGTCATCTTTTACATTTTTCAACATTTATAAATATAAATATCGATAGGTTTCATAATAATTTTATAAGTAGACTTTTTGACTAGTAGAAGTTGAGGAATCCTACTATAAAACATAGTAATAAAACATTGTTACGCTATTCTTTTGAACTCCATCGTCATTACTAACAATTTTTTTTTTTTTATTGAATCAAATAATATCTATATAAATTAAATAAACATCTAGTAAATGTTTACAGAGAAATACAATAGCATGAAAATAAATGTAGATAATCTACCCGCTACTGGCACACTAATAACTAACAAATTTATTTTCAAAACAGGAATGGTGGTTATGACTATGACTGCTGTAGACTACGATGACCCACAAGAAAGCACAAATGCCAGATTGGTATATTCAATAGAAAAAAATGTAATAGAAGAGGAAACTGGATCTCCAATCTTTGAAATAGAATCAGATACAGGAGTTATAAAAACCGCTGTATGCTGCTTAGACAGGGAAAGAACTCCTGACTACTCGATACAAGTAGTTGCGATGGATGGAGGAGGGTTGAAAGGTATGATACATAATGTTGCATTCTTAAACCTTTTTTAGAATTTAAAATAAAATTGATTAAGGTTATTTAATTGTTTCATTATTTTTTTTTCAGGAACGGGAACGGCATCGATACGAGTAAAAGATATCAACGATATGCCGCCTATGTTTACGAAAGATGAATGGTTCACAGAAGTTGATGAAACTGACGGAGTTAACCTTCCTGAAACACCAATTCTTACTGTTACTGTGCATGATGAAGATGAAACGAACAAGTTTCAATATAAGGTATAATAATAAATTACAAGTTTACAGAAATAAATTCTCCTTAACCTGTCATTGATGAAGCCAACAGAATGTTCTTATTTTAGAAATTAATAATTATTACAAAAACCAAAATAATAATTTTATAAAAATGAAAATAACACCTAATAGCATTCATTAAATTAACGAACCCAAAAAATATTTTATTTTTAAAGCTGGGAAATAAATTGTAGTTAATGTTAAAAGAATGACAGATAAGAGAGGGTTAATATTACTTAATTTAAAAAAATATATGTTTGCTCAACGTTTAATCTAATCATTTATTCTGAAGGTCATTGAGAACAGTGGTTATGGAGCAGACAAATTCACCATGGTTAGGAACAACGATGGAACTGGTTCTTTGAAGATTGTACAGCCACTTGACTATGAAGACCAGCTTCAAAGTAATGGCTTCAGGTTCAGGATACAAGTCAATGATAAAGTGAGTTCATTATTATTTATTTAAGTGTAGATTCGAGTGTATACTGTTACAATTTATTACTTGATATGAATATTGAAGTTTAGAAAATGCATTTATGTATCATCTGTTAGTATATATGTTTATAATTTTGTATGTATTGTGTAGGGTGAAGATAATGACAACGATAAATATCATGTCGCATATTCTTGGGTTGTTGTTAAACTAAGGGACATAAACGATAATAAACCTCAGTTTGAAAGACCTAATATTGAGGTGTCAGTTTATGAAAATGCTGAAGTTGGTAAAGCATTGGAAACTTTCAAAGCAAGTGATCCTGATCAAGGTGGAAAAAGTAGAGTTTCATTTGGTATTGACCGAGCCTCAGATAGAAGGAGGCAGTTCTTAATCAGTCAAGAGGGAACAGTTACGATACAGAGGCAACTTGATAGAGAAGAAACGCCAAGGCATCAGGTATTCCTCATTCAAATATAAACATTGATTCTGATAAATAATCTTACAAAATAAATATTGATATTTTATCTAATATAATATATATTTTTTAATATCTTGTATTATTTAGACTGTATCTTTATAGTTCTCTTTTAAGATTTATTTATTTTTCTGAAAATTATGTTGATTTTATTAATTTGAATTGCTATATCTATTCTATTTAGTTTTCACGATTTTAATTATTTGTTGGTGATAAGTATATCCATTAGAGAAAAAAAAGACAATTTTGTTAGTAAAAAAGTGAGAAGAATGATCTTTACTCCATGAAAAATTACTACAATTGAAATTTTTCAGGTTAAAATATTGGCGATTGATGATGGAGTACCTCCTAAAACAGCAACGGCCACTCTTACAGTCATTGTTCAAGACATAAATGATAACGCACCTATGTTTTTGAAAGAATATCGTCCTGTTCTTCCTGAGCATGTTCCACCAAGAAAAGTAGTAGAAGTTTTGGCTACTGATGATGACGATCGATCCAAATCGAATGGTCCCCCATTTACCTTCAGAATGGATCCTAATGCAGACGATATTATCAGAGCTTCTTTTAAAGTTGAGCATGATCAAAGTAAGTAATCAACGTCCCTTTTTAAAAATTCTTTTCATATCTATGTTACAAGTTATATATAGCATCAGCAGTTTTATTTTATTTTTTTATTTTTTATTTTATTTTTTTGGGTCCTGCCCTTCCTCGCCTTTAAGGCTATACGGAATTTTCCCGGGCCAGAGGGTGTGGACGGGGATTTAAAAGACTCCTCCGGCACCGGGATGCGAACTCGTGACTATTTTTTTATCACTTTATCTTACATCAGATTGCCGGGCAACGGTGGTTCTGTGCACATGCGTTAGCCCATTCAGCTACCCCGCCCACCTAGCATCAGCAGTTGTTCTTAAACTTGTACTCTTGGAAGTATATTAAAACACTTCTATATGAGAGAAGTTCCTAAATTTTCTCGTTGAAGGTCTGTTCCCCTCACTTCCATTTTATTTTATTTTCACTAAGCATATTGAATTAGCATTGGTAAAATACGTAACAAGTTAATAAATTCTGTTATTTGCATATTCTGAGTGCAAACATAAAAACGTTGATTTGATATTGATAAAAAAAATAATAATGTATAAAAAATTTCTTACTTCTTTCCAGAGGGTGCCAATGGAGATGGGATGGCTGTTGTATCATCATTGAGGTCCTTTGACAGGGAACAACAAAAAGAATATGCAATTCCTATAGTTATAAAAGATTCCGGAAACCCTGCTATGTCAGCTACGAGTACCCTTACAGTAGTGATTGGCGATGTAAATGATAACAAAATGCAACCTGGCTCAAAAGATATTTTTGTATATAATTATATGGTAGGTGACATTGAAATTTTTGAGGTATACAGTTGATACAACATTTCTGTTTCAATAGTAGCAGACTTCACAAATTTTTTTTTCATCTTAGGGACAGGCACCTGACACCGAGATAGGAAGGGTTTATGTATATGACCTTGATGATTGGGATCTGCCCGACAAGAAGTTTTATTGGGAAAGTTCAGATCATCCAAAATTTAAACTGAATGAGGATACCGGAATGATAACTATGAGACATGGCACAAGATCTGGAAGATATCACCTTAGGTTTGTAGACATAGTCAATTAAGAAGTAAAATTATTATTTCTATTTGTTTTATTTATTTATTTTTTAAATCATTGTTAAAAATGTGGTACTTCTCTTAGTTCCGTAAAAAACTATTTTATTTTTATAAGAAACTTATTTTTCTCTACAAATTTAGCGTTTTTATATGTTTAAAAAATAAAATAAAACATATTATTTTTCTTATCTAGCAACCAACTATCTTTTCTAGTAAATTTATTAATTAATCATAAATTATATCGCACTTAGGAATTCATTCTAATTTTTATTTTATTTAAAGGTTCAAGGTTTATGATCGTAAACACACACAAACAGACATTCCAGCAAATGTAACCGTAACTGTTAAAGATATACCTCATGAAGCAGTTGTTAAGTCTGGATCAATGAGGATAGCTGGAATCTCTGATGAAGATTTTATTAGAATATGGAATTACCGGGTAGGTTTATAAAATTAATTTATTCTTCATTCTTTTTGAGGAATTAATAATTTTGAAACTATATTCCATATACAAATATTTTTTGTTTTTTTCAGCCTCAGAGAATAGTCCAGAGTAAATTGGACAAATTGCGAGAAAAATTAGCTGATCTTTTAAATATAGAGAAGGAAAATGTGGACATATTTTCTGTTCAGTTGCGTAAAAGATATCCTCCAGTGACTGATGTCAGATTTTCTGCCCATGGTTCTCCTTATTATAAACCAGTCAAACTAAATGGTATTGTTTTGATGAACAGAGAAGATGTAAGATTTTTTTTTTCTTTTACTTAAATATTTCACCGTTTACAATTTGTAGCATATTTTTTTTTTCTTTTACTTTTAGATTGAAAAAGAAGTTGGCATTAACATTACTATGGTAGGAATTGATGAATGTCTTTATGAAAATCAAAATTGTGAAGGAAGTTGCACTAACTCACTTGATATATCACATCTCCCTTATATGGTTAATGCAAATAAAACAGCTTTAGTAGGTGTAAGAATTGATGTCCTCCCTGAATGCACTTGTGGTGCTAGAAATTTCACCAGAGGTGAGTCATGCAGAACAAGCCCTTGTCTAAATGGTGGGAGGTGCATTGAAGGAAGATATGGTTTAAGGTAAATAATTTTCTTATTTCAATTGAGAACATTATAAATAAATATAGAGAGGATCCTTTTAATGTACATATGTCTAAAAATAACATTTTGTAATTGAAATAACAATCAACCTAAAAATTAGTGCACATAATTTAAAGAATATAATATAAATCAAAATGATAAGATATTTGTCAAGATTACTGTTTGTTCTTATATAATGAGAAGGTTTTCATTACGTTTCGTCCTTAGCTCTGCCTAATAGGTTCACTCTTAAGTTATTTGCCTACTAGTACATATTGTATGTATTTAATATATTTGTATTGTATGAATTGTATATTGTGTGTATTTAATTTAAAAATTGTATGTATTTAAAAAAGATCTGGGTAGTTTTTAATTGTATTATAATAACTATTTTAGACCTACAAATTATCTTTTTGAAAGAGCTAGATGTTAATTTTGTTTCTTCCATTTCAGTTGCAACTGTCCAAATGGATATACAGGACCTCGTTGCCAACAGACATCAAGGAGTTTTCGAGGAAGTGGTTGGGCATGGTACCCTCCTCTTGAAATGTGTGACAATTCCCATCTTTCACTTGAATTTATTACAAGAAAACCTGACGGGCAGCTAATATACAATGGACCAATTGTTTCTCCAGAGCCAGAGGAAATTATGATTTCAGGTAAGGAAACTATAAAGTTTTATTTATAATACATCATTACTATTGACTAATTATACTCGTAGAAAATTCATGAAATCAGACAATTTTCCATTCTGTTTAAGGATTTAGCATAGAAATATTCATAAAACTGTTTGATTTTGTAAATAAGTTTCCATGACCCATTTTAAAACATGATAGCATGAATAAAAAAAAGATATTTTGTTATGATATAAGAAAAATATAGTTATATAACAGTGTTTAAAATTTTCAAAATGCTCAGTAACTGAATGTTTACCTTTTTGTAAAAAAATACAACTGTATAAAAAAACTATTACATTAATTATTTAAATTCTAATAGAAAAATAGTTTTATATTTTTTATTATAATTATGCAGATTTTTAGGAATTAACTTCATAGCAACATCTTAATTGTAGATTAACTCCCATCTTGAATTTATAATCTGGATTGTTGCTGGTCTTCTACAACAAAATAATCTTATTTTAATTACTGATATGTAACTTTATTTTTTCTTTGTTATTAGATTTTATATCATTAGAACTGGACCGAGGGCATCCTCGATTGCTCATTGATTTTGGCTCAGGAACACTAGAATTAAGGGTTAAAACCAAGAAAACTTTGGATGATGGAGAGTGGCATAGAATTGATGTTTTTTGGACAACCGAAACAGCACGACTGATAGTTGACTCTTGCAGGTGCTTATAAATAATATATTTTTTTATTCTTTATTATAAATAAAGGAATTTGAATTATATTTTTACTGAGGACTTATATGTTTTTAAAAATATTTTTGTGTAACCATGATTAATTTAAAATATTGAAGCATGTATAAGAAATAAAAGACAATTGACCTAACGTAATTAAAAATTTTTTTTAATCCATTCTATAATAGTTAATTTTAATTTTGAATATATCAATTTGAATTAAAATTATTTAATTTTTTGTTTGTATTTTTTTTTCACATTTGAACTTTAAAAATAAAATAAAAAATTAAATCAAGTGATGGGAGTAAGCTTAGACAGATGTTTGATACTAACTTACGATTTTTTGCCAGTATTATATGTTTTGTTCTCTGTATAAAAAAACTATTTGACAATCATGAATGAAAATTTATTTGAATCATCCTTTTGTTTAATTTAGGTCTGCTGAAATATCTGAATTAGAGGATGGTACTCCACCAGAATTCGATGGCTCATCATGTATGGCCGAGGGTAACATTCCACCATTTGCTGAATACCTCAACGTAAATGCACCACTTCAAGTTGGAGGAAGATACGTCATTGAATTTGATCCGACAAGATATCATTGGGTAGCTGTGCCATATGGTAAAGGTTTCGATGGCTGCATAAAAAATATATTCCATAATAGCAAGGTACTTTTTATTTATTTTTTCAAGATATCATTAATAATAGTTGGTAATATTGTTTTGAAATATCTATTTGACAAAATCAAAAACATTAAATTATATAGACAAATTAAATTTAGTTGATTATATCAATGAATATATTATTAAATCAATTATTAACATTATTTAACTAAGAGTTTGTAATATATTTTCCTTACTATATTTTTACAGCTGTACGACTTGGCACATCCTGGTTTATCTAGAAACTCTATAGCTGGTTGCCCACAAACTGAAGAAGTATGTGCCTCTCAAGATTCAACATTCAGGTGTTGGGAGCATGGAACATGCGCTGGTTCATTTACTGAAGCTCGTTGCCACTGTATGCCTGGTTGGTCTGGACCTTCATGTACAATACCAACTGTGCCAGCCACATTCAAGCCGCAATCCTATGTCAAATACGCTCTTTCATTTGAACCTGATAGATTTTCAACTCAGCTTCAGCTCCGATTCAGAACAAGAGAGGAACATGGAGAGCTTTTCCGAGCCTCAGATCAACACAATAGAGAATATGCCATACTTGAGGTAACTATCATTAAACCATTTCCAAGTCTGTTGAAATTTTTTTTCTATTTCAATTATAATCTTTTCCATTTCAATTAAAACCTTTTTCATTTTAATTTCAATTATAAACCAGCTTGTCTTCGATTATGTCATAAATATTATTTTTTATTAAAAATAATGATTTTTATGTTAATAATAAGGTTTTTTTTTTTTTTTTTATTGGATAATTGGTAATCAGTGTGAATTCCAACTATGTCTTGACTATAAATTGAAGTCTTAAATTTATTAACTTGGCCATAAATTAAAGGCAGTTTCCACTCTCCCGCTTTTACATTCTATACCTGTTTCTTCTATCTTCTTCTGTTTAAGTTCTAATTTTTTGGTCCACTTAGTTATAATATTTTTTTTAATGTTGTTTTTCTATTTTTTGGAAGAAGGGCTATGGATCACATCAATTTAGTGATCATTCATTAGTCACTAGGTACTAATTTCAAAGACAAACATTTTGTTCATTTATGAGCATTGTCAAGAATTATTTTCATAGTACAAAATAATTCGGCTCATGTACCGTTTAATATATTTTCAAGAATACTTATTCCAAATTTACAGTAGGAATTTTGGTATAAATTAATAGAATGGCATTTATAAATTAATAGAAATGGAAAATGTTTAATTAGGAATATATAAATTTACAATTGAAATGTAAAAGATTTTAATTAAAAGGAAAAATATAATTGAAATGCAGAAGGTTACTTTTGAAATTGAAAAGGTTTCAGTCATTTTGGAAATGCTATATATATATTTTTAATATTTATTTATTGGATTTAAAATGTGGTCCACTAAGTACATATAGAGAATATTTGTATGTTTGAATAAATTTATAACAATACAATGTATAAACTAAAAGTAGTTTCAGAAATTTTATGTCATCACTGTATATTTATGAACACTATCGACATGGAGATGACTAATTTGAAAGTCTTAGATTCTTTCATAGTTTCTGCATTTATTATTAATTTATTTTAATCTAAAATAAATATTTTGACTGCTTAAATTCTTTGAAAAAAGAAAAGGTAAATTCTAGCAATCCAGTCTCCAATTTCTCGTTAATACTATTCATAGCGGATATTCAAAGTGAATTTTGTTTAATACTCAACTTCTTTGTTACAAATCTTAAATAGAAATTGTAGACACTTTTATCTTTATTAATTATTAATTTATTTATTTTGTAGATAAAAACATATTCAATTTTATTATTCTATATATGAATGTATTTTATTTTGTTAGATCAAAGAAAGCAAGCTGCACTTCAGGTACAATCTGAACAGTTTGAGAACCGAAGAAAAAGATATTTGGTTGAGTGCTATTACTGTAGATGATGGCCAGTGGCATACTGTAAAGGTAATTTTTCTTTAAAACATTCTTGATGCCTGAATCCACCCCACCAGTGACTAATCTGACAAATCATGATTCAAACTGATTATAATTAAATTGTTTATTGAATTACAGGTGTCTAGGTATGGATCCGCTGCAACACTTGAATTAGATGGCGGTGAAGGAAGACGTTACAATGAATCTTTTGAGTTCGAGGGTCATCAGTGGCTCATCGTGGATAAGCAGGAAGGTGTCTATGCCGGAGGGAAGGCTGAATATACAGGTGTCAGGACATTTGAGGTTTATGCTGACTATCAGAAAGGTGTGGTCCTTCTATTTCAAAATGCTTTTATAAAATAGTGATGGATCAGTTTCCAAAAAAAAGTTTAAGATTTATTTGAAAAACATTCATTCAGACAATATTTATATAAAACCTTATTACTTAATTTTCTTTTCTTAAATTTAATAATTCAGATCATCACTATTTTTAAATTCCAAAGCTTGCATACCTTAATCTTCTATTCTATTCTAATTTATCGTTCTTTGCTTTATTTCCTAAAGCTGAATAGTTTTATAATTCTGTATTATAAATTTATTTTGAACTGCTGAATTACTTCTTTTTTTGCTACACTTGAAATTATTTATGTAAATTATTTTTCCTCCTCTGCTGTATTACAGAATTTTCTTCAGCTTTAATTTTCTTTTTGCATTAAACAATCATTGATCTATATAATGAATCAAGATTGTATATAGCCTTAATAAAATGTAAATAAATATTTATCATTCCTTCATTCTTTATCATCATATTATCATTCCTTAATATGCTTGTAAAAGTTTTGAATAATTTTAATTGATGAAACCCTTATTTTATGAATATTAAATCTGTTTTTTATTGATTATATCCCTTCTAAGTTAAGTCAAATAAAAAAAAACTAAGGTGTATGTTTTACACCGCACAATAAAAGTGAAAAAATCAACAAGGCAAGATTAATAATATGAAATATAAATTATAAATAATAGCTCATTATAAAGAGGATGAAATGCTGAACATTTCCCTCTCTTCAAAGTATGCAGTATGCAAGTCCGATTTTTAGTTTCTGTGATATTTTAATTCAAAACTCGTTATCATTTGGTTTTTAACACTATTTTTTACTTTCTTGTGAGTTTTATTAAAACTTATGTTATAAGAAAATTTTATATTAAATCTTTCGTCCATTTGTTAGTATAGCCAACTGATCAGTGTTTCGCCAATTCAAGCATCGGTTTTCAAGTTTTTGTCTCATTAAGAACATTTTTTGTTAATATATTATTTATCATTTATTTTTTATTAAATAAACAAAAAATTAAAAATCATTGTTCGAACTAAAAAATGTTTTAATAAAATTTCTACAAGATTGTACTTATAAATTGTTTTCTATATAAAATACTGATAAAAAAATAAGATTGAAAAACTTACATTAAAACCAAAAAATCATAACATATCTCAATGTTTGTCAAAAATTATTGTTTAATCAATTTCCAAAGTTTTGTTACTAATAATTTTGAAACCCAGATGGATCAAAATTGATATATTTAGACTTTTTCATAATTTAATCTGTCTTTAATATTAATATTAAATAGTCAAACTTTCCAAAGGTATAAATATTTCAATGTAGAGTTAAGACAAATATTTTGTATTATGATTTTTAAATAAATACTTTTAATTTTATAGGTTGCCTTGATGACATCCGACTCGAAGGCAAATCGTTACCATTACCTCCAACTATGAATGGTACCCAGTGGGGACAAGCCACTATGACAAGGAACTTGGAAAGAAATTGCCCTTCAAACAAGCCCTGTGCTAATGTTATCTGCCCCGAACCGTTTGAGTGTGTCGATCTATGGAATGAATATGAATGCACGTAAGTTTAGTTAAAGTCATATGCTTATTTATGAGTTTTAATTTTTCTTAAAATTCTTAGGGAAAGTAAAAGGTTCTCACAATCTGATTATTCTGTTTTTCTATTAAATTGTAGTATAATTATTTCAGACATTCAGTTTTATTAGACAAGATATTTATAATTAATTGATTTAATAATTTAAAATTTAAAATTAAATCTGATACATTTATTATAACCACTTATATTTTAAATATATATAGTGTAAAACCTTGGTATTCATCTATAATTCAAAATTATTCATCTGAATTATTTTCCTGGACAGCTGTGGAGAGGGTAGAATTGTTTCTGCCGATGGCAAGGGCTGCTCAGACAAAAATGAGTGCCTTGAATCACCTTGTCGAAACGGTGGGACATGTATAAACCAAGATCCAAGGCTTCGCTATAGGTGCGAATGCCTCGATGGCTACTGGGGAGAGAATTGTGAACTGCTCCAAGAGGGTCAAACCCTACGCCTTGGAATGGGAGCGTTGGCAGCAATTCTTGTCTGCCTCCTCATTATTTTAAGTAACCATAACAATTTACCTAAGCATGGTTCTCGCTTGCCTCCATGTATACCCATGCTTTGTTTATTTATTTTTTTATTCATGTCGTCTCCACATAAAAATGTATGCACTGTATTTAAATTATGTGTTTGAAAGCAGTATACTCCCCCCTCCTTCCCTACTGTTCTATTTATACCTATTTATTTTTTTTATACATTCAGCTTCTTATTTATAATTTCAGTTCAAAATATAAATTTGTAGTTTGACAGCATAATTGGTATTTGTCTTTGTTTTAAATGTTTTTCTGCAATTGGATTTTTCCTTCTAAATTATTGTGTTGGTAATCGACAATATGACATTTGCTGTTCTTTAAGGCCTTCAATTTTATTTCTTCCATGTATGATTTCTATTCTTGAAAAGGTAGGAAAGTTATGATCAACAATTTTTTCCTAAAGGAGTTCCCTGCTGGAAAGACATTCAACTGGAGAAGCAACTAATTCAATTTGTGTTATTGATTATAGATGTGGTGATAATTGTGGATTAGGTTTTACATGTTTTCTTTGAGTAATCATTGTTTTGATGAAACAGAATTTTTATTTTTGTTTTTTGAGTTTTGTTAATTTTATTTCATTTTGATATACTTTATGATTTTATTTATGATTTTTTAAGGAATCAACAATTTATTTTATGTATTACTTTTATTTTATTTATTTTTTATATTTTTGTTTCTTTTATTACTTTTTTTTGTGTGATGTTTTATATTGTTGTTATACGATTTAAATAGTTGCCCTCCATGGCTTAAAGAGGTTGGAGTTGATTGTGTTAACATCAATGAATGTGAATGGACTGTATGTGAAAATGGAGGTGAATGCAGAGATCTTCCAGATGAAAGGCGTTATATGTGCATCTGCCCACATGGCTTCACTGGCCCCCATTGTCAACTTTTGCAAGCCGGTGTCATTCATGCTTCAACTGATTTCCTTATTTCATTTATATCATGCTTAGCCCTCCTCATTTGTAAGTAATTTTCATTTTTTTTTCTTTTTCTTTTTAACTCTTAAACCAAAACTAAGGTATTAATGGCATATCATTCCTAGTGAGTCCAGAAAGGAAATCATAATTATGGTCTTTACATCATTTAAAAAAAAAAAAAATATATATATATATATATATATATATATATAAATTCACATCAGCACTTCATTTAGTAAAAAAAAAAAAATATATAAATATTCTTAAAAATGATGGTTGAAATAAGTTTTGTATGCTAGTTGTTTTTAAAAATTGTAGTAATGATCATAGTTTTGATTTTCTTCGGATTTGGAAGGTACCACAAACCAAAGGTATCATAGCTTACTGACAAAAATTTAATTGCATGGTATAATTTCTGTTAAGATCTTGTCAGATGTAGTTGGTTTATTTAATTTATTTTTTTATTACTATTTAGATGAGTTAACAATTTTTATGTGAGTAGTATAGAAGTTGGTTGCCATAAAAAAACTTAATGGAGTTTGTAAGATTACTTGAAGCAATGTTTTAAATCTAATCTTATATATATAATACAGTAGCATAAATCTTATTTTTATTTCTCAAAGTAATGGATTTTGACTTAGGAAATGTCAAAATAAAGTAAATTCCAATTTCGATCTTTAAATTTGTACTACAACTTTAACAACATCCATTGTAAATAGTAGGACATTTCAAAAGTACTACAATGTTAATTGAGACATGAAAAATTGTATTTTATATTGGCCTATTACCTTGACCTAGTCAACATAACTTGGAAATAGTACTTCCTTACAAAGTACTAAACCCTACACTCTTTATAGGTTCTAAAGGTATGGGTTGATGTATTTTACTCTCAATAAAAAATAAAAAAACCTGTACCACTGCAACCCATGAAGGGTCTTGGGTTCAGTACTATTTAGGGAAAGAACTATTTATTGATAATATTTCACTGTTTGTAGGAATAAAAATTTTTCTCCAATATATTATTTATACTTTTAATATATTATGGAGAAGAAAGATATCTACTGTGAGAGTTGTTGCTCAGTTATTAGTATCGGTTTGGTAGTTTCATTTTATTATTCTATGAAATATCATGTGAATATCTATAAGTGAAGATATATTCTTTCTTGTCCAACTAACTACTAAATAAAATAGTAGTCAGTTTATATTATTTCAAAATAAATGTACTTTTTCAGTATTATTTAGATTTTAATAATTTTACAAATTCCATTATGATAGTTTGGTTTAGAGTATGTACTTTTAATTGTAAAATGATTGATTGTGCATGTTTTATCTATTGCATGCTTGCATACAAAGTATATTCTGAATTAAATTTCTAGCATTTTAATGAAACATAGTTAATTTCTCATTTATAAACAATTGTTTGTAGTTGATCAGTAATTCAAATTATATGAATTATTTTAGGATTGTAATTTCATAATTTATCAAAATATGTTTTATTTAAAATTAGGTTCTGTTTTAGAAATATTTGTCTGAACAACCTTCCTTCAAAAATTATTCCTTCTTCAAACAGTACATTCTTCATTTGATTTCTCTTATCTCCCAATTAATCATTGTAGATATTTTTAATTCATTAATTTACGTGATCTGAGCAAAGGTCGCAGTAAAATGCTTTAGGAATGAAAAAATTGGCCTCCTCCTAAAATATTTATAACTATATAACTTTTAATTGATATATGGTGTTTATCATCACAAATGCATTAATAATGTCTATTAAGAAGAAAACCAAATCTAAAATAAATCTCCAGCAATCAAGGATAGCTCTTATTTTTATTTATAATTATGCATGTATTTTTTTATAATATTTGAAAATTTAAACTAAATTTAGATGATAAACATTATTTCTTCCCTCCCCCTCAAATTTTGGCTACATTATCATAATTTTTTTAATTTTCAAAAACAAATTTTTTCAAAACTGCTGAAAATTTCAGTATTAACATTTGTTTATTACTAACGTAAAATAACCATAAACTTTTGTATACTTATACTACTTTTTCCATAAAATGTTCTTTTATCGACATTCCTTATTTATATGGAGTTCTGGTTTTTAAATTTATTTAATAATAAATAATTTGTAATATATAATTAGATAATATACCAGAATTTTTTTTTATGTAATTGTAGTTACTCAAGAATTGATATAGTTTGTAATTTGTTAGAGATGCAAGTTCTGGTGCTTTAATTTTGTCTAAATATATGTGAATTGTAATATTTAATCATCTAAGAAATTAATATGTTTGAAAGTACGTTGTTTAATTTTTTTTATATCTTGGTAATTATCACAAATCCACAATTGGCTTATTGTTATAGATTATTCTATTGCATGTTTACTTTATTTGTTAAGATGGTATTATCTCTTTTCTCTTACTACTATATTAATCAATGATTTATTTTTCAGTTCTTGTACTGGTATTTGTTGTATATAATCGACGTCGAGAATCACATATCAAATACCCAGGTCCAGATGATGATGTTCGAGAAAACATTATTAATTATGATGATGAAGGTGGCGGAGAAGATGATATGACTGCTTTTGATATTACCCCTCTACAGATACCGATAGGTGGCCCTCATCCTACTGAACTTGTTCCGAAAATTCCCTGTTAGTATTTTAATCTATTTTTAAAATATTTTTTTCCTTCTTCCTTTTAGAAAGTGAATAAAAGCCTATTTTTTTAGATGCTATGGTTGGAGGAGAACCGAATGTTGGTCTTTTCATTGAAGAACATAAGAAGAGAGCTGATGCAGATCCGAATGCTCCTCCTTTTGATGATCTTAGAAATTATGCTTATGAAGGTGGCGGCAGCACTGCAGGCTCACTTTCATCCCTTGCTTCAGGTATCGTACTAAATATATTTTTACATTTTAATTTTTAACCAAAACCAAAAATATACATCAAAACTATATATGAATTCCTAAAATACACCACGCATACTATTTTGCTTCCTGTTTTAAAATCGGTAGACAAAGTTAGAACTGAAGTTAGATGGTATAAAAAAGGGTGGTTATTTCTCTCCTTATATTCTAAAGAAAATAGAAAAATATGTCGCATATTTATCCAACAAATACTTGCACCTGTTAGAAGGTTAAGAAACCTACCTGTTCAATATATTGAGTTTGCTTTAATCAAGCAATAACTTTTTTGTCAAGTATGACAAAAAAGTTATGTTCTCATTAATCAATGATATCTCCATGACATTTGCTCAGGATAGGAGGCCTGAGCTAAATAGTTTTTCACAGAATAATAACAAGCATTTCCCGCCTTCAGCCTAACCTTAAATGTCCTCTTCAATTTTGTTTTTTCTGCTTATCGTAGACCCTAGATACCTAAACTTTTCTAGGTTTTCAAACATAATCTCTTCTATATTGATATCACCGGAATTATCGCAATTTTTGCATCTAACCATTTATGTTGTCTTATCCATGTTTTATTTTGAACCCTAGTTATTTTCAGTTTTAACTAACATTGTATTTAGTATTATAGTTTCTGTGTCTTCGCTTAACAGAACCAAATAGCCTAGCAATGGTGTTATCCCACCCAGATTCAACCCTTGTTCGGTAAGCATTACCTCATAATGGCATGTTCTAATGCCAAATTAAACGGGACAGGTGAAAGGGAATCACCTTGTTTTAGACCCAAACGAACCTCAAACTTTTCGGATAAATAATTACCAGTTCTAACTTTATTGAGTGTTTCTGTTAAGCTCATCCTAACTAAGGGAGTGGGGTAGCTCAGTGGTAGGGTACTGAGCTTCCAAAGCTAAAGATCCCAGGTTCGAATCCCGGCTCATGGCAGAAAATTTATTTAACTGTTTCATTAGATGTGGGGCGACCCTGGGTCGGTAGACCCTCCTGGGGCACACTCAGCCTCTATAAAGTGGGTACCCTTAATTAAATAATTGATTAAGGGGGAAAACCTGGCGGTTGAGAGTGATCTCGGTCAAATCACCTCCTTGCACAACCGTGGACCTAGAAACAGTGCTTTCCCTAAGTAGTACTGAACCCTGAGTGGTACAGGTACAAATTAACACAAACACTTATGGGCGGGGTGGCCGAATGGGCTAACGTGTGTGCACAGCACCACCGTTGCCCGGCAACCTGATATATGATTAATGATAAAAAAATAGTCACGAGTTCGCGTCCTGGTGCCAAGGCGTCTTTTAAATCCCCGCCCATGCCCCCTGGCCCGGGAAAACTCCATATAGCCTTAATGGCGAGGAAGGGGAGGACCCAAAAAAAAACTCATCCTAACTAGATTTACTAATTTTTTTGGAATTCCCTGCTCGATTAAAATATTATACAGCTTCTGGCCTTTTTGAAATTGACATACAACTGTTCAACAACACTGTTGCACTCTAATTTTTTCTCCAATATTTACCATAAAGAAAATATTTCATCAATAGTGAATGGTTACGTCTAAATCTGCATTGATTAATTAATTTCCTTGGCATATTCCGTGATTCATTTAGTAAGGATTAATGCAAATATTTTATAACATACTGGAAGGAGTGAGATTCTTTGATAGTTATTACAATCCCTCCTCGAGCACTTTTTATGATTCGGAATAAGAATAGATTATTTTCATTCCAAAGGCAATTTCTCATTATTCCAGATCTTTTTAACCAACAAATGTATTTTAGAAATTCCAGCTTTCCCACATGCCTTAATTAGTTCAATAGGAATATTATTGGTTCCTGCTGGTTTATATGATTGTAATTTTCTGATATCTACTTCAACTTCCTCTTTACTCAATTCTTCTATTAATGTTTCAGCACTCTGGTACTCAGAAGGAGGACACAGAATATTATTTTCCGTATTTAAAATATTGTCAAAGTGGTTCTTAAACTTATTTAATATGTCTGCCGGATTGGTCAGAATATTTGTATTTTCATCCCTGATTCCAGACGTGACGGAGCCTAAACATTTATGTAATCTGTTTATACCTTTGTACATGTCCCTTACAATATTTTTAATTCTATTAGTTTATATTTCTATTATTTTATTTTTGAGCAATTTAGTCGTACTATTCTTTAAGATTCTAGAAAGTGTTGATTGTCTTCGCTAGCATGATTTTGAGCTTTTAATATAGCAGCTTTTCTTTTATTACACATGTTTAAAAAATCTTCATCGAACCACGGTTTGTTCAAAAGAACAATATTCAATATTTTCCTTTTTTCCCAAGACATGAGTTTCCAACAGCTTTAATATTATCAGGAGGAAGTATATTAGTTTTATAAGTTTTTTAGTACCTTTTTTAATTTAATCTGAAATAAGAAAACAAAAACGGTAAATTCTAAATTAATTATTACACAGGAAGATATGGTATTTTATATACTGGATATTTGTTTGAATCAAGTCCCTTCCTATTTCAATTTCTAGGTATTTAAAAATACCATGCATTTCATTTCAACAACAACTCAATTAAATAATGTTCATTAGAAATAATATCTTTTTCAATAATGCACAGGTACTGACGATGAACAACAGGAATATGATTACCTCGGGGCATGGGGCCCAAGATTTGACAAGTTGGCTGATATGTATGGTCAAGATGGGGAGAGCGATGAGGAAGATGACCAGTGAGAGCCTAACCCGGCAGTGACTTACAACAAAAATTTAGTAGTAACTTGATTGTAACTTGTTTGTAAATAAGTCTCGTGTATTTGTCAATCAATGTCTTCATTATAAGAGAAGAACGAATTTTGTATATATTACCATATATGTGTCATAAAACCTCTGTAAATTGAGTGAGGTATCGAGAAAGGCACGCAAACATTCCTAAGAATTCCAATTTTCCATTGAGTAATCAAAATTGCATACTTGTTTCCCAAGCACCCGACTTCGGTTCCAGTGCCATATTTTGTGCTTGGAAAACAGATGCATAATGGATTTTTATAGGAGAAATTTATTGTAATTTATTATTTATTGTAAATTATCGGCCATTTTCTTTTGCCAATTCGTTTTCATTTTGATCTTCTTTTGACCTTTTTAATTTTGTAATTATTTCTTATTTATAATATTTATTAAATGTTCCTTATCTTGTCTATAAATTATATAAATATATATATAGTTTTAATTTTTAAAAACCAAGGAGATAGTTTGTAGATATTTTGAAAACTTAAACAAGATGGGTATATAAGAATAGTTACCCTTTTTTGTCACAAAGTCAAGCACTTATAAGTTTTTTTTTGTCTTAAATAGTGTTAATATCTAGCTTGTATTGATTCTTAATTTGTAGGTAATGCACTGAGTACAATTAGGGAAAGTAATAAATCATAATGTAGTCAAAGAAGGAAGTTTTAAATAAAAAACTTGAGTGACTTTATTTTCTTTTTTTTTTTTTTCTGTTGAGATTATTTAGGTTGTTTTTTACAGTCGTACAGAAGTGAAAGCCTGAGTAAATATCTAAGTGTGATGTGAGTGCCTGTATGAATGGTTTGAATGAGTGTGAGTGTACATGGTCTCTACTCGGCCTCGTGCACTACAGGCTTAGCCAACGCTCATAATATTCAAAGCTAACACTGCTCAAAGAATTAATTTAAAAAATAAAAACAAAAAAAAATAAGGAATACACGGACAATTAACAGTGGGAAAGTAGCCATTGCTGGAAGTTATACTTCAATTTTTCTCTACTTCATGGTCTAAAACATTTTCTAAGATTTCGACATAAATACAATGCACCTTGATGCATTGCCCGGCCTCAAAACACTTATCATATCGTCACTATATACTCATAATGTAGATTGTTTTTTATAATATAAAGAAAAATTAAGTAAATGATAGTGTTGGAATAACAAAAGGTTTGAACAACCTTATGGACATTAAAATGTACAGTTGCCGTATTTATTTGTAAGGGTATGTTAAAAACCTTTTTTATATAATATTAAAGTAGCTCATGTCCAAAAAAAATGTTTGCATTTAAGTGTTTTTAAATGTTATTTTCAGTATAAAAAAAATCCTCTCTGTACACAAAACACTGCCATTTTAGCGTTTATAATGGAAATAAACATTTAATATTGGCAATGTTTTCATTGTGAAGAGACAGTGAAGGTATATTTGTTTGATGATATTTTAAGAAAAAGAGGGATGTTTTATGAGAGGTTTCTTTTTATTGTGACAAATATAGCTACCTAGGTTGAACTAGCTTCGCCCTAGATGGCTGCGAGCCCACAATGACAAACACCATTACCGTCACTGTCTCTAGTTACATAGACAGCCTGCAGGTGCCTTATGTGCTGCTATAACAAACTTATAAATACTGACCTCTATACAGTATTTTATATTTTATATGCAATTTAATGGAATTATAGGAGCACTTAAGGCAGCAGTCTCTAATGATTTTTTTGATGAATGATTGACTCATTCATCTGCTTTAAAGACTTCTCAGGATCTACCATATATTATACACCTTGTTGTTGAAACTTCTATAATCATTGTAATTTCTTTCTGAACAGGAAACTTTTTTATTTATTATTACTATTTTTTGTATTGTTTGATTCCCCATAAATCTTTAGGAAATGATTGTCATAGGGAGACTAATGTAGTTTTTTGTTTTTATTTATTTTTTACTGTATTAATTCATTATTATTAATTAATAATTAAATAAGATAAATCAAAGACTTAATTGATAAACTATAGATTTTATCAATTTTTAATTAAATTTTATATGTAAATGGATTAAGTTCCTTTTTTTTTATGTTCTGTAAATATGATTTTTATGTTTGATTAGTTGTATGAATAAACTTCTTGATATTGAGAGGAAAAAAGAAAAAAAAAATGATAAAAAAATATTAAAGAAACGATGACTTAAATACTGATTTAAGGAAATGTTTAAGAATGAATGTTTGTCAAGATTTTATTTGTGTATGTGTTTTGTTTATTTTTATTTTCAGCTGTGATTATTCTCTCTAGCTGTATAGGTTTATTATTGATTAAATAAAAATAAAATTATACACATGATGTTGTTTTTGTATTCCTTGTTTCACTTATTCATTACAAAAATAGAATATATTTCTGATATTATGTTTCATGTTTTTGTTTGGTATGTTTTTCATAATCCATTTTCTGTTGGTGGTTAGTTTTTATCATCCGTTTAAAGGTATGAAGCTTTTTGTAATAATAACCTTTAAACAATTATTATAATTGCATATTGATCAATAATTCATCATAATTTAAAGTTATCAATGAGGAATTATTTAGAATTTAGTTATAAATATTTAAAGAGGAAAACAATACATTTATAGCTTGAGAGATTTCATTCAACAGAAGGTCTTTGTACCACAATATTTGATGAAAAGTAAATTTTCTTTTTCATCTCTTATTTACTAGTTAATGCATTATTTCTATTTCCTTCACACAGTAACCCTGCAAAAATATTCTTTATTTACTATATGTATCAAACAATATACTATTTTATATGCATATATTCAGAAGGGTCATTTTCAAAACACAGGCAATTTTGTTTATCATGTAAATAATTTTGCCTAAATACCATAAAATGTCTTAAATTATTATGCGGTATTATGGTAACGTTACATTATAACATTCTAGTTCAACTGACCAAGTTACAAGGGATTTTTGCAGTTTTTCAATCTATGCTCAGAAGTTTGTCATAACCGTGGGGACTTGAGGATACTTCCTTTTTTATTGGTTATTATATTTAAAATTATGATTATTTAATTTTCTCAATCCCTCATCATTCTTTTAGAAATTACTAACAAAATTATTATTATTTTCTTAAAGTATTACTCATGACCAATAATACTCCTGAGAAATTGGGAATGTACATTCTATAAATGTTTAACAATGAGCCTGGACATAAGATTATGCTACTTGAATAAGAACACCAAGAACTGGAAATCTAAATCTGAATGAATGTTTTAAACACTACATTTAATGTAAGTTATGAGGCTAATAGTCAGCAATGAATTAAATGATCAATAAGTCTTGCTTATTTTTATAACTTTATTTCCCTATAGTAACATGACCTTATTTATATTTCATATACTTATATCAGGATACTATACTAATATCAGGACTCTTAATTTCGAATGCTTTGTACACCCCTTTGTCAATTTTACCAATTTTATGATTGATTTAGTTGCTGCTGGACTAACTATAAAATCCACTGCTGGCTTTTATATTGTTATCGTTTCTGTCTAATGTATGGTTAATGTTATATTGATGATGGTCGTGTCTACTTAGTTTGTTGAGTACCATTTTGGTGGCTTGGTTTGGGGTGGGTTCATCAGCCGATGAGTCATAAAAGAACCCATGGGGTATCCCATACAGGATCTGGACAACTTGAATCAACAGCTGATGATTACAGCGATGAAACATCGTGTTGCCCAGACACCTATCCTGGAAGAAGTGGTGAAGAATTTTTTTTACCACAGAGATTTGGCCTTGGAATGATAACGATATAATGATGATACAGAGGCGAGATCTGTAAGACCCTCTATGATCCTTATATGGAACCCACCGGGGAACAAAGCTTTAACATGCCCAGCCACCAAGGTCTCCAAATAATATGAGCTATTGGAATGTTATCTTCAGATCCTGGCATTAAATATGAGACAGTTTCTTTGTCATAGAAGAATCTGTGTGTGGAAAGTTATTGTTTCTCAGGATTCTGTCCTTGTTCTCTATCCTGTGGAAATCACTTTTCAACAAAATATTGAGAACTGCTGGTGTCCTCCTCACCAAATTCGTCAGGTTCGAGCACTAGCGGATTTAGAATTTCATTTTTTGGAGAGGGGGCTTTAGCCCGAAAGATTTTTTTTTTAAATATAACGATAACTTTGGAAGAAAAAGAAAGAAACTAACTACCTATACAAAATGGTATTTAAGTGATTTTTGAAATGCTGTTAAATATAATTAAATGAACAATAACACTTTTAGGGATAATTTTTTTTCATAAGACATGGTAATATCTAAACCATTTTGAGGAGAACTTCAGTCCGAAAGCCCCCCTCCTCTACCTGTATATACGCCTGTGTGTTAACTAACAGTATCAAATTGGCCAGCATTCATGGATTCTTTCTCCAAAACAGATTAGCATGGATCAAACTCTAGGCGGCTAAATGAATTCTGAAAAACCAATCCAAGATCCCTGATTACATATGGGCACTGGTTTATCTATGTGAGCAGGCTTGCGGACTGGAGCCCCTCCCCAACATAAAATATAATTTATTTTTTCATATCTATATTTTTTACTGCTGGTGACCTGAGCTAATAAATACTTACAATAAGCAATTACAACATGTGTACTCTTTTTAAATTGTGACACCTGCACAGCTAAATGTAAGCAGGAGTCAAGAAAAAAAATATCCCTAAAAGCATTGTTATTCCTATAATTCTTTCTTCTTTTTTTTTTTAACAAGCCTTTAACGACTACCTAAAAATAATTTTACATAATTTCTTAGTTTTTATTTCAGAGTAAGCATCGTTGTATTAATAGCAATAATAATTTTTAAAAAATCCCCAAAATTAAATCCTGCGTCCGCTACCGCACACGGATGGTAGGGCATTACTACTACTTGTCCAAGTGATCCTGAGAAAAAATTTACAATTAAATAAAATTTTGTTTTTAAATATTTATGACATTTATATTCCAAAAATGAGAGTCTGTGAGTCGTATAATGCTATCTGTAAAAAAGAAGACTGATTTAAATAATATTAGGCATGGAACTTGAGGATCGAAACGGGAGATTCATTGCGAATGTGGTGAAAGTTTTTAATTTGTATATATGGGTTTAAATACTTCGGTTTCTCCGTTACAGTATCAATTTAACAGTCTGGCACATCTTGACTGAGTGTTATGCCTATGAAGTACAACGGAATGAAGTGGAAGTGTGGAATAATATTACTGAAATTTTCAAAATCACCACCAAAATGGCAATAAAAATTATTTTTATTTCATCAATTAACGCAACTATATAATTTATAATTTTTACTTACACTTTTTTTGGAAATTTTAATAATATAAATTATGTAAGGGCTAAAATCAACTGTAAGAGGTTGAGGAGGCCCCCATTGTTATAAATTTATAAAGAAATAAACAAATACAAAAATTTGCTCATATTATTCTTTAAAACTATTGATATCAAAATTCATCAACTAATAAAAGTATTAAATACGAATTACTTAGGTCTGTCTCTTGCTTAAGTCTTCTTTTTCGTCAACCTTACTCATTATATTAGGAAGTCAGTTCATATAGTTTGCTCTTCCAACTCCACAATTCCAAAAGTAGTAGCTTTTTCAACCAGAACTACACCTGAACTAACGTTCCGATGTTCCTTCCTTGTTGAAAGTAGTGAGATCTGTTCTGAGATTTATATATATATATATATATATATATATATATATATATATATATATTTATACAGAAAACTGTATAAACGGAATTCCTAATATAATGAATGAAATTGGCGAAGAGAAGACTTGGACCCTCTCCAGACATCTACCGCGCATTTCGAATGAATACGAGGTGTTACTGTCACCATTATAGGAATCGAAATCCATAGCTAATTTTGTCAGCTTTAAGTTTCATATAACTATGTTTCGTCTGTAACGTCTTGTTTTCGACGGTAGGGGCGGGGATTTTTAGTATGTTTACATCCTAAGTACTCTCAACAAATTCCCTAAGTCAATTACTTGTCCATCCTCCATGCACTCCACTTTTTTGCCAATCATTGACTAGACTATAAGAAATGGTCACCTTTCTTGAATACTCATCTGCAGCGATTGAAGGAGGATAGATATGTCGCCCGAGAGGTATTTGTAAATAGCAATCACGCAAATGATAAATCACTTCGGAAAGCCACAGGAGCCATACTCAGAAAGTAAATAAATGATGCTTAAAGAAGTTAGTATACATAGGCGAAGACTTCGGAGGAGGGTGATGGGGCGAACGTCCCGCCTCCAATAAAAATGTTGAGTGAGCGAAAACATCGTTTCGTAACCTCCCCCTCAATAATTTGAAGTAAAAAAAAAATTGAAATTGATAACAAATAAGCTACGTGGATAAATGAAATATGTAAACTAAAATCGATTAAGAAAATAAGAAAAGTCGACTAGCTGGTTATGCTAAGGCCTATAACTATTTTATCAGGACCTAAATATTCCCATTATTTAAATTTTCCTTTATATTCTGGAATAATAATATAGAAACATATCCATGGATTTTATGATTCATTCATCTTTCATGTAAACAGTTCCATTTTTACGTGATTTTTTCATAAATTTCTGCAATTAAGGTGGAAAAATATATTTATTAAGTACAAGTTTTTTAAAAATTTATTTTCCATTAAATTTGCTATTACGTTGTTTCGCATCAAGCAAATATGTTGGCGTTTAGTCTATCTTCTTGTATTCTTGATATTTTCTTATCTTGTTAGCAGAAGATCTCTAGGCCACTGCCTTTCTAGTCGTCGTTGAGGCTGACCAGGTAACAAGGAGGAAGATTATAGATTATAGAACGAGTGGATTTGGATGATTGAGAGTAAAAGAATGAAAAGTTGTGTATGTAAGATTTTACTTGTGATATGTTCCAAACCAAGGAGCTTTGACAATTTTACGAAGTATTTTGGATTGTGTGGTTTTAATTTTGTTTATGTGTGTGTGTTTTGCGAAATCCCAAAGTAATGCTCCGTATGTCCAAATAGGTCTTAGTATAGTGGTGTAGATTACTCGCATGTTTAGTAAGTTCAGTGGAGATCTGTAGTCCAAAAGATGTGACAGTTGTTTGTATCGTCTGGTCAGTTCTTGTTTTTTTTTTAATTTGGTGTAAATGTTCCAGGTGAGTTTTTTGTCCAAGTATAGTCCCAGATACCGTACATGTGTTCTTGAGGGAACTGGCTTATTGTCTATTGTCACAGCAGGACACGAGATCTTTTTTTTTAAAGCATTCTTCAGGGAGCTTTAAAGCTAACATGAGTTGACTTGCTGGGGTTGATTTTAATTCTCCATTTGTGAAACCATTTTTCAAGGTCGTAGAGGTGATTTTGAAGTACATGTATAAATATATTTTATAGAGAAAGTTTTTTATAAACATTTTTACATTTTCAGGCTGTGAAAACGTTTTATTTCTATTTAGAGGTTCTACAAACTAAGAAATCAATAGTATTTTTCTGTTTTTAACATTCTTCATTTTTAGCTAAAGAAGTCCTAGAAACGTACGAGTGTAAAAACGTACCCATACTTATGTTATGGAGGCTGTCCATCTTTCTTTTATGTTCAATTTATGCAAATTTTAATGTGTTCAATTGTTTTGTTCATATATTTTCAAGTATATCCAAAAGCAAATAAAAAAAAAATAAAAAAATCCTGCAACTGTCTAAAAACATATATGCAATATTATATTCGTTTCACAATAATTATGTTGAATTTGTGCATATAATATAAACTACGACCATTTTTTTTTCTTTTGTTCTCTCGCTCTTGGAAAAACTAGAATTTTGGAAAGACGGAACCCAAGTTCATCGTACCCTCTCGAAAATTAAGAAGACCAAAGAATAATCCTCAAAAATTTAGGAGAATAATCCTTTTGTTACGACATCCGAAAAAACTTTTACGTCGAACTTGGATATTTTCAAGTTCTTTTGTTCATATTACTCAGAAAAGATGCCAAGTAAAACAAAATGCGCTTGGCCAAATAATATTCTTCCGAAACTAATAAAAATGCTTGGGGCCTGCGTGGAAAACTGTTCTGCAATTTATGGGAAGATCTGGGGAAAAGCATTATTCTATTCACATTTAAACAAAATTATATTATTGTTGAAATGTAGCCATATATCCGTATTTTCTAATGATATTAATAAAAATTGTGAGGAAGCTATACTGATTTACTATTCAGAATTGTTTCCCTCAAATTTTTCATGTTAGTTATTTTTAAATATTATTTGCTACAAATTTCAGTTTAATTCTTTTGTAACTCAATGGCTACTTTGCAATTGAAATTTTATTTAATATATTTTAGATTTTTGGAAACCAGGAACATCAATACAGAGTTGGTATATCAATGAATTTGATGAAAATCCAAATGAAGTCGAAAGGAATTCAGACGATGAGGGCAGTACAGCTAGCAATGAAGAACCTCCAGGCATGTGCAGTTTTTTTAAATGAATAAATCAGAGGTAGTGATTTATACAATTAAATCTGATTATCATTATTCATTCATCTAAAGTGGATAAAGCAGATGTACTAGCTAGGTCTGCCATGTGATCTTAGTACATCTAACAACCCGGCTATCCGCTAGGTGCACTATACAGGATATAATTCGGAGGGGGGCTCAGCCTGAATTTATATATATATATATATATATATATATATATATATATATATATATATATATATATAGCATTTCCAAGTCAATTTCAACCTTTTCCAAATCAAATTCTACCTTTTCCAAGTCAAATTAAACCTTTTCCATTTCAAATTCAACCTTTTCCAAGTCAAATTCAACCTTTTTCATTTCAAATTCAACTTTAGAATTTTTGTCAATTTTCGAAATGAAGGACACTTACTATATTATCGAAGGCATTGCTTTCGAAAAATACAAAAAAAAAAAAAAATGATTGCTGAGCTTTCTTAGTTCTGTATATCTTTATTGCTGGAATTTCAATCTGGGTGATGGGGCTCACCTCTATCTTGATAATTTTTTCAGGACTATCTTATAATCTGACTTACACCTATATTATGCCATCGCCGAGGTGATGGCAGAAATGTTATTGTATTGAATTCTGCATTTGTTAAATATTTTAAAGAACCAAAGAATTTGATTATTCTTTTGTTTATGAATGAATACGGTGGGGAAATTTAAGAAGGCGTGAAGTTTATCTGTTTTTTGTCGAAAACATATTGATGAAACTTTGTATTGAAAAAATCCAAAATGAAGTCTAATTAATCGAGATACAGCGGCTTAATCATAAAATGGAGATTAAATATTAAATAAATGTAAATATTAAAGATTAGAAAATTTTCAATACGTCTCCGATAACATATCAGTAAATCTTTATACCGAAAAAGTAAAAAAAAAACTTTTATAATACAAAACACAGTGGCATAAACTTGAAATGGGGTCATTTACAAGATGCGTAATCTTAAAATGGAGGCTATTTTCAAAATATAAGGCTCCGGAAACATAAGAATACACCCTCATATGAAAAAAATCCGAAAAACTCAAATAAGTAGAAACGCGGTGGCCTGGTCCTAAAATGGAGGTCGTTTTCAAAATCTACGGCTCCGGAAACATAAAAGTAGACCTTTATACTGGATAAATTCTAAAAACTTAAATAATTCAAAACACAGTGGCGTAAACATAAAATGGATGTAATTTTCATAATTTACGGATCGGGGAACATAAAAATACACCCTTATATGGAATAAATCAAAAAAACTTAAATAATTCGAAACGCAGTCACGTAATCTTAACATGGAGGTTATTTTCAAAAACTACTCATACGATAACAGACCCACACATCGAAAAATTAAAAATAATTAAATAAATAAAAAAAAGGTTGAATTTGAAATGGAAAAGGTTTAATTTGAAATGGAAAAGGTTGAAATTGACTTGGAAATGCTCTCTCTTTCTCTCTCTCTCTCTCTCTCTCTCTCTCTCTCTCTCTCTCTCTCTCTCTTTCTCTCTCTCTATATATATAACTTTCGAAGCAAAAGAAAGAAACTGGAAAGTGTTTTCATCCGATTTTCTGTTGCATTCGATAATGTTTTGACAAATTACTGACCCCCGTTACAGAAGTTTTATTTAAAATAAGTACAAGTACTGCATATTTTATAATTTTATATATTGTAAATGTTATTACTTTGTGAACATAAAACAAAAATTATATTTCTATTATGTTTCTATTTCTATTTATGTTTTCATTTCAATTGTGTGGTCTTAAGTACATTCCGCAGTTTTTCCAGTAATTTCTAAAGGATATACTATAGATATAAATATAAAGTAAAAAGGGCTTTGGAAAAACTTGTAGATAAGTTTAATCAAAGTTGCTGAAGTAATTGTTTTAATCAGCTTTAGTTTTTACTTTCTTTTTTTAAAATTTAATTTACAGTCACCGATGAGTTGGTTCCTCCAAAATACATTTCTGATGACAAGAAAAATATAAAGAACAATAACAAACTCTACTGGAGAAGACTAGCTTGTTTGGGTAAAGATGGTGAAATTGCTAAAACAATTTGTTGCTCCGATCACCATCCAAAGCCATGGGCAATTCTTTTACCTATGAAACAGAAAGTTGAATGCCACAGGCCAAACTGCAAACATGTTTGTTATTTAGAAATTCTCAAGTTAAGGTAATAAAGATTTAATTACTTAAATATCTGGTTTAGTGGAAGGCGCTTAATTAATAATATTGAAATTTTACTTTGAACAATATATAATTTTTCCTTGCATTTCAGACAAAAACAACATAGCAACAAGCATGCTCAAAACAAGCATAATCATGACAATGATAGAACAGATAAAATTATTACGGAAAAAGAACCAGGCAACATTAATACCAAGGAAGTAACTACACCTTCACCAACTGTCGCAATACCAGAGCTTATACTAGAACTTATAGATCTTTGTAATTTTTTAAACAATTCAAAATTATTAAAGTTTGAGAAACTTAATTCATTTTGTAGAATGAAGAACGTAAATCTAGAAGATTTTCTTAATCATGTTCATTACAAAGGTAATAAAAACTATGGACTTGAAAAAAATAATACTAAAATTATTTTGGAAGAAGAAATAGACAGTACTGACCCCATGTCATATGAAGAAACATTTTCTGAAAAGACTATATCTAGTGTAATCCAAACAGTTGTGGGATGCCATACCAACGAATACGAGCCTGAAGCAATCACTGAAACAAAAAGAGTAGAAAATACTGGAATCCTATTTAACAAGGAGACTAGTAAAGTGAAACAACAAGATGTATATCGTTATCAATCCACACCATTAATTAGTTTCTCAAAATTTAGAGATAATGAAATAAGTTATACTGACTTAATAAGTACAACCAAAATTGGTACTGAACTTGACACTGGTTGTTTTGTGGGTAGCATGTTCTCTTTTAACAAACCCTTCCAGACTGTTAATTTAAGACCAAGTGTAACTGAAAATATTATGACTTACGATGCTTGTTATTGTGATGATGAAAATAAAGATCAAACTATTCAAACTAGTTCTATTATAAGCAAAGTAGATCACGCCAAAGAAATAAAGGATAAATGTTGTTGCGATTGTGATAAAAAGAACAAATTTGGTAGCAAGGTGGATTTTAAAGGAAAAAAGAAACTAACAGAGTTTCTGCAAGTGTTATTCCATGGACCGAGGCCAACATTTGCGTATAACACCAAGTGTGTGAATCTCGAAATAGGTGAGTAAATTCCTTTTTAATTCTTTGCATTGAAATAAAATTAATATTCTAAGGGTAATCTCTTGGACACATTGATATTTTAAATATCAAATATATATTTTGGTTTTTAAAAACAACAACACTATAAGGTGAATTTTCTAATTATTATCTTCTTATTTCCTGTATTTATTCCTTTTCGAAACCTTAACAAACATAAAGCCAATTACCCTCTTGATTTGTTTACTCCTTTTTCCTCTGTCCATTCCTTCAACACGAGATTCTAGCCCACAATCTGTTCATCCCTTCTCATAGAACTGTTTCTTTTTTAAAAAATCCTTTGTCGCATGCTTTGGAGTTCCCTACCAACTTCCGTACTCAAATCCTTATCCTCATTTAAACACTAAATTCAGTGCTTTCTCCATAAAACTGTATCAAATATGTTAAAAACTAATCAGTGATTTAAAAAGATAAATTTATAATCTAGATGTTTTATTCCAAGGCTTTTTTCGTTATTGTTGAGCGTTTAATTACAGATGACGCTCGATTTTAAAACTTTAGTTTGAACGACTTGAAAAAAACGAGGTTACTGGTGTTTTATATTGACAAAGACAATTATTTTTTTATGTTTTATTATACTTTGACTATCCAGCATCAATAAAAGAATAATTATAACGAAATTAAGCTAACTGCTGAATCTCAGTGACCGAAAAACTTACTCAAATAAAAGTCGTCACCCCGCCATGTTTAGGTGCCATTTCGAGACGGTGCGACTTTTTTAAAATATTTAGTTTTAAGGAACACAACGATATGCAATTTATAGTGATGGAGAATGCATGGGAGGCGGGTCTGGTCCACAGACTACTCCCTTCCACCAAATCTAAAATGTGAAACCCAGTAATAATATTACCATCTTGGAAGTTATTTTGGAGACTGGTTATTTGAAATTACAAGAGAGAGGATCTTCCAGGGAGCTTGAGTAGAGTAGAAGAAAGTGTCACCATGAAAGTTGTTTGGCAGAACTTTGGAAAGTGTTTGAAAACAAATGAATTCAGTGCCACAAAGGAAGAAACATTGTATATAGAAAATAGGTTAGCTTGCCAATTCATATTTTACTTTGTTTTAAAATCAAACAGTGTTTAGTATAGTTAATTTTAGTTTGTCTGATTGTTTCGATATGATTGTCAGTAACCCACACCTGAGATAAATAAATACATTAATTCTCTTATAATTTTGTTTATTATTAAACAACCTCTTATTTATTTAGGAAGTACCCCAATGGTAAGAAGTGAGCTTCGGAGGTTATATTATTATTATTTGTAAAATATAAGAGGGATGTTACAATATATTCAAAAATGAAAAATAGTTTAAATGTAAAACATAATTTGAAAACTTGTAAATCGTAAACTATTCGATTTACTGAGCCTGTTATGGTTTTAAACTGTAGCATTTCTAATCTAGTGTATGGAATGTGTTTTGACGAAAACGTGCTCCTTTATGAAAAAACAACAAAAAGAGTGCTAAAATACAACAGTTTGGAGATATTCAAAAGTACATCCGAGACTGAAAACTTGGATTTTGCATCAGTCATATCCCATACAAGAAAGCAAAAAGAAACCTTCTACCCTCATTCAGCGCAACTTATGATATACAAGGTTACTGAGATATTTGAATTTGAATTCAAGTTCATCTTTTCGGATTTGACGCTTTTATCAGGATGATGATGTTCTATATAAATAATGATGTTATATATATATATATATATATATATATATATATATATATATATATATATATATATATATATATATATATATATAAATTATATAAAATGAAAGGTCACGAAATTTTCAATACAATTGATTATATTATTTGTTTCGCTAACTTGTATAGTTAAAAACAAAATAATTTTTTGCTTCGCTTTTTTTTGTCTTTATTTAGAGAAGAAAGTTGTTGAAAAGTGAATTTCCTTCAAATATACATATATATATATATATATATATATATATATATATATATATATCTGGGTGAAGAGATGACTCGTACAAACAGACACCTCTATTGGCTAGTCCGACAGTAGGGAGCGGCGAGAAAAATCAAATATACGTGGTTTGCTTCCGGAAAGGTGCGGTGTCGAAAAGAGGACGGACATAGAGTCATCCTGATAGAACAGTCATCGGATCTAGATGTATTTGACTGACTACCTAGAAGCCGTCAACCCCTTAGCCTCATTAAAATAGTCTTACTTCTTCTCTTAGTGCTATCTCTACACCGTCACTCACCAATCTATTTATTTTAAAGTACATTCTCTTTATTTATTTTTAATGTATACACTTTTTCTTCACTTAGTTTCATGTACTATAATCGCTTTTCTGTACTTTCTATTCGTTTTGTCTTCTCGCTACCAAACACTGACTGTTTCTCTCCAAATCCACTGTATGTCTAGTTCCCTAATCACATGTCAGGTTAACTCTCAATCCCTTTCTGCCCATTATGACGAATTCCTGCAATACTTTACCCAAAACTTTTATCATATCATAGCAATATCCGAAACCTGGCTCAAACCCTATATTCCATCATCTTCAGTATCCTTGCCTAATTACATCATGCTCCATCATGACCGGGTAAACCAGACTGGCGGTGGAGTAGCCATGTTTGTCCATAATAGCCTAAAGACCCGAATCCTCGATTGCTCCCCACCTTCAGATCATCCTCTCCTATCCTTTACGCCGTGGTATATCGCCCTCCTCTCGTGCCATTTGACCCTTCCTTCGAATCAACCCTATTCAACTTCGTTCCCCTCTATCCCAGAATAATTATCTCCGGTGACCTCATTACCAATTTCCTCTCAAACTCCAATGACAAATCCCATTTAGAAAATCTGTTTTTCTCACTTCACCTATTCATCGTTCCTTTTTCCTCCACCCACCACACCAGCAGATCTGACACTTGGCTAGACTTCTACATCATCGACTCAGCACAAAACCTCCTCTCCGCCTCTCAATTGCCAGTATCCTTTCTTTCATCTCACGATCTGATACAAATAACGTATAATATCCGCACTCCTCCAATCCATCCTCGAACTATCACTTTCCGCCAACTGGATACCCTTACTCGAGAAAAAATATTACCTGATCTAGTAAAATTGGATTTGAATGGAATATATCATTGCTCCTCCGTCGAAACCATGGTTGATATTCTCGCCACTAATCTCCTCAATATACTCAATACCCACGCTCCTTTCAAAACCTCCACCTTCCGTCATCGCCCAGCTCCTTGGATGTGTCAGCAAATTAAGGATCTGCAGAAGAGACGCGACGCTGCACGCATACGCTTTAGACGGACTAGGCTTGCAGATGATTATCAAACATTCAGAGTGCTTCGTAACACGACACAGACAAGGATCCGACAAGCGAAAGCGAACTACTTTCATGAAGTCCTTTCCTCAGCTCCTGATATCAAATCAAAATGGCTTCTACTTCGTAAGCTCTCCCTCTGTGAACCTTCTAGATCCCCTTCCTCAGTTTTCCCAATATCACCTGATGACCTAAACTCCCACTTTATATCGGTTTCCACCTCTTCTTTACCCTGCCTTTCCGGATTTTCTCCAAAGATACCTCTTAACGACAATAATTTTTATTTTTCCGACATTTCTCCCACAGACCTTATTATCGTTATGATGAAATCCCGTTCCAATTCCGTAGGCCCAGAAGGCATTCCTATCAAACTAATAAAATTATGTCTCCCTGAAATCCTCCCATCACTCCTTTTCATCTACAATTTCTCTCTGCAGAATTCAATATTCCCGACCTCTTGGAAAAAAGTCATTGTCCTTCCTTTAAACAAAAAGCCTAGTTCATCCTCTCCTGAAGATTTTCGCCCAATATCAATTCTTTTCAATCTTTCGAAACCACTAGAAAGGTTAGTGTAATCCCAAGTTTCCAACTTCCTTGAACAATCCAACCAACTGGATCCTCTCCAATCTGGCTTCCGTCCTGGCTACTCTACACAATCTGCTCTGATTAAAATTACCAGTGATATTCAGACTGCAATAGATGACAAAAAACTAACCATACATATACTTCTTGATTTCTCCAAAGCTTTCGATTTCATTATCCATTCCATCCTTTTCAACAAACTAAAATCATTATCCTTCTCCAATAGTTCCATCTCTTGGTTCCAGTCTTTCCTCTCACAACGAACCCAAGCAGTTTCCATACCTAATCAACCTCTATCTGCCTACCTTCCTTTGTCCTCTGGAGTTGCACAGGGTTCAAGCATGTCTCCTCTTCTTTTCAGATCTTATATTAATGACCTAAATAATTCAATTATCCATTGTTCCCACCACCTTTATGCCGTCGATTCTCAAATCTATTTATACTTTTCTCCCGCTGAGTTATTGGCGGCATTTGCCAAAATTCAAGAAGATTTAGATGGAATTAGTGCCTGCGCCAAATTAAATGGATTAAGGCTTAATATATAATATATAATATAATATGGATTAATATATAATATTATTAAGCCACTTTACCGAACAAGAGGGGAGCTCTGGGTATACTTGTTAAGAACGCCGATCATCAGGGGTACTCGCCAATTGTTAAGATTTTAATAAAATATACATAAAAAATCTATTAAAGTAATTAACTTCAGGCTAATAATAATGCAACCGTATAAAAGAAATAGTGAATGAAATAAAATTCAAATATTAAATTAAATAAAACAACTTAAGAAATAAATTAAATTTTTTTAGGGGGAAGATTTCATTACCTGGAGACGCAAATGTCCAAGGATGGTACTGCGTATACATATGTATAATGTATAATAATACATATTATGTGATTTAAATAATTTATAATATCCAAGCAATGGAAATGCGGTTTCTGAGGAGTATAGAGGGGAAAACTAGAAGGGACAAAATCAGGAATGCAACGATAAGAAGCGATTTGGGAATAAAACCAGCAGAAAACACAATTGAGGAAAACAGGCTACGCTGGTTTGGCCATGTCAAAAGAATGCAGGAGGGAAGAATGGCTAAAACTATGTATGAAGTGAAAGTGGAAGGAAGAGTGCCGAGAGGAAGCCCCAGAAAGACCTGGGAAGGTTCAGTCAGGGAGGATTTCGATGGGAGAGGAATGAACTGGAATAGACTCAGTCAGCTGGTGCAAGAACGAGATAAATGGATCAAGCTCTATAAACAGGATCCTCTACACTGATCTAACGGTAGAAGAGGAATTGATTAAGAAGAAGAAGAAGAAGAAATAATTTATAATTTTAATAAACTACCTAATAATAACTAATATGTATGGTATGGGTATGGGTTAACTGGCCGTCATTTCATGTTTTAAGATGTTAAGTACTATGAAATTAAAGGATTGATAGCTTTAGATGTTATGGTTAAATGAAAACACTGGCTCTCTATCTCTGGGTCATTGGCCCAACAAAAGAGTCTGTTGATTCGGTGCCACTGGAAATTACCAGAAGTAAAGATAGGCTTAAGGCTATATGGAAATCAGTTGAAGAAGGTGAAAGAATTATTAAATGCAGTTCCTTTTATTATATTTTGTTTAACATTTTTTTTCTTTTTTTTCCAACAGAGAAGATGTTACAAAGTAATTTTCCGAGTACAACACCAATGGCAATGCATAGTGCAGCAATGTCTTTTACAGTGCTAAAAGCAGGCAAGTTCATAGGAATGTTAATATAGACTAGATGCGATGGTGATATTATTATTAACCAATAATTTGTGCTATAGTAAAACCTTCTGAGGTAATGTCAGTTGTAAGAAGTTATAATGCAAATGAATCTGTAAAACATTATGTTGACTATATTGATGATAAGTGTGCGAGTATGTACAAGTCATATAAACAAGCCCAGTGGGAATATGAAACTAACATTAATCACGATACTAGACAGAAATCTGTGAGTTTATAGCTTATTAAAAATTGTCTTACCTGTTTAGTTTTTTCATAGATAAAGTTGTCATATAATGGCTAAATGCACAATCCATAAGTCCATTTGTCCCACCTCATCCCCATTCCTATGAGATATTGACATAAGTCTAAAGGTAGAGTTTAATATCTGCATTGTAATATTAACAATGTATGTTCTTTAAAAATAAAAATTTTATGGTATGGTTAAAAAAAAGAAACTATATTTCGAACAAGAAAGCTTTGATTGTGTACAATATAGCCTCAATTATATTAATTTATTATATGTAAGACACATTTTTATTCATATTTCCTCAATATTCATTTTCATTTTGTGGCCTAAACAAGAACCAATTTCTGCCCCTATACTTTATACTGCTAACAAAACACTGAGATAATGAAGTTTATGGAGCCTGGTTTTATATATATCTTAAAGCTGATTCTACTCATGCTATGTATATTTCAAGGGAAAGACGTGCCCTTAGAAAGGCAAGAAAAAAACTCAAAAGCCTGTGAGGTATAAGTTTATGATTTTTCTGATATCTTGAAACTGACTGATTTGAAGAAAAAAAAAAAAAACGCAATGTATAATAGAATATACAATGACGGAGCTACTGTAAACTGGTTCAAAATGAAATGGTCAAGTTTGATAAATCTTAGCCTTGTCCAATACTAATCCTATGCTACCAATACCAATATACTACCAATACCAATAAGTATGCATTGCAAATGAAACAATCATTGAAATAAATAATTGAATATAAGTCTCAACTCTCCTATAACTCAACACAAAATTACCCACAATCCAATAGACTAGGAGCTACGGACCATTTCATTTAACGGGAAGACTTAAAGCTAGTAACCATTTTAAATTCCAGATAAACCTCATCTGAATATATAAGTTCGGTCAGTCGGTCCAAAACCCACCCGTTGTTTTCTATACGAAAATTTAAATTAAAAAGGCGTAATTCGACGGTTCATTTAACGGAAACTTGGAAATTCATCATAAACTTCAAAATCCATAATAATCAAAACCCTAAGAACCGAAATGCAATTCAAAGTTCAAGCGCTATAATGTCGTTTCAACTTTTCCTATATTAACGATTATACCCGAGCCCATTAAAAAATTTTATTTATTTTTCAGCTTAATTCAACCTTATGTTGAGTTTTAATATACGAGTAGGCGAAATATCGCTGGACGCATTTTGTTCTGGTCAACAGCCACTTAATCTTCTGACATATTAACATGTCTACATGAGGTACATAGGAAATTTAATGCTATTTCAAACTGATTATAGTGTATTTCTTCGAGAGATGCATAGATTATGAGTTTTGGGAAAAAAAAAACGACGAAGACAGATATTTCTTGTGAAATAAGCAAACAGTCAACATTCTCCAACACATCACCCGTTGGTCTTACTTCAAAAAGCTATGTATAAAATTGATAGTAAATTTTATCTTTTTTAACTTTGTTTATAATAATAATATCGATAAAATGTACAGTTTCAGAGTAATGTAAAAAAAATTAGAAAATTTCGCTTTTTTTTCATATATCTCGGAACGCAATAAAAAATTTCGTCCGGGAACGTCAAATTCAGATTCAGCTTATCAAAAAACATAAAAAATCGAAGAGAAAACTACAATTTGATTTTGTTTTCTTCATCCAACTTTCTTCTGACTGGCCTGATTTGATGACTTAGACGTAGCCAGTTTTCAAAACGCAACGCAGTACATCGTCAGTCAATATGAATTCTCTTTTAGGGACATATTCTTTAAATCATATACAAAATTCAGGCGTCAGTTCTTTCGTTAAATGAACCTTCAAATTTCGTCTTTTTAATTTAAATTTTCGTGTAAGAAGCAATGGCTTTCAATCAACTGACCGAAGTTGTGTGTTCAGAAGAGATTTATCTATAATTTAAAATGGTTACTGGGTATAAGTCCTTACGTTAAATACAATGGTCGGTAGCTCCTAGTCTATAACTTAAAAATACCCGTTTTCCTTTAGGAATGTCCTCCAATGCATTAATTTATACCCGTTTTGGAGGATCTACTTTTTATAAACACAGTCTCATTATTTTTAATTAATTTCTAGTAAATACATCATTTTTTAAAATTAATGAATATGAGAACTTCCAAACTTGTAGCTAATATTAGTAGCATACATAAACTGAGGTATGTAAACCTTAAACAGCTATTTGATGGTCAATCTAAGTAATATTGGGAATATAATGGAAGCGTAGGAAAAAGGGGATGGCCTTGACTTTATGATCAAGGGATGTATAATGGGTGATTATCAGCCAACTCTAGACGTCTGGCGATATCGGCAATTTATTGTATTTAAAAAATATTTTTCAGGATGATTTTTCAGGCAACAGCCAACAAAAATATCCATAAAAAATAATTCTATTTCAAACAATGGGTGTTTATTATTTATTACTAATTTTGTTTTTGCAGAGTTTTCACTATTGCTTGAGCTTTCATGGAAGACAGAGTTATGAAAGTTTGTTTTTTCAGCTTGAGAAGTTAATTTTTTTCTTTAGTTTTTCTTTTATTCCGGAGAATTCGCAAGTTGAGCAACTCTTCCATTTTATGTCATATATTGTTCTCGTGCCAATTTAGACATTTTTGTTTTAAAATTTGGTTTCTCCTCAAGGTAGTATCCTTGGTCCTATCATTTACACAGTTTATACAGCTGACATCCCAACCCATCCTAACACTGTTATTACCACGTATGCCGATGATACATGTGTCCTATCCGTTAATAATGACCCAACCATTGCATCCCAAACTCTTCAATCACACATCACAAGCCTTGAAGAATGTTGTCAAAACTGGAGGATTAAAATAAATTCTAATAAATCCCATCAAATCACCTTTACCCTTCGACGTAAACCTATGACCTCATGTCCCACAGTATCCTTTAATAATACCCCACTTATCCCTGTTGAACAAATCCGATACTTGGACTTCACTTGGACAAACGTCTAACTTGGAATCCTCATACCAGACTGAAACGACAAGAAACCGCTCGACGTTTCCGACTACTCCAACACTTACTAGACAAACGCTCTAAACTTCCTATTAATTACAAAAGACTCATATACTTGACTATAATAAGACCTATTTGGACTTACGGAGTTGAGCTATGGGGCTCCACTAAACCATCGAATTCCTCTCGCATCCAATCCTTACAATCCAAAATCCTTCGTAAAATCCTCAATGCTCCTTACTTTGTCACTAATAAAATAATCCATAAAGACCTCAATGTTCCATATGTTTCCGATTTGGCCAAATCCAGATATCTATCCTTCCATAATAAACTTCATAACCATCCGAATCCTCTTGTTTCTAACCTTGCTTCCTCTTCGATTCCTGATAACCCTCCGAGGCCTCTGAAAAGAAGATGGCCTCGTGATCTTCTCATGTAGACAAATTATTAGAGTGCTACCAGTGGATAGTTTCTCAACAAGCGTGTTTCATGTGATAATATTTCACTGTACACATTTACTTGATGTATTCATACTAATACAGTTGTAAATATCATAATAAAAGTTTAAAAAAAAAAAATTTGGTTTCTTTGCTGGTTGACTAACATGTTATTTTTACACATCACATTGTTTTGTTACCTATGAGTATTATTGTAAACACAGAGACTTAAGGGTCCCTTAGTGGGCAATACTATTGAAGAATTATAATTAAAGGCAATATATTGAAGGGCTCCCTCACATCTGCCAATTGTATTGAGTGAATACTATGTCAGTTCTAATCTTGCTTTCTCAAAAGAAGTAGTTACCTTCTTTCATTTTTCTAAACATGAATAATAATGAATTTTATATTAATCTAATTTTCTTAGCTGATATTAAAAAATAGGGATATATAATAAAAATACCTTCCGATTTGATTGTTACAATTAACTAACTACATTTATTTATAAGTCAAACCATTAATAACAATTTCCATAAATCTACCAATTAATTATTTATCAACCATTCATTTCAAATTACATTATTATCAGCATGTTCAGAGATGGAATATTTCTATAGTATGTTTTATATTTTATTCACACTATAATTCATTCATTATTGGCACAACAGACGCATGTAGCGGTCATTGGCCTGCTCAATTACCTTTGCCCAGTCATCCCTGTTGGCTGCCCACCTGATGGATATGCCGTTTTTTCTCAAGTCTTCTTTTACGTTGTCTATCCATCTTACCTTCGGTCTTCCTCTAGACCTAACTCCCTCTGGCTTCCCATGATAAAGCCTTCTCGCTGTCCTCGCTTCATCCATTCTCAGGACATGTCCTAACTATTTTATTTGTTACACTCGAGTGAATTGGGAGATAGATAGACCACCGCACATTGAGTATACCTCCTTGTTTGTTCCCAAGTGGGGAACTCCTTCCTCCAGTTTAGGTCCTATTTTCCGTCTTAGTATTTTCCTTTCAAACCGATCTATTCGTTCAGCAGATGCCTGTGTTAGAGTCCATGTTTCGCACACATATGTTGCAACTGGCCGAACAATCGTTTTGTATATCCTAAACATCGTTGTACGACTTAACAATCTACTTTTCAAAAGACTCGCTAGAGAAAAGTACACTCTGTTGACAACCAGTACCCTAGCTCCTATCTGCTCCTATTCGTTATTGCTATTGTTAATTATGGACCCGAGGTAGCTGAAGCTTGATACAGCTTGAAAAGTATTCACACTATAATACAGTCTTAATATTTCAAATTATATTTTGTTTCTAGACATTAAAATGTTTCTTGTTTCAAGGCTTTTTGTTTGTTTCCTAATTGTTTGATATTTGAGAAATAGTTTTTTAATAAGAAAAAAATTTTATTATTAAATACTGTTTAAAATTTTTTATTGAATATAGTAGTAGTAAGCCTGAAGTATTGTGTCACCCAGGGACTCTCTAGGCCCTAGATCCATATAAATGATTTAATATTGCTCAATATAGCCCTTACATGTTGCAATTATATTGACACTGTTTCAATAATATTTGCTGGTTTGATTGACATCAATATAATTGGTACCAATGCAGCTCTTAGGTGGTCGATATATATTGACAAAATTCGATATTGACTGATCTAAGGGACATTTAGAGAAAAAAAGATTTTAAGAAACAATCGTAGAAAGTTGAAATAACAGTTGGACTTATGGTCATCTTATAGTATAAAAGAAATGTTCAGATGTTATATTTGTTTTCATTTTTTTATGACATTTATTGTTGTTTCTTTTTATTGATTTTTAATTTAAAACCTTGCCCGCAGTTGTTACTCTGTTTTTATGAGCATTTTTTCCATACTGTACCAATCAACTTCAGAGTGAGAGATGAGTCATTGATCTATTCAAAGAAGCCATAAACAGTTGCACCAGCCAATCATATTTTACATGACAAATCAGAGTGTTGTCAACCTCCTCTGTTCTCCTGTACTTGTTAAAAAGTGGAAATAAGTTTCCTCATATTATGCTAAGATTTTCAACTTCTTTTAAATTATAAATTTCTTTGATATAGTGATTGCTCATTCTATTTTCAAAGCTCTAATGCTAAATTTACATTCCAATGCAATTCGATTTGTAATGCTACTCAATATTTCATTGATTTGAGGTCCATTTATTTTTATACTATTTAAATCTGTGCCCCCGAGGTAAAGGACACCATGTCCATTTGTTAATAAATTTATTTAATTTCTAAGAAACAAATTTTAATAGCTCAAAGTTATGGAAGATTGGCTTCCTGTACAAATACAAAAATGGACTAGGTATTCTTACCTCCGGGATGCAGAAATATTTGCATTAGAATTTTTGTTTGCCTTCTCCCAATTACGATGTTAGTAGCTATTGTAAATAATTTATTAACTTTGAAATAATATTTTTTTGATGAACATAAAACTAAATTTTCAATTTACAGATGGCCTCCTCATTACAATTTAATCATTTTTTAAGAGCTGTAACAAATGAATTATCTATCTTTAAAAAAACAAATTTAAATGACATGAAGCTTCGAAGGCAGATTAAACTTCTTGCTTTGCCTGGAATGGACACACTTTCAGAGATAAAATCTAATGAGGTTAATGTTTACATTTTTATATAATTTTTTGTTTTAAGTTGGTATTATAGTAGCAAAATAACACTAGTAACTTTTAATCATCAATAGCTTTGATCAGTTCAGGTGAAACTGAATAAGATCAAAAGTTTTTTTATTGTTATTGTTGAATATAATGAGATGATAGTCGTGAGTTCAGTAAAAGTTGTTATTGCCAGTAAAGTATGAATCTAAATTTAAAGTGGCCAATTATTACTATTGTTTTACTGTACTTCAGGCCAATATAAACATATTTTAGTTATTAGGAAATTATTATTACATCGAGAATATTAATGATCCAAATCAATGGGATCCTTCAGCAAAGGTGATTTTGGGAGTATTATTTTTAAAATATCTCAGATTATTGGAAACAGATTTCCCAGAGCTCAGATCACCGAGATGCCATTGTACCTGTATAGACTTTTCAACTTAGTTTAATATTGATAAACTATGGGCTTTGTTTTAATTATGTTTTCCTTATTGATCATTATATTTTTCAAGCATAATATTAATTTGTAAATATTTTAGTTGATTGAAAGTAAAGAATTGTTTTCATAAATTTTTCAGAACAAACTTGTAAATGATCTAAGGTTAATTTTTTTTTTAGTTTCAACAAATTCTTTATGCCATGGAAGCAATTTACTCTTCTGCTATGGTTGGTAAATATAACCTCCAATCACAAAAAATAGCCTTGAATCCAGGTAAAAACATACATAATTTAATGTAATATTCTTCACTAAAAAGGAAATTTATGGTATCAAATAGTTAGATAGTACATAGATTGGACATTATTATTGTCATGTATGTGATCTATTAAAAACATCAAATCCATGAAAGATGATTTTATATTTAACAAAATAAACATGGGTCTTACAGTATAGTGTCCAAAAATATAGTATAATCAAGAGGGAAAAAAATCAAATAGGTTTCCAAAAACATGAATAGATTTCCAAGAGAACAATATGTATTTACATTGACATTTGCTCTGTCCTATATTTTTTCATATTAATTATGCTACATTTATAACATATAAGGTAACAGGTAACATTATCTATTTTCTTTTCAGATATAATAAATATAATGGCTCATAGTGTTGATCCAAATGAACAAAAGTATTATTGGTTGGAATGGAGAAAAGCTACTGGAAAGCATATTAGATCATTATTTGAGCATTATATCTCATTGATGCAACTTGCTGCTAAAACAAATGGTAAGAATATTGATTAGTTACATTTATTCAATGCAGAGTTTTACAGCATTACATTTCAAAGTTATTGTTAACTAACACTGAAACTAGATTAAGTGATTAAATCATGCATTTTTTTGACAATGGAGAGATAAATTGGTATAATTACAAGATGACAAGAATAAATTGGTGTATAACAGATTATTTCGGACAGATGTAAACATCAATTTTATGTTTTCTTAAGGACTGGCATAATTTTTCAACTACTAGTTACTCATGGCTGAACTGGGGAAATGTGGAGGAGTGGGGATGGCATTTAATTACAGGGTAAGCATGATACGCCAAAACTGCCAAACCCATGTTACCAACAGACAAAGTAAATAAATCAATAGTTGAGTTATTCTTTCAAAGAGGCCTTAAAAATAATAATAAAAAATTCAGAAACCAGAACTGGATGAAAGATGATTAATGCTTTAGTAGAACAGTGTCACAGCTTTCACTACTTGAAATTCAATTGCTTTTGGGGAATATTCCCCTATAGTTTTATATACCTATTTATAATTATTCTATTATCAAAATTATGGGGATTAATATATTTGAATAAAGTTAATGTATTTTGACCTAGATTTGGTCCTGCATGTTTTGTTTTTTCATATTTGACTTTGTCATAGAAGAATATATTTTGCCATGAAGAAGTTGGCTAGATTCTATTAAAAATAATTCATATGGTGCTTCTTAAAATATACCTACATCCATTGTTATTTTATTAACGAAAAAACTATTAGTTCTCTTCCAAATTTCTATTTAATTATCTGTACCTCATTATATTATTTACAACAAAGATATTCTTGCAGTTAATTTAAAATCTAATAAAATTGAACTATTAATCCATAATATTAATTACTATATTGACTAAGAAAAATCAAACTTGATAGGAATATGAATTCATCACATTATTGTTATTATGACAGGCTTTCACGATGCCAGTGAAATGTGGACAAGACAGTATGAATCTGATGACTTTGTAGATATCCTTAGTATTTACTGGGAAGGTGTGAAGCCATTGTATTTGCAGTTGCATGCATATGTTCGGCACAAGCTCCATGGTTTATATGGTGATGTCGCTGGTGCAAATGATTGTGGAAAGATTCCTGCTCATTTAACAGGTGCAATATTTAAAAAATAATATTTCATTTAAGTTTGGTTATTGGTTATTACAGTAAGTGAGGGTGTGGTTTAATATAGAGAAGTATTAAAGGATCATAGGGTATTAAATCAAAACAGTCAAGCCTCAATTATACTCTAATGGACACCACCAGCGACCAGATCCAAGCCAACCATGTCCAAGCAGATCATTGGTCTGAACCTTTATTTCTATATTTTTTATATTTTACAAATTATTTACATCAATCAAATAATACATTTAATAAATAATAAAGTAATTTTCCATAAGAAGTGCATACAGCAGAAAGTGGAAATCTATTTACAATTTCATGGGGACTGGGTGGATAAGAAATGATTGAACAGGCTGGATTTAAAGGTAGGAAGGGTATTAGATTGACGAATGTGAGAAGGAATGGAGTTCCAAAGGGATAAGGCTCAGAAAATGAATGATCTGTCGAAAGCAGTGGGCTCTTATATATAAATCAGAAGACCGGGAACGAGTATCGCAGGAACGAACAGAGGATTTGAATTGAAGGAGCTCGGAGATGTATGAAGTACAGTGGGATTGGATGACTTAAAAGAGCAAGGATGCCAGGAAATATTTACGACGGTAGGAAGGATAAAGCCACTTCAACTCTGCATAAAAATGGGAAACAGAGGCGTCCCTTGGTATCCCGAAGATGAATCGTACAAAGCAATTTATCAAACGTTTTAGTTTCACCTCGAGATCCCCACAGATGCTCCCATATACTGAACAGCAATAGTCAAAGTGGAGAAAAATTAAGGAAGTGATTAAGAGCCTACGGGTTTCAAATGGAAATAGATGACGATAATAATTTAGATGTTTTAGAGTGAAAATGGTAGACAGAAAATATTGAATACATGGTGAGATAAAATTTTATGGGATTATCATACAGGAACAGAGTTGAAATATTAGGAACACTTTTAAGGAGATGATTGGAACCTATCAAGATTGCCTTCGTCTTTTCTGCATTTAACTTCAACTTGTTAGCTTTCGCCCAGTCACAAATTCTATCCAAGTCTTCTTGAAGTTTTTCTTTGGCTGATAATAGGTGGGAGGACGGGAAGGACAGGTATATTTGGCAATCATCTGCATAGATACATCACTCGCTATGTGTATATATATACTTTATTTTATTTTCTCTTCTCCTAATCTTTACGCATAATCACTTAAATATCTTAGGGAACATATGTATATCATTATTTGTTTTTTTATATATTTTTTTGTTTTAGTTTTTACAATTTCTTTCCCTACATATTAACAGTTATTATTTTTTTTTTTTTTTTTTATATTTCATCACTACAATGCTTTACCTATAAAATAGATTTTACTTTCCTTTCTAATTTCATTCAGTGATTATTATGCAATTATTTTAGCTCCAATATTGTAGTACTGAACCCCTATTACCAAACTGTCCTCGTTAATTTATCCTAAAAGCCTAATTAATACTTAATGTATAATATGTATTTTGTCATTATTCATTGTAATAAGTCTTTTGACCAGATTTGTAGTTAATATATATGAACAATACTGTTATTCTAAAGGGACCTAGTCCCAGAATAAAGATGATTTTTCTATTCTATTCTATTCTATTCTAGATATGGTATTGGGAGTGATGGATCATGAGGGGAAGCTCATTAATGTAAATTGCAAACAGAGTAGGAGATAAAGAGGAACCTTGAGGGACATCACAGGAGAGGAGAAGGGTCTTAGATAAAGGTTGATCTAAGACTACTACATACTGAGACCGATTTGAAAGGAAGGATTGGAACCAATGCAGAGAACTGTTGGATAGAGGAAGATTGTGCAATTTAGTAAAGGGGATGTTATGGTCAACTGTGTCAAACGCTTTGGGAAAATCTATAAGGATGAGAATAGTAAGGTTTTGGTGTTCAATGGAGTTTTGGTGGTCATGGGTTATTTTAAGGAGAGCGAATTGCGTTGAGTAGCCAGGACGAAAGCCAGATTGGAATAAGTTAATAAAGGAACGTTCCTCTAGGAAGTTGGAGAGTTGATTTTGGACAAGGTGTTCTAACGACTTTGAAAGGTTGAATAGGAGAGAAATAGGACGGAAGACATGCAGTGTAGTAGGGTTGGAAATATTATTCAAAGGTCAGACAAGGGCAGTTTGCCAGGAGAGTGGGAATACATATGGTTTTATATTTAATTTTATGGATAGTGGCTATAGCATTTACTATTTATTCACTGTTTATCTTGAAATATTATATGTTGGCCTCAATAGAATGAATAGATAATCTTAGGAAGGTAATGAAAGTGGAGCAGTTAATTCAAATAGGAAATAGTATTTCCAAAGTACAAATTTTACTCAGAAGAGCTCATTAACGCTTGAGTAGTTGATAATTCAGTAATAAGTAGTTAATCTTTGATAATTTATTTTTATGTGGAAAATACAAATAAATAACTAAAGATTCTCAATGTTCAGGTTGTTACCTTTCACTAAGTATATGTCAGCAGGCATTAAAAAGTTATGTTTCTCAATTAATCATTGTAAATATCTCTTAGGATCCTGAGTAATATATAAAATTCTTGTAGGTGATATATGGAGCAAAAATTGGAAAAATCTTTATTCAAAAGTTAAACCTTACAAAATAAATGATTATATGGATCAGCCATTAAAGAAAAAAGTAGGTATCTGATCTAATTGCATAAAAAGAATTTAATTATCCAGAACATAGTAATTACAGAGAGGACTGATAATATACTCATTCTATCCATTACAGATGACACCTCAAAGGATAACCAGAGATGTCGAAAATCTATTTGTATGTATGGGCTTTTCAAAGCTACCCAATAAATTTTGGGATAACTCTATATTTACTAAAGGTAAACACAAACTGATTCTGTGCGAACCATCAGCCTGGGATATGGGTGACGGTTTGGATTACAGGTAATATGTATGAACCTGTACAGGAGATGAAATACACCTCATAAATTTTAAAATATTTGTTTACATCCAATTAAATGGAATTTTCATTTGAAATTAGATAAAGAAACTCAATATTGATTCAGAAAGATTTATTAAGAAAGAAATAGCATGGATTTGAAAGACTTATAGGAAAGTTTGGCATCATGCATCTAATTTTGACATCCCCACAAGGATACAGTAACTGAATAACCAATTTATATTGTATAGATAAAAAAAAAAATCAATCAAAGAAAGTGATGTCAAAAAAAAATGAGTTCATTTTCCAAGATTGTTCTGCGACTTGGAACCTATTGTGTACGTCTTGTTGCTATAAAAATTAGAAGTTTCTGTAAAACTTCGCTGTTTATAATAGTGAGGACCAGTTAAGACCTTAAGCTGATGACTTTTCTCAAGCATTCAGAAAAAAAAATGTCTAATGTTTTTGAAAGACAAAAGAATGTCTATTATTTTTCTATATTTTTTATTCTTCCTAGATAACTTTTTTTTGTATTAATTTATGTTTTCTTAATATATTTATAATACAATATTTTGTCACTCATTTCTTTTCCTCATCTCTAATTTAATCAAATCTTTTTTTTTTCTTCTTCTTTAGCTAAGAAAGCACAAATTGACAATTTTCATCTTCCCTACGTATTGTAATATCTCCTATTTTTACTAATAATAAAACTCCTAGAAGGTCACTTCATATTGTAGCGATACTTCCAAAAGAAATAAGAGGTTGTTAAATAAAAAACAAAATTATAATAATATTGTTATATATATATATTTTTTTTTTTATATAACTAAGTTTTTCAACTCACACCTGTCAGAAGTTCCGACAATCAGCAAGTGTGATGTCAAGATGTAGAAGGTTAATAGGTCTTGGAATAGGTGTGAGGGAGAGGAGTGCCCAGCGGCATCCTTCCTGTCTTGAATGTAATATTTATAGTTAGTGGAGGAGATTCCTCATCCAGCTTCTTTTAAGCCTCCTCCGGGTGCTATCGGGCATGTTAGTTGTGGCCATGCCTCGAATGTTAAATTAAACTGATATTATAATTATTTTATCTCAAGGGATGGGATTCTCACAATCAGATCAAAACACTCAAGACAAACTAAAATTATTAACAATTAACACTGTTTGATTTTAAAATAAAGTCAAGGATGGATTGGAAAGTAATCTTTTTTCTATTTACACTTTTCTTCCTTTGTGACACTGAATTCATTTGTCTTCAAATACTTTCCAAAATGGTAACACTTTCATCTACTCAATTCAAGTTCCCTGGAATATCCTTTCTCTTGTAGTTCCAAACAACTGAAATCCTTTGTTCATCCCCCTACGAGCCATTTTCCTCTTTTGGGAAACTCTGGGGCAGTTATTTTTTTTTTCCTGAACTAGTGAAACTATTTTTCAATTTTTTGTTATACTTATCTTGAAAGATCAAATTTTGTTGGAAGAATGTTATCTTTTTTTCTTGGTTAATTACAAAGGTTGATTATTGAAAATAATAAATAGTAATTACTCATTATATTTATTTTCCTGTCACTACTTGATAAGAAAAAGTAATTGTATTGAGGTAAAACTTTTTACAGTTAATTTTTAAAACATTTTTATCTTTCAGGATAAAGTTATGTGCAACTCCTAAAATGGAAGACTTATTTAATATTCATAATCTTGTAGCATTAATAGAATATTATAAGGAATATCAAGGACTTCCTTATGCATTTAGAAATGCAGCTAATCCTGGTAAAATGTTTTATTATACATACAATATTATTTAATACAATTAGAAATAGTTGATAAGATATGTCAATAATAATGATAAGGCTAAATGAACCACTAATTAATAAGGTTTAACATAATGAAACTAATTAATAAGGTTGACATAATGAAATCAAACATTAATTCATTATCGAACCTGACAGTTCTACAATATCATTTAACCATCATTATTATAATTATATTCATCATGGTTACAATCTGTGATTCTACATTCATGGTGAATATTGATATTGGTAATTGAAATTCCTGACTAAATTTAAAAATTTTCATGTTTTTTTCTGAAAATTACCTTTTCACAAATTGCTTACATATATGTAATAATAAACCAATCTTATAAATCAGTGTATATTAGAAACATCTTATACTTTTATAATTTACATAAATCTGGATATGTAGAATTTACATGTAAATTTTATTTTTATTTTTCAAGTCTAAGAAAGATAACTGATTAATTATATATAACACCACAACAATATATTAATAAATACAACAATACTACTTCAAAAATTACCTTGGTTAATGAAGGGAAAAATATTTAATTACAGTATAAATGTAAAAATCCAAGACTATAAGTTATAAAACTCTAAAGTATAAGTTAATAATCAATGAACAGTTAATGAAGTTCAAAGTATAGCTTAACATTAGTAGAAAAAAGATTTTTTTAAATTTTTTTTTTTTTAGATCAGCCTAAACCAACGAAAGAATAACATTAATGACTTATTGAATTTAAAAAGAAATTAAAAATACATAATTGGTACAAATTCTCTTTGTTATCCAATTTCTTGTTAAACAAACAATTAAAACTCATAAAAATTGAATTATTTAATCAAAAAAATTGAATAATATAAAATATAAAATAAAAATACAGGATAAACTAAGGAACTATAGTTTAAAATCTTTATAAAAACATACCTAAGAATATAACGAAAAACATTTTAAGATTTAGTTAAACCAATCAGATCACAATGGCATAATATATTTAAAAAATATAAGAAACAAGTAAATTAAAAATATAAAAAATTAAAAAATATGACTTTTATTTTAATGCTTGATGAAACGTGGTTTTAAAATGAGAAGGATTTGATCGGGGGGTGCGGTTAAATAAATACTAAATTATAGAAATAGTATTATTTAATTTTTGCCAACGTTTCGACCCACTTTGCAGGTCTTCATCAGGGCGTAGGATGTAGCACTGCGGGAGGCAGTTGAGACACTCTAGTATTTCAACTGCCTCTAACACTCAAGTGTTAGAATTTCAACAGCCAAACACTCTAGTGTTCAGTGTTTCAACTGCCTCCCGCAGTGCTACATCCTATGCCCTGATGAAGACGTGCAAAGTGGATCGAAACGTCGGCAAAAAAATTATATAATACTGTTTCTATAATTTAGTATTTATTTGACCGCACCCACTGATCAACTCCTTCTCATATTATATCACGGTCAACCATCTCTACATCATTGTGGTTTTAAAATGTTCTTAGAAGTAATTGAAAACCATCGATCAAAATATTTTTGGTTTCAACAACAATTTATGTTTTCAGGATTTTCTGAGGCTATTGGGGAAACAATAGTATTATCAGCTCAAACAAAAGATCATTTAAATTTTTTTGGAATTCAATCTAAACAATCTGAAAAGGCAGACATAAATAAACTGTTGAGGATAGCATTGGAAAAGGTCGCTTTCATACCTTACAGTTACATTTTAGTACTCTGGCGGCATAAAGTTTTCATGGGTGAAATCAATGTAACTAATTACAATTCTGAATGGTGGAAGCTGAGGTAGGTTTATTATCTATTAAACCTTTCTTCTACTAACACCTCAAGTGACAACCTTTCTCAAATTTGATTTATTTCAAGGTCAGAGTACCAAGGAATTTGTCCACCTGTTAAGAGGACTGAAGATGATTTTGATGTTGGATGCAAGCAGCACATTATTGCTAATCAGCCATATATCAAGTAATATCCTGATACTATGTGTCATTAGTAATAAAACATATATCTAATGTAATATTCAAATATTTGAAGGTACTTTCTCAGCACGATATTGCAGTTCCAGTTTTATGAAGCACTTTGTAAACAATCAGGTTTTCAAGGACCTCTTCATAAATGTAATATAATAGGCTCTGAAAAAGCTGGGAAAACCCTAAGGTAAGTTTAGTTTTTATATCAGAAGAAAATGATTATTATTTTGAAACATAGAAGAAAACCTTTTCTTTGTACCATCTCATTTATTATATTCATATGTTATTCCGAGCATTCCGTGTTCTGCACCATATTCTGCTAAACAATTTATATATATATATATATCTCCAATAATACATTATAACTTCTAATTGTCACATAGGATTCTGCAGTTTCTATGTACCTCTATCCACACTGTCAAACATTTTGCTTTTTTTTTTCCAATCATTGTTGGATTCTCATACTGTATGTTAAAAAACAAAAGAATATGGAATAATAGAAATTATTGTAGTGATAATCTGTTCTATTGTTAATTAATTGGCAATGATGGCAATTGTTTGTAATACTACTTACAAATATATATATATACATAGTAACAAAAAATATGAAGAGCTTTCTTCTATATTTCAAAGTAAAATACACAGTCTATCTATTATACATAAAAATAATTATTTCTTATTCAACTTATTTCAATCTAATCTATGCTGTTTCTAAAATCTTATCTAGATACTTGTGTAAAAAACTCATTATCTAGGCAATTCACTGAAAGTATTACTATGGAACTTTAAAGAGGGGAAATTATTAATAATTTTAATTAATAAATTATTAATACCTTGCAGTTATACAACTTTCACCTGTAACAGTCGTTGATGACCCTAGAGTTTTACGCCTCTAAGCCAAAATAAACAAACAAACAAACTTCCTCCTCATAAGATTAGTTAGAACTCCCTATAACATATTAAATCAGTGTTGGTAATGCAGTTGATTAGTGATTGGCCCTTTTTAAAAATTATTTTATGAACCTAAATATAAAGTCTGTGCTAGTTCTAAAACTTGATGGATTCTTCATTTATATGAACAAAGGATTATTATTTTTCTTCTGCAGGCTATTTATAGTATTGTCTATAATTAACTTTTTAACAATATATCAAAAAAGTAATAGTTTATGAAAAAGAAACATTTTTTTATTTCAAAACAAATTCATATTTCAAAGTTTTAAAGGGTGCTAATAAGAAATTTGAATTTCTTTGTCATGACAAACATTTGCTTGACCTATTTTACTGAAAGTATCTTATGGTTTTTGTGATTTATTAAACAATTGAATTAATTCAATACAATTAGCAACATTTTTTTCTTATTTTGCACAAAAACAAATTTATTGAGATATTATAACCTAGAAATCCATGCACAGCAAAGACAAAGAACAATAATATAAGAAATAATGTTAAAATTTCACAAATAAAAAAAAAATGTTCTCAGCTCTTAGGGCACATTGAACCCTCAGAAATAGATCTAATATTTTTTGACGACCTATTATCACAAAAAAAAGTTTGATTTAAATTGGTAAACATATGTTAGTAGCCTTCCCTTGTAAGACGGATCAAATACATGTTTTTTCCCTTTCTCTTTCTCGGTAAGAGATCTAATATAAGCATAAAAATGAAACTTTTAAGATCTATTTCAAAGCAGAAGAACCCAAGAAAATAGCAATTCCAAGGATGATTACAAAATGGGGCACTCCTGTTCTTAGAGATAACAAATCTACTGTAATAGATGACGATTTATAAAGATTACAATTTTTTTTTCTTTTAATAAACAATTATATGTTAACATATTTATAATTTGTTCCATGAATTTTCCTCAAGGGATGCTATGTCAATGGGCTCTTCTCGCCATTGGAAAGACGTGTTGGAAGTCCTGACAGGAACACGTAAGATTGAGAGCAGGCCACTGATGCGTTACTTTGAACCACTTATGGCCTGGCTGCAGCGAGAAAATAAAGAAAAAAAAACACAACTTGGATGGGACAAGTAGACTGAAATATATTTTAATTCATTATTGAAGAAATAATTATTATTTTTTTCACTAACCGTTCTATACTTATTTTAATATTAATATTAAGATCTAAAGCAGAGCCAGAAATTAAAAACTATGTCACATTCACAATTACATTTATTTTAGTATTATTTAATTTCAACCTTCTTATATAATATTGATTTACCTCTCATTTATTTGTTGTTAGCTAGTGAGAAAAATATCCTTCGTCTAAATCAGCCGAGTTGTTCAAAACTTGTGCTGAAATCCCGTTTTCCCTAAGTCTTAAAATGAGAGTTGAGAACTAGTTTATTACTGCCAGCGGAAGCATTAGACATTTGATATTTCTGGCAGGCAATGATATGAGTGCCTAGTTAATCTCCTCTCCAAAATATAATTTCAATAAACAGAAAATACTTTAAAATGGTGAGCATATTGTTGACCATAGTTGATATATTAGAATTTGGTTGGAGGCGAGGTCAGAGATTAAATTACACACAAATAAGAAGCCTTATTTTTGTTTATTTCAGCTCTGAATACGGCTTTGAATTGTATTCCATTCAATATTTTTCTGGCTCAGTTGCCTTATTGATAGGCTAACATAAATTAATCTTATACTTTGCATTCTTTTATGATTCCCCTCCATATCAGCGCCCCAAGACATGTGCCCAGATTACATAGTCCTCAGGCCAGCACTGAGCCATACAATAGTTTCATTTGGCCGCTGACAAACATGGTAACATAAATTTTATCAAACATTAAACAGCATCTAGTAGAAAAATAGAGACCCCATATTTTAATCACTTAAACGCATTTTATAATTTCTAGGTTAATTGCCTATTTTCCTCATCGTGATAGTCGCTTGGTTTACAATAGATCTTTGCTGAATTTGAAACAAGACTTAAAAATTAATAAATACTAAAGATTAAATATGATTATGAAGAAATATATTTATATTAATTGATTATGGCTGAACTATATCATTACTGTAATTTATTCCCAGGTGGTCTGATTCCCTGAATGAATAAGTTTACTTTCATTTCATGTTAAATTTTGATTAGATTTTTTTTTTTTGGGGGGGTTAAGATTTATCTTGCAACACGTTGACTATCACACTAAGACTGAGAGAATATGATCAGATTTTCATCAGCTTATTAAAAAAAAAAAATGTAGATAAAAGTAAAAATAATTTTTATATTGTTAGAAAATACATAATAATTTTCAAAACATTTTATACAATATCCTTTAATGATACAAATAAATAAAATATAAACATATCAACATGACAAAACAAATACAGATTAATATCTTCAAAGCTAATTAGTGCAGGAGGTATTTTGTGTCGTAAGCCTCAATGTATGAGTTCACGAGATCAGCTATTTTCATCGATGCTTTAGAATACCAGGTGAATGACTGCTTAGTAGTATGCAAAGAAATAGATAAATGCGTAACATCACAATTAAGAATTTCGGAATATGTTAAGAAAACAATTATTTCCTGAAACAGAATACAAAGTTAATACTGAATTAATTCACAAAAGTTTATCACAAAAAGCAAAACAACACATTCAATCAATTATGTAAAAAATGACTAGTTTATAACACACAGCTTTTTAGATAATAGTCCAAGGAGGTGATTTGGCTCGTATCAACTTCAGTTTTTAAGCTTATTGAGGATAATCATAGTGATATTGATATTTGAGATAATCATGTGGCCCATGTTTATATTTCAGAATTAAATTTAAATACAGCGATTAAAGACAAGGTCGGATGTTAAAAGAACATCCTTCACCTGATCGGGACCAAAAGATTAAAGTGGTATGACCACTTAATGCAGATGGATGAGAACCGCTGGTCAAAGAAAATTTATAATTATATGCCACCTGAAAGAAGGAAGCGTGGAAGGTCAAAGAAGAAATGGATAGAGAACGTGGAGAAAGGCATGGCAGCCAGAGGGCTTCGTGAAGGAGATTGGATGGACAGGGAGCAGTGGCTTTAGGCTGTTGGGGATATGACTCCTAAAGTTGTAGAAAAACACAAATAAAAAAAAAAAGTTAAATTTCTATTTTAATTAATAATTGATTAATAATAACTAGTTCCTTATTAACAAGTAATTATCATACTTGCTCATATTTTGTAAAAATAGCTGTTAAACTAACCTACAAAGTGAAGACCGATTTGAGATTATATACTTATCAAGTAGCAAATGCTTTGGTAGTAGCTTAAGTAAACTTAGAGTCTGAATAACCATTTTTCTGGGCAATATAAAAATAATTATAATTTTAACAGAATTTTAAATTGAGTTTTGAACGGAATAATTCTACAACTCCGTTTTGAATCTTGTTCGAAAAATTCAAAGTTTCCTTTGAAATAGTTGACTGGAATGGATGGCATTTGAAAAATACTAAATCTTGATTGTAGCTGAATCACATCAGCTCTCTAATTTTTATTTTTTTGTAATAAGAAATTGGTGTGGCATTAGCTTTTGAAATAACAACTGATTTCCATTTAATAATACTGGGTGGCAGGATCGTACATAGCACCTAACTATTCACTATAAAGTTCTAAATCAATGGAGTGACATTCTGGTATAAATTCATAATGAATTATACCTTTGTAATTCCAAAATATTAAGAATATTTATTTCTTTTGCTTCAGGACTATCATACAAGACTGACAGTAGTCTAACTATTGTTTCTTGGAAATAGAGTTTCTCCAATAAGCCCTCTTTTATCTTATGTAAAATGCTTTGATTGATGCAACACTTGATGGAAAAAAGACTTTTTGGGGGTTTTGAAAGTTTTAATTTTTAGTCGATGGCATGCCTGGCTTCATGTTGAACTTATGGGGAATGACTCTTGATGGAACATTCACTTCTTCCAGGTTATGTAGCCAAAACAAACCCAAAGACCAAACTGAAGTCAAGAAGACTTTTTACTTAGAAATTATTAAAATGATCAGAGATTAAAGTAATTTCAAACTTCATTGAATTTGAAGAACAATAGATCATAGATTAAAATTTTCAAGAAATTACTAACCAGATCATTTTATTAAGATGATCATTGCTGGTGAAACTCATATAATAAAAGTAATTAAAAAAATTTGTGTAATAATAAATTGTACAAGACCTGAATATTACCTTGGTTGATGAGTAAACAAGACATACACCGTTCCTGTTAACAACAAGAGTTTTTTGTTCATCCTGTAAGCTACTAGACTGATACACAATAAAAAAGGCAGAACCAAAATTTGGCCATTTTTGAGTTTCCTTAAGGAACATAATCTTTGCTTCATCACTTTTCAAAACTAAAACAAAATCAATTTATGTAAGTCTGAAGTTGTTAAAGAAAATATAATTTAAAAAAAAATTACTTTTGTTTTGTTCATAAGCCCTTATTAACCCATTCAACCATTCTTGAGGGTTCAATCCATGTAACAACTGTTCAGGAATTAGGTTTGATAAATTTTTCCTTTAAAAAAAAAATAAACTATTAATTCTTTTACTATATTTTAGCAACACTGCAAAGATTGTTATGATTGAGTTCAATATTTCTACATTGCCAGTATTATAGATATTTTAATTAATATAAAAAAATTGAATATTTATGTTAACTTAAAACTTACAACATTTCTTTTGAAACATCTGATGGACTGATGCCTTCTTCTAAATCTGCAATGAAAATTAAAGCTCCAAGGTACATAGCATCATTCGCTGTACAATTATGAGAGCCTATAAGAAAGTAATTAATTTTTAATGATAATTTACATGAATAAAAAAAAACAAATATTATTAAAGATTATGAGTTTTAAACAAAAACAAATTTTGCTTCATTTTTATTAATACATAATTACCAGCTAAATATTTTGGAAGTTCTTGGTAGTAATGACATACTAAATCTGCGATTTGGTCAACTCCAGCATAAGTATTCATCCACAATTTTTTAACAAACATTAAATCATATTCATACTTTGGAGTCTCAAAATTACCTTTAAATGTTGTTAAAATGATTATTGAATAATGATAAAATAGTATTATAAACTATAACTATAAATATCATATTTTAATTTAATTTTTATGTTTATTTTATGCATATTACTAAATATCAACACTTCAACTATCTTGATATAAATATTTTCTCTCTAAGAAAAAACTTTTCTAAAATAAAAAGGTTGTTTCCTTTGATGAACTGTAGAGTACTGCTTATCTCCTAAAATGACCACATTGAGCTGAAGGGAACGAATCCATGAAACATACAAAAATTAGTTGAGATTTATTTGAATCAAATTAGTGGTGTTTCTTGTTTCAGGTATCTTCAATGGAAAATCAAAATTTTAAAAATCTGGTGCGCGCAATACACAACTTTCACTTACTCCTGCTCTAATTTGAATAGAAATTATTTTCTGGTAATTTGGGATATTATAAAATTTTTGAAGTGCATTTTTAACTGAGCTACAGCTTAAAGCTTACAGCTAACAAATCACTAAGAACATTAAAATTACAAAACCCTATTAATTATGTCAACGGTAGGCAATAAAAACCTTGTTACTCCATTTTTTAAAATTATTAAATTCTTTTAAAAGTTATATTTAGTATTTTTCCGTAACTTCTAAAAATGAGTGATAGTTAATTATTTAAAATAAACCAAAGTAAAGGTACTTTAGAGGAAGACATGTTGAACATTTAAGCCCTGTAAAGTGACATCAACGAGGATAAGACCTCAATCATATTAAAGACCATTTAATTATACAACAGTACACCGAGTATAATCAAAATCGTTAGAGCCGTTTTTGAGAAAATTGTAAAAATGTATAACTGATGATTAAAGTACCACTTTGATCACAATACTTTCCCTTACTCTATATCACATATATAGGTAAGTGAAAGTAAAAAAAAACTTGAAATAAAATCTAACATCTAGTACCAAAAAGAGTTAGTGACCAAAAAGAAAATAGGCTTATTTAAAGATTTTTCAAGGTCATTCATCTTTGATTTAGATTATTTAAAACATGTAGATTGGTTCCCTCCTCTTAAATGTTTCCTAAATATACTTTTTCATCTTCATGAATGTTACAAGTGTTACATTCCATGTGAATGTTATGAACCACATATCCTAACCCTCTGACTATAACATGTGCTTGGTAAATAAAATAAAGCACATTTAAAATTGATAATAATAAAAATATATAAAAGTATTTATACCCTCAGCTGTTAATGGAAAATGGCATGCATCGAGTATAGCATCGAAAAAAAATTCATTAGCAGGAAGTGCAGTAGCAACATCTTCAAAAACAACAATAAGACTGAACCCCTCAGAAGTAGTAAGTCCCAACCAGTTAGAGACAGTCTCCACGATGTCTTTCACTTTTAGGAATGAATTAACTTCAAAGACCTTAAAAAAAAAAAAAAAAAAAAAAAGAAGAAGAAATAAAAAAGAATGGTTATTATGTAAAAATAAGCTGATTTGAGCAACTAGGATATTACATGTTCCATATTATTTGGAAATGTCACAGGATGAAGTATAGAAATTCGATTTTGTACAGCAGCAACTTCAAGCCAATGATGTGGAAATTTTCTAGAACTTTCATGAAACTTGGCCATTTTTATTCTCTGCAAACATTCTCCACTCATTTCACAAGGCCTTGAATTTAACCACAGTTCTACATCCTGAAATAGAAAGAAATATATTTAAAGAACACATGAAACACCGTTATTATGTTAGGAAATATATGGAGGTATTTATTTACAGATTCCCATTCATCCATTCCAATTGGGGCCAAGACTTGGACAGTTAATTTAGAGTATAGAAGAAAACATTTCAAAAAAAGATTGTGTAAAAATATTAGATAAAGAAAGTAATACAATAAAAAGGAAAATAAAAGAAAATCTATTTATAAAAAAATATTTAGAACAAACTCTAAATATAATATAAATATAAGATTTATTCATGATATCTGGAACTAAACTATAAAAAGACATATTTAATATCTTTACCCCTCTACCTACAAACCTAATTGAACTATAATCCTTTTAGTTCGATATTAACCATTGAACCATTCTTATTATATTAAATTAGTGTGACTTATTCAATTTCTTGGAGGAATAAAATGGAAGTAAATATATTTTTAACGATTGTTATATAAAAAAATATTTATATTTATTTTGAAAATATTACTTTTAAATGTTATGTATTTTTAGTTGATAGTGACTGATCCATAACTGAACTTTAAAAAATAAAAATAAATACAAAATTAATTGTATTATTTTGAATTGCTAGAGAGAGGGACAAGGACTCCCCTCCAAAAGTTCAATAAATTACAATCAAAGACTGTAAGGAAAATATATCAGTGTGTTTGAAAACTGAATTATCAACAGAAAGGAAATTTCATAGAGAAGTACTAGATCTTTATTGCAATCATTCTATTCACACAACTTTAATAAAAGTAATTGAAAAATACAGAAGAAAAAGTACAACATAACTACACAGCAGCTCAACAACGTTGAGCTGCTACAACAGCCAGCATACCGATCAATCCCAATCGACATTGTTTAATGAGAGAGGACATGATGGATATAGTTTTGCAGGACTATCATTCAAAGTGTCGAAAGTTATTATTTATTGCCCAGAATTAATATATGTGATGGTACAGGATTCCCGAATCCAAAACAATTGACTTTGCCATACTCTACAGATCGCTCCTTTCCACATCCAGCTTCTCCAAAAACACGGGGGGAATCGCTCCTCTGCTCCCGAACTGAGTATTCTTTTTCACCAAATTCCTCTCTATATTTCTCCCGCAGGTATGGAATGCATTTTTTATAGTTCTCTTCTTTTTCTGTTTGTATTTTAAGATCTTGATCCTCATTATTTGTTTCACATCGAATTTTAGGATTGGCTATCAGAGCCTCTTTTCCCTTCTCACTAAAGGCTAAGATATCTACAAATCTCGTGAAGCCTGATGTATCTCTGCAATACACTTCAAGGAAGCATCTATACTTTTTTGTCTTTAGGAATTCGGCAATTTAATGCATTACATTATTGTGCTGGCGGGTGACAAGATGCATGTTATTCAGATATTTGTCCAGTATATGACCTGGGATTTCTGACTCTCGGCCACATTTGCATCAGAGGAATCCTACATCTCCATTCATCTGGCCCTTGGTTCTTGGAACTCCACTAAGAGGAGCATAGTTAATACTACTACAAACGTAGTAATTTGGCAAATCTAAATGAGACAAGTTGGCTTTTAAAGATTTGAGGGAAGGTCTAAAGACCCAACGGGATGTTCCAATAGAGCTTACTGTGGCATTGCATTATAAAATCCTCTACTGTTTTAGAGACAAACCACAATTCTAACCAATAAGGTCCTACGTGCTATTGGGAGATATTTATAGTGTTTAGATTTTAAAAAAAAAATATTGCTATTTATCAGTTTTATTGCAAACTAAAAATCTATTGAAAAAATAAACCAAGATAAATAGCCCTTGGGCAACATAAAAAGAAAGATTTAGATATTTTCAATAATGATAAACACATTTTTTGGACATATTTTAACTCTCTTGGTTGTTACTATCACCATATCAAAATTCTTATCTACTCTTAACAATAAAGAGAACTATAGATTAAAGATCCAACCCTTCTGCACCTACTCATTAGGTCTGAAAGAGGATACTGGATTAATTATAAGTTTACAGATAGCTGATAACTTATTGTTTAAAGATGTATTTTCCAGTGGGGTAAACTAATTACTTATTAAGTAAATTAATTATAGTACATATTAAATAATTTTACAGATAATCTTTTGAAATTTTAGTAATATTCAGAAAGTCATTTATCATTTATTTTTTACTAAACTTGGAGTGCTCATTAATTAAAATAAAATGCCAACTTAGGATATTGAAAAGATTGATATATATATATATATATATATATATATATATATATATATTTTTTTTTTTTTTTTTTTGTTTAAATTTTATTTTAAATCCATAATTTCAACAAGTCAAAATTTGCTCTAGTTAAGACATTTTTTTCAATTATATATTTATCTTTTTTATTTGAACAATTTAGTCTTACGTTGGCATTAATGCTGAAACTAGTCATCTGAGAAAAAATGATTTGATAAAATTCTTGAATAATAAACTTGAAATTTTTATAATGCTCTTGTGAATTGCAGTGGATTTTTTAATTTTTAATGAACTTTCATAGGGAAGTTTGTTCTGGAGCTATTAGGGCACTCAGCCATTTAAATACCTCTGAGAAAAACCTCACACTCTTTACAGGCTATTTGGTGATCAGAACTTAATTTGGTAGTTTTTATCATCTTCAGAATCACACTTTTACTTATTCACCTCACATTTGCGGGTCACCTTAGCTTTACAAGTCCTTGGCTATTGACTTCAGCCAAACCACAGTGTTGGTTATAGTTTTTTACAAAATACCATGGGTTTATTTTCATTTCATGAAATGCAGCCCAAGCATCAAAAACACACCATCATGCAGATTGTAGAGTTTAAAACAAATAAAGTAAAATGGATGATAATTGAGTTTTTTTAAAGCAGTTGAAAAATCATATAAACATTTAACATGGATCAAAGTTTTATAAAAAATTTCACAAGTTGATTATAATCCCTTACTTTCATTAAAATAGATGATGGAGGAAAGAGACAGGTTGTTAGTAGTAAGAGCTCCCAACCTTTATTAAGGCTTGATTCATTTGGATTTTCTGTCATCTGCTTCAATATTTGACAGTATAATTCATCACGCAACACTTCCTAGAAATAATACATATGTTTTTTTTTTATAAAATCAGTCATCTATTTCTTACTAAATGTTTGTTAATAATCTACAGAGTAACAATAAACCATTTAATATTTTCAATCTATTAAATATATTATCATTTATAAAATTCTATCTGATTGTTTAACATACAAATTGAAGGGGAGGCTCAAAAATAGTTCTAGTATAATTTGGTTGGCCTAGTTGCACTCTGTCTCCCATGTAATGAAGAATTGCAGTACACATAGGTGTTACTAAGTGAGAAAGATTTGATAACCCTCGGTGCAAAGGAGAGAAAATTTTATCAGGAGTAAACTGCCACAGCTCTTGTTTCCGCCCTTTAGCAGGAAACCGATCAGATCTAGTATAACAATAAAATAACCAATATCACATGTATTATTATTTTATTAATTTACATTGATTCAATATTTGTTTTTATTACTGGTTACCTGAAATATTTGGAAGCATACATCTCCAAAGTATGCTTTTTAATTAAAAGCGTTGGCTTTATCTCATACTTGTCAGCATTTATTGCTTCAGCATATGATGCCTAAAAAATGAATCACCCATATATCCATTATCTAGCCTGCTAAGAATATAAACTCATGAAAAATAATATTTTGAGTAATCACCAATATGTTAACAGGAGGTTTTTCAACACAAGGAAGAATTTTTACTAGTTTTCTTGGGAATTCTCCGATGTGACCAGAATCAGCATGATTTCCTCTCATCCATTTTCCATCGCTTTCATGATTACTAAGTACTATTAAATCTCCAGGATGCAATTTCAAAAAACTTTCGTCTAAGTAAAACCATTAAAAAAGGTATGATAAAATCAAATCCTAGTATGTAAAAACTATAACAGTTGTGGTATCACAGATACACAATGTTTATGAAAAAGTGGTTTTTATGTCATTTATAAGTTTAAATCCATGGCTCTACAGTTTTTGTTTAAAGCAGAAATGATTAATTTATCTGTTGCCAAAATGTTATTGGTTAGATTAATTACTTTTTTATGGTTATGTTTTGATGATGCATACATTTGGAACAGTTATGCTTTCAGTTAAATCAGAACTTTTTATTTATGAAAAATATATTTTGAATAGATTATTAATTAGAAACTAACCTGGAGGTGAATAATCACCAATTGCAACGGCATATTTAGATTTTAACATCAATCCATCAAGTATGGAACTAACAGATGTTGATATAATAGCTGCATACTCAGAAGTAAAAACAAATTGATATTGATGAATGGTGAAGATGTGTATTTTATCCTTATCATTTGAATTACCTGCTCTGAACATAAATTATTAACAATGCTAAAATTAACAATTGTTATAAAAAATAAGGTAAAACTAAAACTTCACATTCCCATGCATAGTAAGTAGTGACAACCTGAGTTCCAATAGTAAATTGCAACCTCTTTCCATTGGTATTTAAAATTCTTTTTTTTTTTCAAAAAATCTATTATGAACTTAGTTCATAGCACTTTTAAAGTAAAATTCAAAAACACTTTTCCCTAAAACAGGACACACCACAACTTGTGATGGTGTGTCCATCGGGAGAATCAAGAATAATCTAAGCAAGATAAACCTATGTACTTAAGGTTGTGAGTCCCACAGACCAAGAAAGATAATTCCTCTTTGTCCCCCTTCATTATTCATTTTACCAAATAGTTGGTGAGGTATAAACTGGTGAAGAAAATAAAGTCTAAAACTTTTCAATGAGGGATATTGCCAGTCAATTTCCTTAAATCACCACCAGGTTTAATTTTTTAGATTCACCTTCCAAACAACATATAAATATATATATATATATATTTTTTAATTTACAACTGTATAAACAATACAACTAGTAAAAATGCACACATTAGAAATAATGACATGAACAGACTTGAAGAGATACTGCCCAGTGATAGCACTCCCTATTTAATTCTAGGTGAGAAGATCACGGAAGGTGAGAAGGTATCGAGCGAGAAAGAAGGAGGCTGGAAACAAGTGAATTTGGATGGGACTAGAGTTTATCATGAAAGGATAGATATCTGGCTCGGGCTAAATCAGCGGTGTATCCAACATTAAGGTCTTTATGAATGGTTTTATTTGTGATAAAATATGGGGCATTAAGAATTTTACAAAGGATTTTGGATTGTAAAGATTGGATATGAAAGGAATTCAATGGTTTGGTAAAGCTCAACTCTGTATGTCCATATAGGTGTTATTATGGTTAAGTAGATGAGTCTTTTGTAATTAATTGAAAGTTTAGAGTGTTTGTCTAGTAAGTGTTGGAGCAGTCAGAAACGTCAAGCAGTTGCTTGTCATTTCAGTCTAGTATGCAGATTCCAAGTGAGACATTTATCCAAGTGGAGTCCTAGGTAATGGATTTGTTCAACAGGAATAAGTGGAATATCATTGAAGGATATTGTAGAACAAGGAATTGTAGGTTTACGACGAAGGTTAAATGTGATTTGATGGGATTTATTGGAATTTATTTTTATTCTCCAGTTATGACACTGTTCTTCAAGGTTTTTGATATGTGATTGGAGGGTTTGAGATGCAATTAAAGGGTCATTATTAACAGCTAGGATACAAGTGTCATCTGCATAGGTGGTGATGACCGGTTTGGGGGTCCCTCTACGAACACCAGCAGACTGAGAAAAGAGGGATGAACCTGCATAATTATTATTTGCTTTGAAGTATCGATTAGTAAGGTATGAACAGATAATGAGGAAGTATGTAGGTGGTAGAAATTTACAGAGTTTGTGCAGCAATCCCAGGTGCCAGATTCTATCAAATGCCTGTTCAACGTCGAGAAAGACTCCCGTACAGTACATTTTGCGCTCCAATGCAGACATATTAATATAAAACAGAATTTAGTAGAAACTTACATAAATTCAAAAGATTCAATTTCGATGTATGTGATTTTCATAATTATTTCCATCGAATTTTTGACCAATGTGATTCCATCTGAATTAACAGATAATAATAGGTCTGAAGAACCCAAATAATAACCTGGAATGAAATTTGAGAAATATTACCAATAGTTTAAAATCTGCTTTAATAACAAAATATAAACCAAATTCCTTATATGTACTTATTGCAAAGATTTTGTACAGGAAATTGATTTCATAATAAATTTATTTTTAACATGCCTCAAAATTTTCAATTTCACACATCTGCATGGCACTTGATTTTATATTTATTTAAAATAATAAATATAAAATGAAAAAATATATTTAACTCAATTTTACAAGAAATTTTTAATACTACATAATAAACTAAAACAAAACTTCAATAATAATTACTATGTTACTTAAAAAAAATTCATAAATATATATATATATATATATATATATATATATATATATATATATTTAGCAATTATTATAATTTTTTTTTTATAAATAAGAACTGTATTTATGAATTTATGTTTATTTATTATAAAACATCACAAGTAATGAAAAAAATAGCTTTACAATAATTTATTTTTGTCATTTTTGCTGAGAATACGGGTAATTTTTATGTGAAAGGATATCAAATAAACTCGTTTTTTTACACAATTTGAGATGAATCCCAAATTATTTTGTAATTAACCTCAACTTAATTAATATGGACCTAATTTTTAGTAAACAAACAAGTTTTTCCAAAGGTGGGATATCTGTAGTATAGTTGGCAGATGAAAAAAAAAAAATCGTGAATAAATCATGTTTTTTTTTTTTAAAACATATCTTAATTATTTTATTTTAAATCAGAACTTAGTTTATCTGCTCAAAAGTTGTCTTTACATATTTATAACAATGACAAACTTTACTTTCATCTGAAGTAAATTTTGTTTAGTCTATTGTAATACTATTGTTAATTACTTAAATTAAATATTTTTTTAGTTAATTGTTTGCTTTTCAACATACATTTCCTACTTTTTATTGAAAAATCTGACCATGGTTTTCATAAACTTATTTTATTATAATTGTGGATTATTATAATTATTATTTTATATAATTACAGAGCTTCAAGAAAAATAAATCTTTAAAAAAGTGTAAAATAAAATCATTTTTCATCACTCAGTATTGCCGTTTCTTTTTATAAATGAAAATTCTTAAGCACTAAAATAATCTAATCTCTTGGTAAATATGAAATTAATTTACCAGCTGATAAGTAAACACCATTACTCTTATTTCTGTGTAAACTGAAGGGTCATAATTTTTTTTATTATCAAGTAATAACACTTTTTATTGAGCTTCCCAGATATATTACTCCTCTTAGATAGTTTATGGCACTCAGACATAGAAAGATAAACCTTTTTCTAAATAAACGGAAAAGTTGCCTAAAGAGAAGGATTGCTAAGAGTATTTTGCCTAATTCCAATGCTATTAGAACATTATTATAATTCAAGAACTAAAATCCTTTCATGTCATGAATAAATAATGTCCTTTGATATTATTAAAAGTTATCTTTATTAAATATATAGAAAACCTTCAGAATCACCCCACTACATCCACTTTAATAATTTTTTTTTTTTTTTCAGGGAAACTGTAAATGTATGAATAACGATAATAATAGTGACTTTTTTATTTTTTAATGTAGGAATCTCTTCTGTTTTTGAATTTTTTTTTCCCATCGTAGACATTTTAGGCTCTTATCTCATTTCCATGGACACTTTTTCTTTATAGTTACACTTTTTTTTTTTTATTATTATGGAACATAAAAAATAAAAATGGAAGAGATTACTTCATAGAGAACTCACAAATGTACAATAGAACTCCTCATAAAGTATAAAATGAATACTTGAAATTTCAAGATTAATGTAAAAAATTATACAACCACTATAATTGTAACTGTGTAATAATATAAAATATAAATTCTTAATAATATAGGCTATTATTATTGCTATAATATAATAGACTATTATTAAAATATTATTATTGTTAAATATTATATTTATAAGTTATAAACCGTTAAATTTTATAGATATTAATAAATATTAAAAAGAACAGTGAGACATCAAAATACTTATAACTCATAATTTCTACTCATGGAAAATGTATTATTATAATTGTATTGTAGTGGATATGGTAATATTACCTGCAATTTGATTAACTTCATAATATCTTGAAAACAAAAGGGGCCACTTCTTCTTGGCAAAATTAACAACATCAATTCTAACTTCTTCTTCTGGTATTTTTCTCTTGATAAAATAACTCTTAAAAAAATAATAAAATAAAAATTATATTTCATACTGGCATTGAGATGTTTAACTCTACTAATAAAATACATGATTGAATATAGCATACATAGTATTGCAACATAAAGAAATACACTGACAGGCAAAACATTCCACCCACTTGTAAAAAATCTTGTATTTGTATATAATACATGATATTTGTAGATAATACTTAGTATTCATGTAATTTTATAATCTTTTTTACCTTTAATAATCTAAATGTGATTGGGTAAGAAAGATTAGAGAAAAAAAATTGAAAAACGAACCGTTATTATTCTAAAAGAAATTAATTACATCATCGTTTAGTAGTGCATGTTTCCTCATCTTGCCTTCACTACTTCTTGAAGACGCCTTGGCATACTTTCCACCAGTCGGGAAATGTCCCTTTGCTGAAGGATAGCCCATTCCTCCCGAAGAGCCCTTTCAAGGTCCTGCAGTGTATCAGGAAGTTTTGTACGCGCTCTTATTCGTCTTCAGAGGTTATCCCATAAATGCTCAATGGGGTTCAAATCTGGAGAACGTGCTGGCCAGGCTAAAAACTCAATATTGTTCTGCTGAAGGAATGTCTGCACTATGCGGGCGACATGTGGGCGTGCATTATCGTGCATTAGAATAGAACGATCGCCGATTTCGTTGAGGATAGGCAACACATCAGGTTAAAAAATCTCATCTACATAATGAATGGCCGGCAAAGACCCTCCACGAACAACAACCTATTCTGTGCGGCGCTCCATTGAAATCCCAGCCCACACCATTAAGGAACCATGTTGGAAAATTTGGCTCTGGGAAAAATTACATGCTGCATATCTTTCGTTTCTTCTTCTCCACACCCTTTCACGCCCGTCTGGAGATCGAAGAGCGAATCTTGACTCATCTGTAAAAAGTACAGCATTCCATTCGTCCATAGTCCAATGGCTGTGTTCTCAAGCAAAAGCCAGCCGTGTTACTCTGTGAGTTCTGGTCAAGTCTGGTCCTCTTACTGGACGAAAAGCCATTAATCCATACTCATTTAATCTTCTCCGAGCGGTACGTTCAGAAATGTGCACACCTCGAACTTCTTCAAGCTGATGAATCGCTTGAACAACGGTAAGGTGCCGGTTTATCAAAGTCAAAAACCGGTCATCCCATGGTTCTGTTACCCTTCTAGGACTAAGAAATGTGCTGCAAGAAACGGCACTGAACTAATGATACTGAATAATCATTTTGATTCCATAGAAAGTAAACATTGGAATCTAGAATCATTTCATTGAATTAAGGATTAAGGGTTATTGTCCTCTATATTAACATTCCTAATTGAAAACATACAAAAAGAATACCGATTTATTCATTAAAAACAATAGACCAATCCAAAGCAGAAATATTTTTAGATGAAAACATGAAAAAATCAAGTGGGTGGAATTTTTTGCCTGTCAGTGTATTATCTTTAAATGCCTCAGAATTTATTAGGAATAAGAATGTCTAAAACAGAGGCTATAAATCATTTTGATTTGTGATATACTTCTCCCCAAGCTTGGATTGAATAAAGCAGAGGTGCCCATCCCCCAAAGTCAATGGCGGAAGAACCGTTTCTCCCTCCCAAGATATTTTATTGCTCTCCTTTCCTATCTTAATAACAAAGCAAGTTAAAGTAGAGTTTAAAAAATTGTAGAAATGTTCCATGTTTTCCCCTGGTTTCAAACTTTTCATTCCGAAAATTCATGACTATCGAAATGTGCCCTCCACAAAAATTCAATATCCTGTCAAAACGTGCCATAAATTTTTATGGACAGGACATGTCGCTTGAAGCTTAAAATTATCCATCAGCAAGTCAACAACAATGAATTCTGCAATAGTTGGCAAGAGATCACATGGGAAGATAAAAACCAACAAAATGGATAAATAGAACCAACAAAACTACTACAGAACTCCAGACCTAATTATTTATTATCATTATTCATTAGATCTTATTATACTTTTTACAAGCAATTATTTACACCTATACTATAATAGTGATCTACCAGAAATAAAATGCCGGTTTACAATTTTTATAGCCCTAGTATTTCTTTTTTCTTTTGGCTGAATACTTACTATTTGGGATTAAAATTTTCCCTAAAGTAACCACTTCATGAAATACAAGTTAAAAAATAGTATGAATTTAAAAAATATTAAAATTCTTACTTTATTGAAAGCGTCCGAAACTGCTTTGGCCCAATTGATATGTTTCCTTTTAAGTAATAGCTCAGGAATTACTTCCTTTAGAAAACTGTTAAGGATTTCTGGTAACAATCTTTTACCACAGGATATATAATAATGCTGGGCCACTAAAAGTTCTAGTTCACACTGCTATAAATGCAAATATTTAAAACATTAGAGATTGGCAAGTAGTCGACTGATCAATTATAAGGATGAAACAGAATTATAAGGAATTTCAGTCAAGGTATTTTTATTGGGTTAGATGACATTTCGACCCAAACATGTGGGTCATCCTCAGGGCTATCATTCAGAAGTTAAAACATCGGCTAACCCAATAAAAATATCTTGACTGAAATTCCTGACAATTTTGTTTCAGCCTAAAAGCAAATAATTTATATAGTAATAATAGTAAAATTAATTATTAATTATTTAAAGTGTTGGCAAGGCAGTATTGGTAAAATAAATTATGTGATAAATACATTTATATACAAACAAATGGCAAAATTATGTTATGAATTCAAATATACTAAATAAATTATAATAAAAAAAAATATAGAAAACAATATACTTATATAAATCTTAATTGATATAAATTACCTGTGAGCATTTGTAATCACCAATTGCTATGCCTTTTATAATCTGGATATACGTGAGATTAATTGATACTGAATCAGTTACAGATACGTGCCAAGGAGGGAATATTTCTCGCCTGAAGACAACAGACCATGGAGCTTTTATTTCTGGTAAACCTCCTTCATCAGCTTTCATTTCACATTGAGATATTGCATCCATTAGAAACCATTTATCACTTTCTAAAGATATAGTCTAAACAAGAAACAAAAAATTGAAAGAACTTTAAATATATCATAATTAAACAATATCAAGTTTATAAAACTATATAAAATCTACATTAAAAAAAAGAAGTATTTATAAAAAAATAATTCAATTTACTCTATATTTTATATTTATTAATTTTTTTTCTAGAGGTCCAACAAAATCTATTATAGCCTGTCTATTGGAAAGGTGAAATTCACACCGGATATAAACTGGTACCGATAGATTTGAGAATGTTAAAGTGTGCAATGCTTTAACACGCTTGAATACCCCAACCTCAGAGTGGGAAACAGGTGCACAGAAGTGGCTTTAGAGAGTACAAATCCCACACATGAATAGCTATGGGTCTATCCTCAGAAAAAGAAGAGAGAGAGAGAGAAAGTATACAAATTATAAGTATAGAATTCCCTGTAGATATAAATTAATAAATATAAATGACATTAATTTACATACCTGGCCAAACATTGAAACAAATATTGAGAAACCAAAGCTATCTTCCAAATTTATTTTTGAACAAACACCTTGACAAAGTTCTTTTGCAGTTGTAGCAGAATCTACATCAAGAATGATTGATGAATCATCAAGCAGAAAAATTTGTACGGTCATTTTTTCTTGATTTTTTAAAGCCTTAAAAAAATAACAACAATTTATTTTTATGATCAATCCAATTTGTAATAAAAGAAAAGAAATATTTCAAAATACAAACATTTAATTCAAAAGCTGTAGGAGGTTGGCTTCTAGCACCATTTTCAAGAGTTCTTTGTAAGTGTGTTAAGGAACCAAGCATGTTTCCCCCCTTAGCAAGAAAGTGAAGAAGAGTAGGAGATAATTTAGGGCTTGGAGGAAAAGAGCTAGTGCATAATGTCATGAGGATCCAGCCATACATGTTAGATGTTGGGTCTGGATTGTCAGTTAGTTGTTTACAAATCTGACAATAAATTTCATCTCTGTAACAAACATTAAAATAAATGTCAACAAATTCAAGAATTTTGTAAGTATAAATAAGATGTCTAAACTTCCAAAAACATTTTCTTTATCATAAATTCTTAATAGTTAATAGCGAAATATTTGTTAAATTAGTATACAGATAAAAAACAGACACATTAAAATATATACATAAGTTACATCATCATTTAATAATTTCAAACATAAAACAATAGTTGCATAAAGCACCCTAGGAATAATTGAAAATAAAAAAAAATTAAAATAATATCAATTTGCATTACTATTTATCAATTAATGTTATAAATAAATGTGCTATATTACCTCAACGTTGGTCTCAGAATACCATGGCCAATAATAAAATACAATTTTTCAATAAGTGTAGATAAAGAACCAACTGCCCATTTTTCATAGGATTTTTTCAAATCTTCTAATTCAAGTTGTGCCCTTTTTACTTCTCTTTCTAATTTGTTTCTGTGAAGTAAAGATAGGTTTTTCAAAAGTTTTCTACCACTAAAAAAGTTATCATGCACTAATTTGCTTTCTTCAGCCTACAATAGAAGTTTAAACGTATAATAATTTTACAGACAACTTTATAAATACAGAAAAGTAAACAAAATAGTTTACCTTAAAAGCATTAAGAATGTTTAAATAGTCTTGAGAATTTAGAAAACTTTTTGAAACTGTCCCCTGTAATTGACTCATAATAGTTTTTCTAGTTTTAGGATTAGTTTCTTTTAAAATCGTACTTTCTTCTAAATCACCCATGAATCTCAATATGGTAACCCATATAACATTTGCAGCCTGAAAAACATAAATTATAATCAAGAAGTTAAATAACTACTAAATTATTATATTAATAATCACAAAAATATTTATTTTTATACAATCTGTAAAAGAAAACCTCAATTTCATAACAATCAATTAAATATTACTAGGCACACTCGCACATATATATCTTCCTTTCAAAATTACTTTCTCCACCTTATTTGTTATTTTACCACTTATATGAAAAAATTGTACTACTGGCAACCAGCCTCAGAATAAAAAATATATTAATATTTTTAATTTCATTTCAAAACATAAAAAAAAAAAATACATTACCATCACATCACCAGGAGAAACTAGCTCAAGAAGTGGCTGGTCGAGTACCTTATTGGTGAATTTATAGTTAACATTTCCCATAAAATTGGCAGCAGCAAATTTATTAAAACTTAGAATTCCAGGTTTTTCCAAAATTTCTTTAACCAAGTCATTGTTATTATTTGCTTTTGTTGGATCTTTTCCCTGGACAGATATAAAAGCACATTTATCTTATATTTGAAATTTCATTCCAATTTTTAAAATATATAAAAATTAAAATAATGTAAGTACTAACCAATTCATTAGGAATGTTTTTGTCTTCTATTGCATTCTCAAAGACATTTGTAATAAAATCATCAATCCACATCTTAGGAAGGCTATTCTTTCTTGGCTTTGGAATCTATTGTGAAGAGTAAAAAAAAAAATAATGACTCAATATATGACTCAAAATATGATTCAATATATACATATAATTTTAAAAATAAAACCTTAATTAAAACAATTGAAGGATTGATTACAGTAAACATAAAGTTAATAATAAGGTCTAAAATATTAATTGTTTTCAACAAATTTCATATCTTTAAAATTAAAAGAAGGATTTTTATTTTTAAAAAAGACACAATTGTAATTTTTGGGAAATGGGTAAACAAAATTCTAGTTTAATTTCAATTTTTTTTAAATAAGTAAAAAAAGTTTTTGAAATAATTAGATTGTAATTCTTGAAATGTATCAATGAAATTGTAACTTTTATATAAATTTCATAATTTCAAAAATGAAAGAGTTATTACATTTTTTTTTAAATAAAAATTAATAGGTGTTATCAATCAGTACTCTCATCCGTAACATAATGGCTAAAGTTTTTTTTTTCTATTGTGACCTTTCTCAAAATTGATGCAAGTAGATACAAATCCATAAGCTTTTTAAGGGTAGAAGAATGAAGGAACAGAAAGTCAAGACAGATTTATAACTAATCAAATAAAAGTTGTTTTTTTTTAATGGTAGATTTGCAAACAATCCTCCGATTAAAATAGAAATGAACTACTTACTGGTTTAGGAGGAATCTTAGGTTTCTTCATTGTTTTTAAGTTTAATACTTTTTTTCTAGCGAGAACTCCCCGACACCTGGCCTGTAATTGATCTTGTTACAGAAGAAACACTAAATAATATCTAATAAATTTCTATAAATGATTATAATCATACCTGAAAACTAATTATTGATGATCTCATTTTACTGTAATTATGTTTTAACTGCCTTGATCTCAATACAGCCTTTAATCTGTGGTAGCCACGCTGAATAACTCTAAAGTTAGATCGAGGTTTATAACCTCTCCAATATCTCTGGATGACAACTGCGGCATTTCTGATTCTCAAAAACCTAAAAAAAATATATAATTTACATTCCAGTATGCATAAATTTTAATAGTTTGACATTGATGAAATAAAAAATATTTCATATAATATCTAAACGAATCATCAAAAACTATTTTATATTTGAATATTCTATAAGTTTTTCAGCTGGCTTTGTGCCTCCTGGTCATTGAAGTAACCAGAATCTTTGATCAGATTGTGTGAAATTTCAAATGTGATAGACCAATGACAATATTTATTTCAACATTTTCCAGTTTTGATCTTTTTTCCTCTATTATCGTCTCACTATTTTTTGCCTGTAGGCCAATTCAATAAAATAATAACACTTAGTTTGTTGATTATTCTTTATTAATGTAAATTTCGAGAAATATCTGCCTCCCTCCCCTCTTCAGCATATAATATGTACTGGAATTAGGTAAATCCCAGTTATTGAGTTTGGCCAATGCTTGTCAAACTCAACTTGTTAGTTAGTTTTAAACATTGGTTAGTTGAGTTGGTCAATGGTTAAAACTCAACTTATTAGTTTGAATTGACCAAACTTATTAATAACTAGGATGTACCCAATTCTGGAGCATATTATGTGCTGAAGAGGACAGAAATTCACCTAAACATACATTAATAAAAAATAAAAAATAATTAACTTACCATGTGTAAATATTTTATTGAATCGATTTATAGACAAAGAATAGAAAGATTTTTAAAAATTAATTTTTCCTAAGGATATCAACATTTGTAAGCCACAGTATAAAAAGTTGTTGAGAAAATTGTTGAACATATAAAGATAACAAAATTTAATTCCAAGAGTTTAAAAATGTTTTTTTTATTTATGCAAAAAAAAAAACACAAATAAATAATAATATTACCTAATTCGTGCTAGAGCACCCTTGCAATGTTTCTGCAAAATCACAGCACTTTTTGAAAAAATTTGATCTCTTATAATCTCGAGTTTTTCATCAGGTATTTTCAAAAATATTTTTGTTTTACCAAACTGGTACTCCTTTGTATCCAAATACTTTTCACAAATCGTTTTCGCAGTTTCTTTCACATCTAAAATCTGAAGCATTAAATATGCATGAATGAGTATTACGAAATAGAATTTTTTATTAAAAAAAATAAATAAATCTTAAAGACAATCTTTATTCAAGCCAGAAAAAACATATAAATTTTATCATGACACTATTTATAAACTCTGTGTATAAAAATGGTTTTATTGTTTTAACAAAACCTCATAGACAATGAATCAAATATAAATATCATTTGGGTAAAAATAACTAAATTTAACAACTAATAAATTCAATAAAAATAAATAAATAATAAGTTTCATTTTAATTTATAAAATACAACTTTTATTTAGTAAAATATTTAAATGGTGTGCCCAATCAAATAAACAAATATTCATTCCTCAAATTCCCAAAGGATTATAAGAAAATTAATTCAAAATATGGGATGAATGTGAGAAAATGTAAATGAAAAAAATAAGAGCTTCTAAATTAAAATTAAAATGTATAAATTTTTCATAAAACACAATGGCTAATAAGCTACGAACATTTTAAATTAATAATAATAAAAAAATAATATAAACAATAAAGTTTATGTAATTCAAAAAATTGCAAATCAATTATAAAATCATTGGATTGTTTTAAATTTTATTATTTCCATTGTGTTCAATAATTACTTTTCAACTAATAAAATTAGAAACAAAACTATGACATGGGGGAACTTTTTCACCAAAAAAGATAAAAAAAGAAACTGACAACTTTTATACAAAAAAAAAGATCTTAAGCGTCTAAGAGGCTCAAACTTAGTTTATGACAAATGTCTCCGAATGAACTTCCGTAATAGATCTACACTGACAAAATTGTAAGATTCATGTAGGTAAAGCATTGTATAAAAAGTTTGTAGTTTACAATTGTTCTCCGTCATAAACCATGTAGTTGTACATATTGGAAAATTTATTATGGGTTGGCATCTGTCAGACACCAATGACCTATGAAGGGTTAAGCAGACAATTAACTAAGAATGAGTTTCACTTATCTAATAACTGAAATGCAGCCATTAGAAGTTATTAATTTAGAAACATAAGCCATTAGAAATATAAATTAAGACAATAAAAAAAATAATTGTAGTTACATTTAATAAGATTGATTTCAATAAGTAAACACACCTTATTGATTGTAGGACAACCAGGTACTAACATTCTATATCTTGATACAAACTGTTTATAGGAGTATCTTATAGGATAACCAGTTTGTCTAATTTTAGCAGTTTCCATCATCCCGGCATATCTAAGTTGTTGGCAAACAAGTTCTCTGTTGAATACCTACAGCAAATATTTTTATTTAAAGCAACCAAGGTTTAGATAAATACATAATATTACCACAATGACATTATATTTATCAGTGACATTTTGTAAATTTCCATGTAATAAATTTAGTATTCAGCCCTTGAGTTAATAAAGTAAAATCCTTAGTTACTAGTAGAAAAAAATTATTGCAAAATTAGTTGTACATAGAGCAAAAGAAAATAACAATTTTCAGTTCAGATGAGCAGTTGTTTAATGCATCTGTTGAGAGGTATAAAACAACTGTTAAGTCACCGGGGTCTTCTACATCTTCTGGTACCAGATCTTTACAAGTTCCATTTTATATCCGCTACAATCGAATGGATCACTTTGTCGAACCTTTTCCAAACACAAGCAATGTGCAATACAATACAAATATTGCGAGCAATACAATACAATTTGTAGTAAGGAAGATGGGATTGTGTGTGAATGTTTTTGCTCAATAAAAAATAAATAAAATATATATTTAAAAATCAAATCTTTATTTACGTTTTAGTTCAATAAAATTTTAAGTAAAACTTATATTGTTAGTTATTATTTCTGCCCTAACGGCCTAATTCTGTAATATGAAAACAAATAGTAGCCGAAGTGTGATGTTAGGATCAGTAATTAAAAAAAACAATACATTTTCTCATGTTTAATATAACCTAGGAATACGAAAACGTAAAAAAAAAATTCCAAAAAATAATTGCAGACTTTGGCAGGTTGAGAACCATGATCAATATATATAATCTATAGAGGTCATGAAAATATTAAATAATGTAAACTATTTATTATAATAATGTAGACTAATTATAATTTGTCTCATTAGCATATTATCCAGAAAGTGTATGTTGATTTCTCATTGATAGGGCTAGATAATACACCTGGTACTCAGCTATTAATAAAAAAAAACAACAGTTTTATTTGATCGGATACATTTATTTACAAGTACAGTCATAAACTAGGACAAAAGTCTTTGATTTTCATCGATGTCTCTATTTCATCAAATTGTGGTAAACTGCAATGGTGGCAGGTTTCCATCATTAAAAAAATTATTAAGTTTGTGACACTTTAAACGTGGAGTATATAAATAATTTTAACAAATTGACAGAAAAGTTAAATTCTGAGTTAGACCTTTTAAATTAAAATACAAAATGTATTTTTAATTAACATAATAAACTATGAACATATATTACTTACATTTGATTCTTTTGCCAAGTTTGGTTTTATACAACGAATAAAAAAAGGAGTTCCAGACCCAAGGGTAGTCATTAAACTTTCAAGAGATACTTTATACTGGCCAGCCAATGTCAGAGGTCGACTTTTTCCAGAGTTCAGTTCTTTTATGAAAAGATCTTTTAAAAACTGACTTCCAGATTCATTTATTACTTCGCGCCATTCAAAGCTCAGTACATTCACATTCTTTTCAATAAATCCTAAATCATAGAAACACTTTCCAATATTACTTATTTTTATTTTAGTAAGTAATCACTTAGTGGTAATAAAAGAAAACTTTTTCTAATAAGTAGGAAATAAAACACAACATTTAGAACAAAACATATAAAAGACAAACCAATAAGATATGTTTACCAGTAATAGGTTTATTAGCGTCTTTAGATCAATTTACATGATAAAACTATCAATAATTTCTTTTTTAAGTATCCATATTCACACACATGAACTGAAAATGACATGATAGAATATGTGCTGGGATATAAAAAGATTATGGTAACTATTCACAAAAAACTTCATGAAATGCCCTTAAATAGAAAGGGTTTATGGCAGATTACTCAATTAGGAACAGTGTGGGTAATTTAGGTCAGATAATATTTATTTAACAATGATCCTAAGAAAGAAATATTTACACTCCCACTCTGATTATTATAGTGAAGCAACATCTACTATCTTTTTCTTCCCATCTTTTGGGTATATGGTTTTTTTCTGGGCCAGGGATCAGGACGGGGGAATTATGCCAGAGTTGAAAGTCCCAGAGGCACTGGGATTTGAACCTGTGATCTTTGGTTTATCAGGTTGTCCGGGCAACGGATGTTTTACACAATGCGTCGGCCTGCTCGGCCACCCCATCCTCCTAACCTAGGTATCTCTCAAATGTCACAGGAGGAACAAAATGCCTACTTGACTGATTCAAACATTATGAAATACTAAGTGCATTCAAACACTATCAAACTTTTTATTTTGCATATTTGTAAATAATTCAAATATTTGTATTGAATATTTTATTTTAAACATCCTTATGAAGTTGTAGAAACAGCATCATTTAAAATGGAAACATAGAGGTTAGGCAAGCACAAAGCTGCTATGATAAGACCTGACATGTGTTAATTGTATTCCTAAACTAATTTTAAAAACAGGTAATCGATTTTAATAAAATAATACGCCTACCTTCTACAGAATAGGAAACTGTGCCAGCGTAGTGTTTAATCCCAAACGTTAAATTCACTTCTGCTTTAGGTTTTATATATTTTTTGTTATCAAAATGGAGCTGATTACATTTCAGAAGAATAGCTCGATCTGAACCCTTAAAAAAGAAAATAAAAAAGTTATGCCCAGTAGCAATAAAGAACAGAATTTAATTGAAGAAGCTATATTCAATAAATAACCTTTGGAAATTTTGTCTGCTCATCCAAAATGCTTAGTATACTCATTTTGTTAAGACCAATCAAACCTAAGACATCTTCATTGTCTTCATATGAAAGACTTTTCCACTGGATATTTTGCTGGATATATTCTTGCTGCTCAAGTTTAAATACATGTCCAACAAAAAATTGTTGCAAATGCTCATTGGCATAGTTTATACAAAGTTGTTCAAAACTGAAACAATTTTTTAATAAACTTTCAATGAACTCAAAGTAAAAATCCAATGTTTTGCTATAGTAATAAAAAAAGATTATTCAAATCTCAATAAAAAGGATGATTTTAAAGAAAAAAAATAAGGCAATATCAATTATTCTATGTTCAATTAAACTTTATTTCAAGAAAATCAGTTCATTTTTAAGAAAAAATTAAATAAACAGTAATTATTTGAAAATATTGGATTATCATGTAATATAATTAGTTATCTTGTTATTTTAAAAGCAGTTGTCTAAATATTTTTCAGAATTAGTGCATCCAAAATTTTTATTTTGCATATTTGTATTGAATATTTTATTTAAACATTTTTTATACAAATAATTATTTTTCTTTTTAGAAACAATAATTTTCTTAAATTTAAACTATGCATGATACTACATTATTGTTTCAGTTCTCAAGTCTCATGATAAGTTCAAACTAATATTTCAAAAACAAAAATATTTAAAATAAAAAGTAAATCCCTGAGGTGGGGTGGGGAAGGGGTGAAAGAAACTTTAAACAGAAAATAGACTAATAATATATCATATATAGTTATTAAAGCCCATAATAAGTAGAAAAATAATAAAACTAATCTCTTCACATCTTGGTTTCACCATAGAAATTTAATTTGTTCAATCAAATAAGTATTAATTGCTGAATACTAGCAGGTAAACAATTACCTATTGGAAGCAAAGTTTTCAAAACCAAATATGTCGAGGATACCAATCGAAGGAGATCCTGAACGTTTATGATTGGATATTGACTTATTAATAGTAGTTAAAATAAAAGAGAACAGATGATTATATAATGACATTGCAAATGCATCCCTGTTTCGTTTTGCTTGTTCAATGGTCATGCTCGAAACCTTGAAAAGTAAACAGATTACAAACATAATTATATTAAAATAAAATTGAATAATAAAAAATTATTAGAATTTTTTTTAATTCTGTTCAAGAACATACATGCATGGATGTTAAATAAATGATTAGTTCATAAATAATAATAATTTTGTCAATATATAATATGACATGTGTATACAACTCACAACTTTAGTTCCTTCAACTAACAGCAACTTATGAGTGAGTGCTTGAATGAAGTGTTCTTCTTCAACAGAAAGAAGTTGGATTGCACATTGTAAGTGCATGTCATGGTTTACTTGTGTATCTTCATCACTATCTTTCATAATATTCAGAAAAAAAAATTACTGTTAATACAAGAATAGTTTTTTTATTGATAAATAATAAATTTATAATATATAATAGAAGAAAAAATAAAACATGTACCATTACAACCCATGAATGTTTAGTGGCTCAAAACTAGAAGTTTTTTGACCAATGGTAATGGAAGGATCACTCCCAACCATCAGGTCATTCCCTCAAGTAATATAAAACAGTTTTATAAACATATCACACTTATCAGAAAACAGTTTTATGTGCACCTCAAAATGATCAGAAAACGGTTATATATGCATCCAAAACTGATTGGAAAACAGGTTTATATATACCCAAAAAAACTGATTAGGAAACAGATTTTGTGTAATTTCAGGAAAACATTCTGATCCTTAAGTTAATAAATGGCTGATGAATGAATAAATGTATATATTTTCTCAAAATTAATAAGCATGAAATTGTCTGTCTGCTTGGAATTAGCTGTACCTGTTGCTCTTGCTAGTAAAAACACTTTAGTTTTTAAAGTAAATAAAAACACATTTACGAAAATATAAACAGAAAAAAAAAGCATTAGAGTTAAATATTATTGTCAGAATTATAACATATAAACCACAAAAACTTTAATATTGTGCATATTTATATATAACACACACAAGTCCATATATTTTTCAGATTACCATAATAATATTCAGTAATTAGATTCTTTTATCAGGGATGCTCTAAACCTTAGTGGCATCTCTCATTATACGTAGGCTGGGACAGTCCCAGTGATATATACTCCACTTGGTTTAACAGATAAGCTTTTTCCTTTATTATATTATATTTGTTTATATTACTTAATATATATTTTAAAAAAAAAGGAATTCTTTAATTTTACTTCAGTGCATTGTTGTTATTTTTCTCTCTGGAATTCACACTATTTTTTTTAATTTTATTTATTGAAATATGTGAGAGTCCTCAGAACATTCCAAATTCTCTAGTCATTTATCGAAAAATATAAAATCGGGTTGGAGTCGAATTAAATTTTCTCCCGACAAAATTATTCTTAAAAAAAAAAGAAAATATAATACCCACGTATTTAGTAGCCAAAAGAAGTGATACAGATGGTTTCAAAAAAATCTCTCCGTTTTTTATACACAAAATGAATCCCCCAGGGTTGTGTCCTTAGTACAATCCTATTCTACTTAATAATAAACAATTTGGGGCTCAACCTGCCAAGAGGTGTTAAACCACTATTATTTGCAGACGATTTAGCTATTATCTGTTGTTCTGAGAACATTGCAACCATAAAACATAAACTACAGGATGCTTTAAATAAAATAAATAACTGATAACTGGTTCCTATGAACTGGTCTTCAATTTTCTGCAGAAAAAACTAAATGCCTCCATTTCAGTAGAAAGAGGAACACCCCTCCTCTCCTGAACTCTACCTAGGCAATGCCTTGATTCCGTATAAAGATAAACATCATTTTTTGGGCATGACATTTGACTGAAAATTAACATGGGAATCGCACATTTTAACATTGAAATCTACCTCCACAAAAATATTAAATATACTAAGATATCTTAGTGGCATCTCCTGAGGCTCTGACAGATCCACCCTGCTAAAGCTTAATCGCGTTTTAATATGTTCTAAGCTAGATTATGGGTGTTTGGTATACGGTTCAGCTAGTCACTATGTCTTAAGTAGTATGGATGCTGTGCATCATTCTGGTATTCGAATAGTGACTAGCGCATTTCGAACCAGCCCCTTTCTCAGTTTATGTTCTGAAGTATTTAGAAGGGAAAAAATAGCTGTAAATTACATAACTAAAATTCTTCCTCAACCAGACCATCCTACACATAGATACATATGTAAACCAAAATTTTCCAAAGCCTTTGAAAAAAAAACCGAAATTAACGCTCCCATTATCAGAGAGAATCAGTTCAGCTCCTGTATTTCTCAAAGGAATTCCTTTAATCAAATGACAAATACATGACCCTCCTTGGGTTAACAAACCGCTTAAAATAATCCTAGGCCTAACACGGTTACAAAAAACCAAAACATTTCCTACCGAGTCTAAAACCAAATTTTCACGAATCCTTAAAAAAATATCAGAACCGTATTTGATCTATACTGACGGCTCTAAATCGGATGAATCCACGGCGTCTTCGTTTGTTTTACGCCTTAAAGCCTTCCAAAAAATAAACAAAACTTTAGTGATATGTTTTAAACATGTAGATTGCATTCATATCCTCTTCATTTATCATATCAAGGAACTCATTATAAGTTAAAGTATTCTTTCCAAAGTATTTTAATCGAAATTTCCTCAGAACTGGGCATACTGCAATGAAGTGATAAATATTTTCTATTTGGTTTAAGTTACACAGAGAGCAAATATGGCTGCTGATTCTTTCTATTCTGTGATTTAATTGAAGTAATTCCCTTCTTACTTTTATAATGGTGCTTATAAAATGCGTGGACCAATTTTGGGTGAAATACAGTTTTGGTAAGTTCTGATTTAAATCTTTGTACAGTAAATGAAATTTAGCACCTTTAGCTTTATTAGTAATACCAATATCCCACTCCTTTTTCATATCTCTAATTAATCTATCAATAAACAAATTACTGTTTTTTGAACTTAATTCATTAACTACATCTGCATTTAGTAGTGATATTAACTTAATATATATAATATATATGTATATATATATATATATATATATATATATATATATATATATATATATATATATATATATATATATATATATATATATATAATTTACATTAAGTGTAACTCATTTTTATTACTAATTTAATTTCTTTTAAAATTTTAATAATTCATTTTTTGAATTAATTTCAGGAGACAGTAAGTTTCAATCAAGTGGAATTCAGTTTTACATCCAATGTAGAATATTCTTTTCACAACACATTTGTGTTTATTTTAGTGTTTTCCATGGGGAAGACATTTCAAAAATGAAAATGTAATAATATACTTCTTATTTGACTCATGAGAATAACAAACAACTATTCTGGATAAATCATTCAGTGCATATGAAATGAGATAAAAAATACTTGTTTATTAAACATCAATCATTAAAAAATGTATTTTACCATCTTTACTAACGTAGGTGAAGTTTCCAATGTGAAGAACTGCAGCAAGTAATTGAAATATTGATGTAATTTCCTTGTCTGTAAAATTAAGAGTTGAAAAAGCTGTGTTCAATCTCAAAAATTCTTCTTTTTCATTTCTTCCCTCACAAAGAAAAGTTGAACCCTGAGGAAGACATTGATATATTGTATATATAATTCAATATTTATTTCATTAATTACTATAAAAAAATACTAAATAAACTTTATCAACCTGTTTCAAATAAAAATAATCATTAGGTTTAGTCAATTTCAATTGAACTTTTAAATCTTGAGGAAGGCCAGCTAAAAGACTGTAAAAGATGTGATAATTTCTATCTCCAAGGTTTTGAGATTTAATTCTGGCTTTTTCCAAAAGATAGTGCTGCATTGAAGCACTACTCATTGTTCCATCTTTTCGGAAAAAAATCTCAATGTATTTCCCAAAACGCGATGAATTATCATTCTGTGTAGTTTTTGCATTTCCAAATTCTATAAGAAAAATTAAATAAATATAATAATTGCATGAAATAAAAAATTAAAGTATTAATATTTACAAAGAATCAATAACTACTATTTTGAGCAAGCATATTAGAAGATTTTATTTCTAAAAATGGTCAAAAATAATAGACATTTATTCTACTTTACACCCTTGGGACTACTATTATATCATATTATACCAAAGTATAATTTTGCTCTGGGCTTGGCTGGTGCTAGAACTAGTGCATTTCATTCTTTTCTATTTTGCATGTCTGTGGATGTACGAATATATATTTTGCCACTTTGACAAAACAAAAATTAAGAGTTATATAGTTATAAGTTGGAAAATAATTATTTAATATTTTATTTATTTTTCTGTTTCCATTATAAATGAACATCACATAAAAAAATAATTGGACATTAAAGCTATTTAATCATAAATTTTAATACTTTGCTGCATTGAGTTAGGCTTTTTTTCACAGCATATTTTAATGCTTGTAATTTCGTCTCTGATAATAAATTATAGATATAATTATAAACAAATTACCTTCTAAAATTGGATTAGCCTGAACTATTTTGTTTCCTATCGAGCTTTTACTACTGCTTGCAGCTAAGAAATTCAATAAGAACTTAGTACTCTCAGTTTTTCCAGATCCAGTTTCACCACTACAGGTTTAAGAAAAAGTGTTAATATGCTAAAAATAAACATTATATTCAAAAAATGGGATCTGTAATGATAATTTACAATTATACAGAAATTACCTTATTACAATACACTGGTTGTGTAATTGTCTTTTCAAATTATTCAATGCTTGTGCTGCAATGGCAAAAATATGTGGATCTTGTTCGAAAAGTCTCTTTCCTTGATATTTACTAATAAAATCTTCAAAATAAATATTTAAATTTTTATAAGGGTTTACTGCTACAAGGATACCACCAATATAAGTCTGCAAACAAATAAAAGCATTTTACATATTTTGTTCCTACCAAATTAAATATTCTCAGAACTTCTTCAGTTGGTGGAAAAGAGGCTATTAAAGTCTTGCCACTACAACATTCTCCAGTATAGTAACATTGGTCCGAATCCATCCTGGGCAAGTTAAAAATTATTTAGTGACGAACCATCGAATGATTCCCAACCTTCCCACTTTGGTTAGAATAAATTTGTTAGTACCTCTAGAACAACCCTACCCACATATCAGAAATAAACGAGTAAGCCTAGTCTCATTAGATGTTAGGTAACAACTTTTCTTCCTTCCTTCTATTTGAATTTAAATAAACGCTTTGAATAATCAGGTGAAAACCACCCCTGTATTTATAATAGATATCTTTTTAAGTAAGCGACTCTAAAAAAAGTAAAAAAATCAATTATTTTAAAATTATTGGAAGAAAGAAGTTTTTTTTAGGTCACAGAGAGTATTTAAAATTATTGTTATAAATCACTTTCTATTTAAATTATAAAGAATCATTTCAAATGGATTTTATATATGTTTCATATGTTTAAAAAGAGAACATAAATTAATAACTCTTATGAAGTAATAAAGTTTATGGTCCTTGAGTTAATATGTGTAATATTTTATGGAGTTCATTTATCAGTAGTACCTCCTTTGTCTACAATGAGATTATTTTTAGTGTTTGGGTATCCTCATTGATTAAAAGTAAACAATAACACTGAATCATAGTTGTAATTTTCATTTATAAACAATTCACTTCTTTAATTCTACATGATTAGAGAAAATATATATATGTTTTAATTGTTCGGAGAAAATAATTTTTAAAAATAGATATTCTCCTAGACAAAGTTATAATAATAAAATAAATCGTCAACCAATAATATTTTATTTATTAAATACCAAATTATTTGCAATTAATAATTATCACTGACAGTGATGTTTACATATTATAAAAAGATCATATTTAAGAAAAGTAAATAGTTTTTAAAACAATATATAGCACATTATCAAACTTAAAGCATAGTTTTTTTTTTTCAGAAATTGGACTGTAAATAACAGGTAAAATTGTACTTTATTTCATTTTGTACAATTTTTGTATTTTATTATTTTTATACTCTAACCAATAAAAAACAAGCCCAATTTTTTATATATTGTTGAAACTAAATCTTCCTGAATTTAAGCTGACCTTAGCAAATTGGATCTTAGTAAATCGTAGTAAATAAGAGTTGTTGCTGACTTCTGTATTTTAGTCAAGAAACAGTGTTTTACCACCAAGTACTAAATTTAAGACCTTATATCAGCTGTCGTAGTGAATTTGTTTTCTTCGATTATATTTCTTAATATTCTCATAAGATCAAAAATAGTAACCAATATTATTAGAGATCATAATTAAATCTATCCAAACCATTTTCTTTACAAAATATTTCAATCTGAGTAGAAAAATTGCAATACTTCCCCTTATTATAAGGGAGATACGTGGTACCTTGGACCATTTTTTTTTTAACCCTTCATAACTTCTAAAACAACAATGATTTTAAAGTTCAAAATATATTTGTCATGGTTTAAAGATGCTATATTAACTTTTAAATTATTTTATTATCAGATTTTGACTATATATATATTTAAAAAACATTTTTATAAATAATAAATAATGTAAGGTACAATTAATATAGTTGTACTTTGGGCTATTTCTTGTCAATATGTGGGCTATGTGTGCCTTAATCAATATTACTGTTATTCTTAAGGCACATTATCCTAGAATAAAGTTATTATTCTAATCTATTCCTATTATCTCTTTCAGTTTTTTAAACAATAAGCAATAAAATTTGTATATCATTATTATATCATACTCTTTTTAGCAGTTTATTAGTATTTGATATTGTAAATTATATTATAAACATAAAATTCTGAGATTAAAGTAAACAAAGCTGATGACTGATGGTCACCCCACTCCTTTCCTCTAATAAAGATCACTGAACTGATATTACACATCACCTAAGTATTTGGTATGAGGAAGGGAGAAACTCGAACCAGTGTGTACATGAGTAATCTCAGTTGAGAAAATGTTACAATTGCATCATATGATAATACATGAATAAAACTTACATAAATAATGTTTTCATTATATCTTAACTGGATATTTCTTAATAAGGAATGTTCACTTAAATCATACAAATTGATCATATCATTCACAGGTTTTATGTCGGAAGGATGTAATTCCTTGATGATGGCAGTATTGTCAACAAAAACAATCTAGAATCATACATTTGACAGAAGTTAAAAGATAATCGCCTATAAATTACACTGCAATTAAGTATATTTAATAGATACATTTCCTTCTTCATCTGAAAGTTTGGATTTAGAACTATCCCTCTCAATAACTTTTGCAGCCCAAGGTAAGTGGAACTCTCCATCTTTAAGAGGTCTGACCCATACCATTTCTGCCTATTAAAATTAAATAAAACTGGTATAAAAAATAGATAACTAATTGAATAAAAAAGAACAAAGTATGTTTAAAAATAAAATATTTCATTTTACATTAATTAAACTTTGATAAAAAGTAATTGATATAAAAATTTCAATGACTTCATACCAATGTCATTATACTTTGAATATATTATGAAAATTATTTTTGTAATAATTTTACTCACATGTTTCTGTTCATATCCATTCTTAACCATTGTTTTTTAATATATTCTACTGTAATCTTATCATTTCACATTGCAGACTGAAGAGCACGAGATAGGTGACAAAAGTTATCAATTCACACCTATTTGATAAGAGTCTATTGATTTTAAAAATAAGTACTTTTTTTTGTAACTATTTAAAGATTGACAGAATGAATAAGCTTCAATCGTATAATTTTCTGATAACATAGTTAAGGCATATGTACCAGGTATTACATTTAATGACCAGTAACTGATAAACTTTTTTTTTTTACTATAACATAAAGTATTATGTGTATGAACATTTCAAAAAAGAAAAAGTGTCAAATTACATTAGCAGAATTTCAGGTTGTGAGAATATTAAAAAAAAAAAAAATGATAACTATTCAAAATATTCCAGTTTGGATAATTAAAAACTATTAATAGTAGTTATATAATATAAATTAAAAAAACATTTTTTACAATAAAGGAAATTTATTTTTCACTTTAAGTCAAATAAAAAATATGTTCAAAATTAAAGAGAAATTTTATGTTATGCCTCGAGTACAATCTTTTAGCTTCTAGGTTTTAAGATTTCAAAAACTTTTAATGCTAATGAATTTTTGAATGTTATTATTATCATAAATTTCCCTGATTCCAGAAGATTAAGTAATCATACTTATTTTAGCAGTTATATTCAATTAATTAAATCCCTGATCCAAGCTAATTAACACTAAATATAAAAATTAATTTATTATAATAAGATCCATGCAACAAAGTTCTGTATTAAAAAATTTAGTTTAGAACTTTTCTGGTCAATCTTGGCTGCTCTTACATTCAGAAATACAAAATAAAAAATTATTAAAAACACAAGGAAATAAGTCTACATATGTTTTTCATCGATGATTATTTATTTCTTATTCAGTCATCTAATCTTGTCTTATGAACCATGCAAAAAAAAATTGAACAATAAATCTCATTCATAGAATAGAAAATGTTTTTGCATATGGTGTTTTTACAATATTACTGTGTATATTCTATATTTATGGGGAAGAAATTAATTTTAATTAAAGAAAACAAATATGTATCATTTTAAATTAAAAAAAAAAATAATGAATCAATGTAGAAAATTTACAATCTTTTTACACAATATCTAAAACATTTAGATGAACTAATATAAAATTTTAGTAGTTTAAAAGTTTTCAGAAGAATTCAATAAAATATCTATTAAGAATTATGTTTATTGAAAATTAAATTCACAAGTCCCTAGAATTGATTATTCAATTCAGAAAAGATTCCAAATTATTTCTTAATTAAATTATACGTCTAAAATTATTTTTTCTGAAAGCATACATAATTTGACATATATAAGGTCATCTGGCCAGCTTTATTGTCAATTGGTTTGAACAATATTGTTATTCTTAAGGGACCTAGTCCCAGAATAAAGATGTTTTTATATATTGTATATTCTTTGATTCCAATATATACTCTTCTGAAGTAATCCTCTTTAACGCAAGAGGACACATGGCCTCTTCCCGAAACCCTACTATACAAAAATTACAAGAAGCAGTTAAAGGAATTCATTAATAGCATAGAATTACAACATAAAATTCAAGCTAAGCTTCGAGAACTTCTATTTAATAAACTTTTGAGGATAACAATTTAAAAAAATATATATTTTAGACTTAGTGCAGCTCAGACATATGTATTTTATTTCTTATTTTGTAGATGCTCAGTTGTAGATTTGTAAAATTTGTTTCTTTGCCATAATTTTTGTATTTGTTTTTGAATAATCATATATTTTTATTTATTAATTTATTATACTTTTTTTTAGTACTGTTCACTCATATGACACTGTTATTTATTTTATTTAATCATCCATTATTTAATTTTCTCTTTGCAATATATTTTAAGTGCCATTTCTTTTAAGTATCTTTAACCAACACACTTTGTAATAAGCTATATTTTTATATTTAAAAAAAAATGTTTAAATAACAATGTAATGCACATATGCTCTTGCATGGTGTATGCACATTTCTAAGAAAAATACTTCTCTTCTGTAGGGTTACAATAGCAGAGAGAAAAAAGAAAAATAAATATACTCTTCTATCACTAATATATGTTAAAGAGTGCATATTGTCAGTTTATTACAAGAAGTCACTAAGTACATTTTTGATGGAGCTGAACTTTTAAGAACTATTTCTGAATTTCAACCTTATTAATAGATAAGTGCACTATACTGACAAACTCTTTAAGATATGCAATATATATAACATAAAAGTGCACTGTTTTCAGATTTCATCAAGAGAAAGGAAAAACACATTAAAGTTTTTAGTGATTACAGGTCATGAAATGTGACATAATTACTTTTTGCATTTAAAATATATTATCATGTTTTTGCTTTCAGAAAAAATAATTTTATATAAATATATATAAAATAAATATTATTTCAAAACATTTGAATCACTAAAGTAAAGTAATAATGTGTATAAATAATAATAATAGTAATAAAAAAATATTTTTTTTGTTCTTGGTTCCTTGGGCAAGGTAAATATGGCAATGAAAAAAATAATGGTAAATCTTATCAAATGAATACTCTATACCGAATAAGCTAATGAAATTGAAGAATACTCATAATTAAGAATGAGAGAAGGAAGATAAAAACAAATGATGTCAAAATATAAGGCTTATAATTAATTAGATATGTAGATATTAACAACAATTCATCTTTTAAGTATTCATTTCAAATGAATTAGAATTTTTTAAATTATAAAATTAAGTACATGATTATGTGTGTAGTTTTATCCTAACATGAAAAAAAAAAAAGTTTTGTTCGTTATTACATAAAAGTATTAGCCAAATATCACATAAAACATTCCAAATACAAATCCTTATGAAGGTGAGATCTAGAAATAGGTATATACAATTTTTTTTTTTATTAATGATGAGATAAATTCATCTACAGCAATACTAGTTCTATATCATAACAAATTAATTTGTCTAATAATTTAGATATCACAGCAAATACAAAAGAAGTATTAATTCCAAGATAATTAGGTTAAGATTTAAAATAACCTACATATGGCTTAATATTATTTCATAAAAATAGTTTTGAGCAACAGTAAAATCCTTAAGAATACTGCAGTGAAGTATTTTTGCCTCTTCAAGCCTGCCAAGATTATATAGTCAGTTTTTAAATGTATAATGTTATTGCTTGAATAAAATAAAAAAAAAAAAATTAAAATTAAAATGAGCCCTCAGAGTCAATTGACAATATTCTAGGTTCTAAAACAGGAATGAAGGTGACATAGTTTATGACTGTTTTGATAGGAAGTAATCTCTCATAGCCAATACAGCTTTCTTTCTATGTGAAATGGCATTTTTTTCTTCTCGTGTCATTTCAGCGTGAGTCTGAGAATACCCTACAGGTTGAAAGCATGGATCCCAACCAAAATCCCGTGGTCCGCGTGGGTCAACTATTACTCCTGAAACAAAAATAAAAATTGTGAAAGAAGACAACAAAATTAAGAACAGAATTAAGTAGTGCCCTATTTACATAACAAACTATTTCTAGTTAGATATGACTATTGTTTTAATTTATTATAAGTATTGCCTAAATTCATAAAATCGAATGATTGAGTTCTATTGGTTAAGGCACTTATATCTTAAGAGCATTGAGAGACAAACTCTTAAAAGTGTTCTTAAATTAACTACATACTTAAAGCTTATAAATGATTGAGGGAAATGTATTGATTGAATAATTAAAGTTTTTATCTGATAATCTGAAAAGAAACTTTTCACTTGCTTAAATCTGTATCTTTCAATATTTAATAATAAAACAACAAAATACATGAGAAAATAATGTTTATTTATTTTTATTAATCTTTTAGTCGGTGGTGTAGACCTCTTTTTATCAAATTATTAACATTCATCTAAAACTTCATTAATGACTTTATCTTATCACAACCTACAAGTATTTATACTTCAGAAAATTTTCAGAAATGGTGCATTTTCAATCTGGAGGTCCGAAAACTTTGTCTATTTAATGGAGTATTAAAAAATCATAAAAACTCATTTGCTTTCATTTATTTAAAATTTCTTATCATTGATAATTGACCACAAAATCGAGAAAAAAAGGTGGTATACAAAAATATTGGGTCCTTTGACAAGACTTCCACCTCAAACATGTCAAAATAATGAGATTATATAGGCCAAACGACCCAATATTTTTGTATGGCATCTTTTTCTCATGTTTTTGATCAAATTATCTAATGATTCAAGCGGAAAGCAAATGGTTATTCATAATATAGCTCTTATATAAATATTTATAGCTCACATGTAACAGCCATCATACTGTCTATAATTTTTACTTTAATTTCTCTGCATATAAAACAATCTATTTCTACTCTAAGTTGGTAAGAAAAAGTTGTGTGATACGCATTCCACATAATTTCTTATATGGCAAAATTAACTACAATACTTTTTATAATTTAAACAAAGCTGTAGCAAATCAATTTATAAGATTGCAGTAACAGCAACATTGATAACATTTTAGATCTTACGCTAATTAAAAAATTTCTCTTGAAGGGATTTAAATATAAATACTATTAACATTAAATAATGAAAGAAATTTTAATCTCAAATAAATACTTAAAATAAAATATTTAAAAATCAAAATGTCTTTTTTAAGTACTAATTTTATAGTGCCAATTTTTTGATTACATAATGATAAAACAATACAAATTAAATTCTTGAAATAATATTGCACATATTCTTTTTATCATTAGACTAATATTTTCTATTAATAAAACTACAAGAAACCATCACTATGTAAAAGTTAGGCATTAATATGTAGTTTACTGGTACATAAAGGCAAATATTTTATTGTTTATACATAATCTAACCTTATTATTGTACTTGAGATAATTGAGATTACAAGGAAAAGTGGTGTGCATTAATTAAATAAGATCACAACTCTGCCATTGTATGTATTTCTCCCTTAGCAATAAAAATGAAAATAAAAAGTAGCTTAAAACTTTGATTTAACAAATTTTAAAGTTAGGATGCTTAATGTAAAAGGAGTTGGCTACCACAGCGATTCAGTTGATTCAATGAAAACCACAAGCAAAAACGTTTGGAAGTCACTGTGGTAGGCAATACCAGCAAAATTCTACATTTAGGTTAGCAGCTAAAACATTTAATAGTTGAAAGATAACAAACTTCTGACTACTATAGCAGACTGTTGAAATGCAATAATAAACTATTAGGAGAGTTGTAAGTTGGAAGTTAAGGTTATCAGTTAGAACATATAATAGTTGAAAGAAAACAAACTGCATACCATCACAACAGTTACAATATACTGAAAGTGCCAAGTTACAAAAGAAAAAGAAATTGCAGTAATCAACCATTACGAGAGCTATTAAGTTGGAAATTAAGATTATTAGTGAAAACATATAATAGTTGAAAGATAACAAACTGCTAACCATCATAACAACCAGACCATACTGAAGGTGCTAAGTTGGCACAGAAAAAAAACAAAAAAAAAAACTTAAGTGGAAGTGAATTTATGAGAGATCCAAAAGGTTTTATATTGCACAGAGATTCTTCTTTCAACTATTCTTTTTAACTTTTATCTTCATGGCATCATCCAGTCAGCCCAGAGTTTGTTGACAACAAAGGCAGTTTGTTTTCAGCTGAAATAAATGCTCGAAACTCTTCAAAACCACCTAAATTAATTAGAAGAATATTTTACTACCCCATTGAAGATTTCAAGTTCATAAATGCAATTTCATAAGTTTTACTCCTAGAGACCCACCCAAGCTTACCCTAAACAGAAACAAGTAACAGTTGAATCCTTCAAATAAATGAAGATATAACAAAATATATGATTTCAAGCCAAAAATTCAACATTAACAGGATCCGAATAGAAGAAACGAATTCAAATAACTTAGCTTCACAATAAGGGAATAAATGAACAATAGTTAGAAAATAAATTACTGTAGAACAAGCACAGAGTTTTCTCCTCTCTTTCTAAGGTATTGAGATCGTAAAAAATCTCAAATTAAAGATGTACAATGATATGATAGCCATTTCTGACACACGACTGCGAGACCTAGACACTAACTTGAGAAAGAAGTATTCAAATATAGAGAGGAAAATACAATCCACAATAACTGGAGTAATCAAGGATCAGAGTACTAATGCGTGAAGGAGAATTTCAATGAAGAACTACTTACAGAAAATGATTAATCAACATCTCATGATATGAAGGCAAGGAGGTTAAGATGGAGGGGCATGTAGCTCACAACTCGCAATTAGGTCAATACAAATATGCCTCAACAGTAGGCAAGAAACCACACAAAAAACCCAAAAGCCAGATAATTGGATCAGATTAATACAGATAATGCAGAATCGCAGGCAAATAAATGATGTGATAGCCTAAGTAAACTGACAGAAAAAAAAAATTGGATAGAATAGAAAAATAAACTTTAATCTGAGACAAAGTCCCTTAACACTAGAACGACACACTGGGGTGTGAAACAACCCAAAACATTTTAAATATTAATTTACTATTATATAAATAGCTCTTTGGCCAAGTTGTTTCATGTAAATAAACATCATACATAGCACAGCTAATTACAGTCATTAGAACTCCATTCTTGGGCTTATATTATTACTGGGAGTTATCGAAAGTCAGTATGTGGTATCACACACCCCAGTGTGTTGTTTACGTGACTCTGCTTTGTTATTTTGAAACTACGAATAATTCAAGTGTGGATTTCTAATGTTATATTTGTTTATATCCGGGACTGATGTACAAACTCCGTGAATTCCTACCACCTACATACTACCTCATTATCCGTTCCTACCTTACTGACAGATACTTCAAAGTCAATCATAACAATGCTTATTCATCTCTTTTTACTCAGTCTGCCGGTGTTCCTCAAGGTAGTATTCTAGGTTCTATCCTTTACACAGTTTATACAGCTGACATCCCAACCCAATCCAACACTGTCATCACCACCTATGCCGATGACACGTGTATCCTATCAGTTAATAACGATCCTTTAATTGCATCCCAAACTCTTCAATCACATATCACAAGCCTTGAAGAACGGTGTAAAAATTGGAGGATAAAAATAAATTCCAACAAATCCCATCAAATCACCTTTATCCTCCGTCGTAAACCTATGACCTCTTGTCCTACAGTATCCTTCAATAATACTCCACTTATTCCTGTTGAGCAAATCCGCTACTTAGGACTCCACCTTGACAAACGACTCACTTGGAACCTCCATACTAGACTGAACTGCCCGACGTTTTTGACTACTGCAGCACTTACTAGACTAACGATCTAAGCTTTCAATCAATTATAAACACTCGTATATATGACAATAATAAGACCTATTTGGACTTACGGAATTGAGCTTTGGGGCTCTACTAAACCATCGAATTCCTCTCGTATCCAATCCTTACAATCTAAAATCCTTCGTAAAATCCTCAACGCTCCTTACTTTGTCACAAATAAAATCATCCATAAAGACCTTAATGTTCCATATGTTTCCGATCTGGCCCAATCTAGATACCTTTCTTTCCATAACAAACTGCAGAACCATCTGAATCCTCTCGTTTCAAACCTTGCTTCCTCCTCGATCCCTGATAACCCTCCGAGGCGTCTGAAAAGAAGATGGCCTCGGGATCTTCTAATATAGAACTTTAATTTGAGTTCTACCAATGGGTAGTTTCTCTTCATGTTGTACATGCCATGTTACAAATTTCTCATTTACTTATTGTATTCTCTATGTAATACAGTTGTAAATTCCATTAAAATAATAAAAAAAAAAAATTTGTTTATCAGCGGTATTTTCAATTCAGACGGTAATGTATAGAAACTATTTTTTTTAGTATAGCAACTAGCAAAAACATGTATTCTTTTCCTGAAGAAATCCATCAATTGTTATGGGAGTTAGAAGATGAAGAAAAGATGCATGGAGCATATTAAATAAAGATGGCACAGTAACTTTAGATGAAATGTGTTATGTGTGTTAACAGGAAGTTTCTTTTCGGTTTATGTAAAATAATGTTCTCCAATAAATATATATATAATTATTATTCATTCTAATGTGTATAATTATGACCTCATTTAAAAACATATTAGCTAACAAAAATTACCTTATTTTAGTACCTATACACAATTAAATTATTAAAATATTTTGGACACAGTAGTCTAGTGAAGGTACTCTACATTTCACTGCATCAATTTCGAATCAAGCTTAATTTAATAAAATAAATTTATGATTGTATAAAATTTAAAATAATGTTTAATTTACTGTTTTTAAAAAGATCTTGAATCTACAACATGGTAATTGTCAGACTGGATGTATAGAAGTGAATAATATTTTTAACAGATTAGTCATGCAAAGAAGAATTGACTGTCAAAAAAGATTGACCAAGTGAAGATCTCCTATTTCAGACACATAAATAGCTTTTGTATTATTCCTGGAATTTCAGTTTCAATTCCTCTATAGTTTGAACTAGGAAAGAAGAGAACCCATTAATATGATAGCTGTCATTTATAAACCTGGAAGTAACAACTGTACAATAAGTTAACAACTGCCAATTAAAGTTTAAAATAAAAGAAAAAAGCTTATAATTGAACAGGATCATACAGAAAGAGGTTCATTGAGAGGCACTTAAAATGAGTCCCTTTCTTTATGAAGCCATTCAATTAACAGCACCATGCATATATACAAATAGAAGAAGTTCAAAGACAATAAATACAGAAAATATACCTCCTTCTTGAGTAATTGTTTTTAGACCTCCATTGTATAGGATGTTATTTCCCATTCTCATAGTTTTGAATTAGTCATTGTCAGCATTTAAAGCTCAATGGATCATCACTCCACTAAAAAAATAATATAGTCAAATCTAAATACAAACAAAAGTAGCTCCGATTTCTTGTATTTCCTAACAAAAATTTCGAATAACTGAATACATGGGCTTAAGAGTTCTCTATGATTGACAAAGATGGATTCAATGCAATAAGCAGCTTTAATTTTCAACAAAATAAATAAAACCATAGAAGAGAAACAATCATAAAAATAAGCAGCTCAATACAATCGATTCAGATTATAAAGCTACAGGTTGTTAAATTTCTGTATTATTCTAGAATGGCAACAGTGGACAAAGCGAACCAAAACTGGTTATTCTGTAACCCTTGTAAGCTGACCAAAACCACACTAATATAAACTATAAAAAGTATTATCATAAGTGGGTTGATTTATCATACCACAATTATATCTGTCAAATCTTCAAAAACAAAAATTCTATTTAGATATTTTTAAATTTAGAGTATGTGCAGGAAGACCTACCTACCTAAATTTAAAAAAAAAAAAAAAAAAAAAAAAAAAAAGACACTCAAAACTCTAATAATGGCAAGTGCATATGTAGCTTAATTTAGCTACAATATATACATAACTGTAGCAGATTTCTTCTCACTTAAGAGATGAGAAAAAAAGCAACGAAAAGGGCACATTCAGCCTCTATTAATTGGGTAGCAACTATAAAATAATCAATTAAGGGGAAAAACCTGGCAGATGAGTATGATCTCAGTAAAACCATCTCCTTGTACAACTTTAAACCAAGAAACATGTAAATAAGTACTTCCTAATAAAGTACTACACCTAAGACACCCAAGGGTTATTATTGTAATAGGTTTTTTTTTTTTTTTAATTTATTTTTAACAGTGACAGCTCCATACTTCTGCTCAATCAAAAGATAAAGAAACACTCAACAGGCTCCTTGATAATGTAATAAGGATAAATCATGATACATGTGTTGTTTTCCTTTTCTACTAATAAAATATTTAAAAAATATCCTCAAAAAAATCATATTCTACAAAAGAAACATAATGAAGTTTGGCATGGGATAGAAATGCATCTATTAGCTAATATAGGAAGTAGCACCACTTCGAATTAATATATCTGTTCTTAATTATGTCTATTGGTAATTAATAGAATAAATTCACGGTTGCATTTTACTTCATGGTGCACAGGGATCTTATAATAAAAATAAAAACACTGTATCATTACTACTTGGGAGTACTATGTAAACTATGTAGTGAAGTACTATGTACGGAAGTAGGTACTTAAACTAAATAATAACCAGAATTGAAACCATGCTTAGGAGATAGGAGCATCGAGCCTTACTCATTCTAATTAATAAAATTCTTATTATCTGATAATGGTTAACATTACTTCTACAAGTAGAGGGATTGGTTGTTTAGGGAAAATGAACTATTCGGTAACCTTTTATACTATAAGATATTTAGTGATGGATATAGAAGAAGAAAAAAACCTTCAGTTATTCCTTGAAAAATCAAAATTTCTTTATCTTCTCCTTCTGTGTAGGCTAATGTGCAAACAGCTGTGGCTGATTTGTCTTCCCAAGCTTCAAGAAGCTTGTACAGGCCTTCTGGTCCTAATTTAGCTAAAAACCACTTTACATAGGGTCCTAAAAATTGTGATTTCAATTAAAAACGAATCAATATTGTTTTACACAGAATGGTTAGGAGATTTTTAAAACTTTTGGTTATAATAAAACTAATAATACCTGGTAAATCGCCCAAAGATTTGAAGCAGAGACACGTGTCTTCCACTACAACTGGCCCTTTAACAAATTTTGATGCTTCTCTACATTTTTTTTTCGATATTTCTATGATATCACCTTGCAATTCGGGCAAATCAATATTTTGGCTAGTTAGCTGTAAACGGTATAAAATTCATTAATACGAAAAAATTAATTACGTGAAATTAAGTTTAAAACGCACGTACTTTAAATGGAACATCGGGCCCTAAAATTTGAGTCATTTCTTCAAATTTCCTAGCATTTCCTGTAACAAAGACAACTTGCTGTACCATTTTTCGAAGTGTTCCAGAAGACCGGTATGCCATCAACCAGCTGCGCTTAATCTTGTATGTAACCTCCCGAAAGAAATGTTAATCTTGCAGGTTATCGTACAGTTGACGTTACAACTCGGCATTTTGCCTTTAACTCGGTATTTTAATATTTTATAAATATTTATCATGAGCGGTCATAGTCATGGCCATGGTTGTGATGGAGATCATAACCATGATGAAACGCCTGAAATGGGCTTACAATATAGCTTGTACACGAAAATTGATATAGATAATTTACAATGCTTAAATGAAACTGTAGAAGATTCTGGAAAATCAATTTTCAAACCTTGGGAAGATCGGCTGAATATGGATAAGGTAATCCAAAATTCAACAAGGTTTAGGCTTACTTCCTTGCTTTACTAAGAATATAGTAATTCAAATTGCTTTCTTTTAGTTTGTAGAAAGTGATGCAGATGAAGAATTACTAATTAATATACCGTGAGTAAGAGATAATTGTGTAGTCTAACATTCTTGTTTAGCATGAATTAATGTTTTTGCTTTTCAGGTTTACAGGGAATGTGAAATTGAAAGGAATAATTGTGATAGGAGGCGAAGATAAATCACATCCCTCTAAAATGAGGCTGTAAGTTATAACAATTTAATTTTAATTTTTCAACACATAGTTGTGTCTTGTCATAGAGTATAAAGAAAATATTGTACATAAAATAGTTTATTAATAAATATAAGATCACTATGTCAAATTGTTTTCACAATTAATAAATTAAATTTCACAAATATATTTACAATGTTACACATTATGCACTTATGTTGCTCATGTAAAGCGCTCGTAGTTCAGTTTTAGGGTTCATTTCAAACAGTGCAGCCCTGTTTTGCCCTTCTCCTTTTTTAACCCAATGACCATAAATTCTAAATGCACAGTTGTCTATAACCTTTCGTAATGTCTTGATCTTGTAGGGATCTTGAATACTTGCTGCAACTGATATAGGTTTTGGAATGTAAATGAGCCTATTGAAACGAACCATTGCCAGGATACATAGGATACTGTACTTAAATTTCTTTCTAGCATCAAAACAGGTCTTGTTTTCATAGGCTATTTGCGAAATTACGGATAACCTTTTGCTGAATGGAGCAAGACTTTGCTTGAGTGGTATCACTTCTTGGTCCCATAATATTACATTAAAGAAAGGATGAGATAAAGCTTCTTTAACGTTAAGTCTTTGCTTAGGATCAACTACCAATAATTTTCCTATTAGATCTTTTGCTTCTTCAGATATATCAGCCCATTCTGGTGAAGTAAATGAATATTTTCCCTCCATTATATTTCTTAACATAACTATTTGTTTCCTATGCCAGAATGGAGGACAGCCCACTAGCAAAGTAAACATAATTACACCACAGGCCCATATATCAACTTCAAGGCCATAACCTTTGGCATCAGAAAACATATTAGCTTTTAATACTTCAGGCGCGAGGTAACCTGGCGTTCCACACAATTCTGTCAATTCTTGATTCTCTCCTAATACATGGGCAAACCCAAAATCAGTTACCTTTATGTTATTGCTTTCATCTAATAAAATGTTTTCAGGTTTAAGATCCCTATGTACAATTCTTTTGCTGTGAACATATTGAATTGCCTCCAGTAGTTGTCTCATTATACATCTTGTCTTTTTTTCTGATAGGGTTACTACTGTTGTGAGGTAATCAAAAAGTTCACCATTAGGACACAATTCAAATACTAAAAATATAAATGTAGAAGATTCAAACACATCATGAAGCTGTATAATATAAGGATGACCTGCCACTAATTTCAAAATCCTCATTTCTTCTCTAGTTGCATCTAATAAATCAGGATCCACGCTTATGTCAATGATTTTTGCAGCAAACTCTAATCCTGTTTCTTTTTCAATACATCTTCTCACTGTTGAACTAATACCTCTTCCTAAGATTTCTTTTGGTTCATATTTCGCATAAAATTCCTTTGCTGCGTCCTTGTCCGGAAGGGTGTCTTCGATTTCTTCCTTAGTCATGGCACGTCTTGGTACTTAAAACTTACGAAAGGAACTTAAAATTTTCATTGCTGGTTAAGTGCTGTATACATGAGGGAAGGTTAAACACGGTTATATTATTGCTGACCAACTGCCCAGCAAACCTTCAATTTTTTTTTTTTCGCTTGATTCTGTTATTGTTGCTCAATGTCTTGACACGTTTTATTCTCTTTTCTCTTTGTTTAGTGTCTCTTTATAATATAATAATTATTTATATATGCGTTCACCAAATCGGAGTTCATGTTTATAATCTGGTTTTAGTTTCGCTCATACTACTGATTGATATATAAAACTGATTAGATTTGATTAAATGTCTATATACGTCAAAAGAGAGTTTATCAATTATGTAAATCCAATACTATTAATTCTGTAATACTACTAATACATCCGACATTGATGGCGATATTTCAAGACGAATTGTGTTTCTTTATTCTTCTCTGATGATTTTTATAAATTATTTTTTTAAAGATAAATGATGCCTTGAACAAATTTTAAACTCGTTACTTTAAATCCAGGAGAAGAATTAAGCATTTAAATATCGATCAGTTTAATCGGTTTTCGATTTCCGCTTCGATTTTTATTCTACTATTGGTTATTTATATATTCAAGGCTGGCGTGTTGTATTTTATTTTTTGTTGTGTAAAAGAAAAAACTTAATTTATTTTCTTTTACTTAGCTTTTAGTTGCGACTTAATTTTAATTTTGCATTGAGTTACTTTGGTTCGTGTTGTTTTAGGTTCCCTGTATCACCGTAAAGCTATTTCCAGGAGTGATTTAAGTATTAATTTACTCAAGTTTGTTACTGTGCTTAAATATTTCAATATATTACTTTCACTTGCCTATATATGTAATATATAGTAAGGAAAAATATTGCGATCGTGAAAATTTTCTGATCTGAGTTCTCAGTGGAAATACTTGTTTTGAAGTTCCCTGAGTCTAAATAACCAAGTCCCGCAAAATGTTCATCTGTGTGTGTCTGTGTGAAGTGCCACTTTATTAATTAATTTTGCACATTTTTTGAAAACGCCTATAACAATTCTTGTTAAATTCATTATATTAGTGTAAAATTAGGCGTTTTTTTATATAATGTAGGTCTCGTTTTCATTGATGTTCTCTAAGAGGGTTTAAATACCTAATTTTCAAAATTTCTTCCTTTAAAGTACCTTTATTTATTTTTTTTTTTTTAGGGAGCTTCACAGTATAAGCCATGTAGGAATCTGGGCTGTTTAACCGAATGCCCGACCTTCACCAAATCCTCCCCTTTTACAGATATCCGATATCCCTCTGTATAGGGCTTTCATATTCAACTTTTTTAGATTAAATGGATTTTTTTATTTGTATATATTAGGTTGTTCCATAAGTTATTTCCTTTTTCTTTATTTCTTGTTTAAGATTGATTTACTATGTTGTACAGGGTGTTTCGTAATTGCACGGCACTATTTTCGGTATGTGTTCACTAACACAAAATAAAAAAGTTCATATTAACATATATCACAAATTCATTTACTAAACAGATATCAAAGGTTAAAGATTTATTATTTATTTACTACATTAAGACTGGCTGTACAAAGTTTAACGTGTTTAATACTAAACAACAGGTTTTAATCACCTGATAAACAAATGAACGATAAGCAATGACAGTAGTTGCTCATCTATTTGTCTAGTTCTGTGTGTTTTAGTGTCAGTGAATACTGTGACACAGTTCAATTTAAGATATGGCAGACATCATAAATGTATTCACTTTTGCAGAACAAACAGACATGCTTTTAACTTATGGCGAAGTACATACAAACGGCGCTGCTGCTGTGAAAAATGAAGAATGAAAATATCGTGAAAAATTTCTTAATCGAAGAATACCAAATAGTAAAATGTTTGAGGCCATTGATAGACGCCTTAAGGACAATGGCACGCTAAAACCTATATGAGTAAACGCCGGTCCACAAAGATTTCGACGAACTGCAAACGTTGAAGAAGAAATACTCCATGCTGTTCAGTTATCCCCTACTACTTGTACCAGAAAATTTTCACGTAATTTCAATGTTTCCTCTACCAGCGTATGACGAATTTTAAGCGAACAACAATTGTGTCCATTTCACGTATCGAGTAGGCAAAATTTGTTACCACAAGCGAAATTTCTCCCAGTGGCTAATTCGACAGTGCACACGAGATCCTAACTTCCTGAACTGCTTTTTTGTTACTAATGAATCTTGTTTTACAAGAAACGGGATTCTTAATTTTCGTAATTCTTAACATACGACTGCTGTTGGACGTTACCAACATACCTTTTCTTTAAATATCTGGTGTGGTCTTCTAAGTGACAACATCATCGGTCCTTTATTTTTGCCACCTAGGCTGTCAGGTATATCTTACTTCAATTTTTTTTTTTTTGTAAAATAATCTTCATGAACTCCTAGAAGAAATTCCGCTAGGCATTAGGTAAAGGCTGCGGTTTATGCATGATGGTCACTTTTCTAATAGTGTCACTGATTATTTAAATGCAACTAACTTATGGGAACCGATGAGTTGGTCGAAACGGACCTGTTAAATGGCCACCACGATCTCCGAATTTAACGCCATTAGATTATTTCTTGTGGGGCTTGATGAAGTCTATGGTTTATTCTGCGGCTGTTGGCACGCAAGAAGAGCTAAGCAATTGGATCGTGGAAGCCGCAGTGACTGTCAAGCACCATCCTGATGTTATATGAGGAGTCAGAGAAGCATGAATTCATCGTGCTGAATGTTGCGTTCAACAAAAGGGAGGTCCCTTTGAACAGTTACTCTAAATGTTGTAATCATAATAAATAATAAATCTTTAACCTTTGATATCTGTTTATTAAATGAGTTTGAGATATATGTTAATATGAACTTTTTTGTTTATTTTGTGTTAGTGAACACATACCTAAAATAGTGCCGTGCAGTTAGAAAACACCCTGTATCACGGGCGGATCTACGGGGGGGGGGGAGGGGGGAGAGGGGAGCCTTCGGGCTGAAGCCCTCCCCCCCCAAAATGGAAAAATATAACGATGTTTTATGGGAAATTTTTTTTTAAAAATATCTGTTAAAGTATTATTGTTCGTGTAATTACATTTAAAAGTACTTTAGGAATAACTTAAACACCATTTCATATAGGTAGTTAGTTTCTTTCTGGTTTTCCAAAGTAATTATCGTTATTTTTATGAAAAAAAAAGGTTTCGGGCTGAAGCCCCCCCCCCCAAAATTAAATCCTGGATCCGCTAGTGCCCTATATATGAGCCGTTTTGCTGTATTACCTACTTCCATCTCTCAGGATACCTCTTATACCCTCTTTCCAAAATTGTTGAGACTTACTTGCAAAATATTCATCGAGATGCGTTTTTATTTCGCTTTCGTATTTTGGACATTTATTACGGAGAGAATTGTTAACGAAAAAAAAAGAATAATAATCGGAAGCGGCAAGGTCTAGGAAATACTGAGGATGAGCTAGAAAGACCCAATCAAACTTTTAAGTTTTTCATAATTGGTAATTGGTTGACTGTCGTGGATAATGAAGAGAAGAATAGTTGGGGTGGTCAGTCAAAAAGGAATGCAAAAATAAATAATAATATTTATTTTTTACATATGCCGACGTTTCGACCTGAAGTTCAGGCCTTCCCCAGGGCTAAGAAAATAACATTCTCAAATTAAGTTATTTTCTTAGCCCTGATGAAGGCCTGAACTTCAGGTCGAAACGTCGGCATATGTAAAAAATAAATATTATTATTTATTTTTGCCTTCCTTTTTGACTGACCATCCCAACTATTCTTCTCTTCATTTTAAGTTTTTCTGTCTTTTGGCCAATGCCACATGTTCTGCCAACAAATATCCGCTTGGTACGCCCGGCAGACGCTATTCAAAGTCCCGCCATTTTGATTACCAAGCTGTCATTTCATACTGCATTAAACTATTGCATTTAAAATAGGCAACAAAAAAGGATTAAAAATTTGTGTATGGCAACAAATTTCCGCTTGTTACACGCAGATTGACGCATAATCTCACCTTTTTGACCAACAAAATGGTGTAATTTCATACTGCATGAAACTTGTATTAAAAAAAGTGTAACAAATTTCAAAAAACCGCCGGGTACGCGCGGCAGATGCAATTCAGAATTCCACCTTTTTGAACGCGGAAAATAAGTGCAATTTAATACTGCATGAAACTTGTTTCATTTAAATATATGCTCTAAGAACGAATCTGCTATTCAATACCAGCAGGGCAGATATGTCAGATGATATTCAAATTACAATACTGTTAATCACAGAAATGTTATACTCCGCTGGGCATTCTCAGCACAAAATTTATCTCATTTGTTAATAATAATAATAAGATTTGTACAAACTGAACAAAGTGACACTGAGGGCTTTAGTGATCTCTAACAATGGCCTGATTCCAAAATCCACTGCAGATGCTACCAAGAAGTTGGGCCTCTCAAGAGCCACAATAAATGAAGCCCAGAAAGCTGTGCTGCTGAACACTGCGAGAATTGTAAAGAGCTTCCTAAATATCCAATAGAACTACAAAAATTAACGTGAATTGGTTGAAGATAATTCTTCCCCACGCCAGGAAAATGCCTTATTTTAAATTGTTAAAAAATAAAGGATAATAATAACAATAAAAGGCTTAGCGAACCTGAAGATAACAAGCATTTTCCGTCTTCAATGAAGCCTTGATTTCCTCTTTGATTTGTTTTTTATAGTTATTGTATATCATAAATACCTAAACTTCTTTACAAGCTCAAACGCATTTCCTATTATTGTCATTTTGCAGCTAACTATGTATTTTGTCTTATTCGTGTATATTCAGAGCTCCAGTTCATTACCGGCTTTCATCAACATTTTATTTTGCTTTATATATGCGTTCTTTGCCTAACACTACTAAATTATCAAGATATAGTTGTAAATTTCATAGATCAAAACATATAGGTCATTTTAAAAAAATGTAATTTTTACGATATACCATAAATTCTCTTAAGAGCTCTTTATGGCCGAGCGTGTTAAAACGTAAACTTAATAAGAAAAAAAAACCTCTTAAATATTTATTACACATTATCAATGAGAGTATTAGAAGCCATATAAATAATTGAATATTTTTTAAAATATTAAAATTTATTATCAGACGTACCCTAAAGATCATAGGGGTATTTTCCTCCCTTTACCTTTTCAATAGATTTTTACCCCGTCGAAGACTGAAATTTGCTGCCTTCTCCCTCCTGGGCAATGCCCTCATCTTCCTCAAAAAATTTATTTATTTAACTGTCTATATTAAGTTTATTCAGTTGCTTTATTAATAAGCTAAAATTAATTTTTCTCATATGCTTTTTAATTCCTGATAAATGGCAGGCACCCCTTACAGATATTCAGGCCCTAAAGCTGGCACTGGTTGAAGACTGTCATAAATAGCTATATTTTAATTTTAAAACCTAATCAACATGAAAAGTATCCCATGATACCCGCCATGCGTACCATAATACACAAGATGCATTCGCAAAGGATTACGATTTAGTTTGAAAATAGAATTTCTTTGGATCCACACTGGATCTGCTTTGAAATCTTTAAAACAAAATTTATTCCTTCTCAATCAGCCAACTTTTGAAAGTATCTTTTTTGAAACCTTCACAGTTCTTCAATAACTTTTATCAAAGTTGTTGGAAGTTAAAGATGGAAGTTGGAATTCATTACTTCTCCATGAAAATTTCTTTCGTTTAGTACATCATTCATCGAAATCCATCGCTCCTAATATCGGAAAAAGGTATATAAACTAGCATATTATATATAAATCAGAGAGTATAACTATATGTTTTGTATTGTAAGAGGATACTCAGTGAAAGACAGAAGCGCATTAGTGCATAAAGAGACCAGGAGAGTGAGTTTGAGGGGACTCCCTGAAGCTTAATTCAAGAAATTAATCATTTCTGTTTTGAACCCAGTACTCTAAAAACATGCTCTGCTATTCCGCTTATGATACTTAAAGGAGTCATGATTATAATATACACATTTTAAGATTTTTTTCTATATCTCTTACCAACAAATGAGTTAATAAGTGGTGAAGTTTATAAAATTATTATTTTATGAATTACCAACACTCTGACTTGATTAAATTAACTGATGAATTTCATTTAGTCAAAAAGTAAAACAAAAAATGAAATAAAATAAAAAGATTTCTATAAATGTTGGTATTCTGAGGCCTCAATGCACAATGATCCACGCTAAAGCTAAAAGAGTAAGCATCCAGGTTTGATGCAAAGGATGGTATACTGATATTGCCAATAGGTAGGTGATGAGTTTTTGGGAGAGGATGGCTGAGGAACGCGTTTGCAAAAGACAGGTTGCCTGGCAACCTGATGAACTAAAGATTGTGAGTTGGAGTCACAGTGGCTTCAGTTAAATTCACATCTGTGTACATTTACCTATTGACTTATTTTATCTTCTGGCCGCCTGAATAATAAAGGACCTCCTTTACTTAGGTCATTCATTAAGTTTACTTTTGTTTTATAAAACTTTTTAATGTTGATTAAAAATGATTATCATAATTTTTTTTTAATTTTTAGGTACAAGAACAGGCCATATATGACTTTTGATGATACTTCCATCCCTCCTGACCAAGAATTCGATCTTCATCCAGATAATGCTGGAACATTAGAATATTCAACCATGTAAATATTTTTATTTTAAAAAATAAACTATTCTCTTTCAAACAATAGGACTTTCATGCATTAATATTTTTTCTTATTGTAAATAGTGGTTTTATTATTTTATATCAGATTGCACTTTTTTGAATTTTGATAATAATCATATATATGTAGGGCCAAATTACCATAATATAAAAAAAGAAAGAAAGATTCTAATAGTTATATTACTAGTGATAACTTAATATTGTTTATTTATTTATTTGTACAATGAAAAATAATCTTATTTTTTTCGGACTGTTCAACCACAAGGGGCATTTTAGCCCTTTGAAAATATTTCAATAGAACATTAGAGATTTCTTTATCATAAAAATTACTTAGAGATTTCAGTGTAGTGCAGTATATAGATATTGAATATCATCTGCCTTCAAGAAATTCATTTATTACATAAACATCAGGTGAAATTTAGGAATTTTCAAATATTCTGGAAAGATTATAAAAAAAGGACTAAAGATGTAACTTGGGGCCTCTTGGACCCTAAAGGTTTTTTCGGACCAAAATAATAATGTAAAGTAAATTGGAAACCTAGCAATGGAATCATTACCTATTATAGAGAATGTGAATTATGTATGTATTTTCATAGTAAGAGACCTTTTTCTGCATATTTTAAAACTATTTTTTTAAACAGGTTCAAGCAGTACCTAGTTACAGCTCTTTCTTGTTTTCGGATCTGTGATTTTAGCAATTTAATTATTTTTTATAGCAAAAATATCTGGACATGTTAATTTGTTTATCCCAAGTTTTTTCAACTGTTTCATTCTTCTTTTTTTCTGGAAATGGCAATATAGGGTATTTCATCATTTCCAAGTAATCCCAAAGTTCATCAGATTTTTCTATGTAATATATTGGCTACATTTTTGTGTATCATCAATTTGCCTGTAGATGTTTTGAACCAATTCGCCAAAGATTCACTTACTCTTTCTTCATCCATTCAAGGTAGTGTAAAGTTCTGAATATTTTGTATCATTGTGATGTTTATGTAAGAATACTGCTTCATGGAACTTTTTCCTTTTGTCAAGTCTAATGATTAAAAGTAACAGATGCTTTGCAAATTGTATCTTCAAAGATTATATATATATATATATATATATATATATATATATATATATATATATATATATATATATATATATATATATATATATATATAGTTTTTTTTTTAATATTGAATTTGGTAAGAGTTTAAGGGACAATTTTGTTAAATGTACAGAATCATCCAAATCCTGAAAAGTTTTTAATTAACTTGTATACCAGTGTGAGAACTCACATTAGATACCAATCTATCCTTTTTCTCTTTAATAGATTTGAAGCAAAATATATATAAGGGATGCTTTCTATTTGTACAAATCATATGTTATTATCAAGAAAGTCTATTCAACTCACACATTTGGTGAGAGATGTAGAAGTAACAGTTTACTGTGATGTTATTAAGTAATTAGCTAGTAGTTTTAATTTTGATCAGTAATTAATAATTAAGTAATTCAAAGAGTGTAGCCATATAAAAAAAAGTTGTCCCAAGTGGAGGGACAATTTTTTAAGTATAGTTTTTCAGCAAAGGGTGTCCTTTCATGATTATTTTCTTTCATGTTATTGAAATATTAACAATCATCCTGTCACTGTCTATATTGTTATTGTTAATACATTGTTGTTTTTCAGTTTTTCTGTGTTGGCTTATAGACTCTTAGAATTTCTAAACATTTTCATCTACTCTAAATGGTTTGGCTGCTTCAAGAATGTGTGCCTTCTTCCAATCTCTCTTTTTTCTCTGAAAAAGCCACTTTTCCTCCTGTCTCTTCTTGCAGTATTCTTCTACCGTTCATTTAGTCCTTCTTGCTTTCATTGCTTTATATGCCCAAATTTTAGCATCAGTGACATGGAGCATACTCTTCATCAAACCATGGAAACCTTGGTTCCTTTCCTACTCTGCCCACAGCTTCTTGAGCCGCCTGGACCACGGCTCTCTGAATCATGCTCCATTTATATCCTGTTAAGATGCTATAAGATGCTATGCTGATAAGATGCTCCATATAAACTGTTATTTCTTGTCTTTATTTAGCCAATTTCTAGTCAAGTACCTCCTCATATCTTCTTCCTTCTGCTTCCTGTAAATTACTTTTGTTGAACCTCTCCCTTCATTCTTTTCTGGACTTTCAAATATTGATTCAGGCCAGAATATGGATGATACTCTAACAGTGATCCGAATCAATGTTTATCCTACAATATACTTGAACATCAGTAAGATATGCAAAGGTGAGGTGCTTTTTGTCCACCTGAATGTGGTCTAATTGATTTATGTTGTTACGGTCGGGCATTCCAGGTTCCCTCATGTATGAGCTTGTGGGAGAAGATGATAGTACCAATGATCAAACTATTGGAAGCCACAAAGTTAATGAACTGATTTCAGTTATCGTTACGGGTTTGATGGAGACTATGTCTTGCAATTGTTGAAAAATATATTTCTTCTTTGCCTAATTTTGAATTTACGTCTCCCGTCACAATTTTCAAATCATACTTGGGACAGGATAGTTCTTGTAGGATTTCCAGTTCTTCATAGAATTGTTCTTTTTTTTCCTCATCTGATGCTTCTGTTGGCGTTTGTACACTAAAGATATTGAACCAAGTTATAAATACTACCCTAACTGCGAAGTGTACGTATTTGTGGGCTTATTGGGTCCTATCCTACAATTAGACTATGAAAAGAGCTCCTGACAATGAATCTGATCTATCCCATATGAAAATATGGCTTCTTTCATTGCAGCTGTAGTAGACTGTGGTGTTTCTTTTTTAGGATCCTTCTTCCATTCCATCTCACTACCTTCTGGATGGTAGTGATGTCCAGTTTATATTTATCTATTTGTTCTAGGTGTACATTAAGTGCTGCGAGTCGATAGAGGATCAAGATATTCCATTAACCAAAGTTAAACCTAAACTTGATGTTTGCTATTTCGTTTCCATTGATTACAATCCTTATCCTAGGCTAATTGTTGAAGTTTCATAGTGATTTGTGTTTGGGTTGTGGAACCACTCACCCTCTCTATGTATCCTTGTCCTGTGGTGAGGTTGTTACCTTTGGATCTGTACTCCTGAATTAGGGGAGGGTTTACTCCCTCTTCGCAGTAGATCCTCTAACTCAATCGGTGGGTGCTGTCATTGATCTGGTAAAAAGCAAAATTTCTCTGCCACTATCCTTGAAAGAAATTTCCTACTGCCGACATTCCTCATTCTGGCAGGCCGGGACCCAGGTTACCTCCAGGATGCCCTTTCAGGATCCCCCTTCTGTCAGTTCACCTACTTAAGTTTTTCTCCTTTTTTTTTTTTATTAGTTAGGAAGTTTATATAAATTATTTAAAGGTTGGCAATGAAAAACTTCTATTATAATTTAATGTTGTATTTCATCTAATTTTACTGACATTTTGGGATTTTATCCCATCCTCAGAGCTATTTTTTCATTACAATTTAAATTCTGAAATGTATGCATGATTATAAGAACATGTTGTTATAAGTTAGAAATTTTATAAATATATTTATTAAAAAATGAGTGGTCAATATCATCCTAAACTGGTCAGTTTTTTTAAGAATCTCTTTAAAACTTTACTGATTTATATATAACTGATATTAGAAAATGTATTCTGAAATAACGACCAAGGATAGGAAAAGTCATTTTTTATTACATTACTAATAAATTAGTTGTACTTTATTCTTGGCTACTTATTGGTATGTTAACCTGTAACAGAACATACATATATTGGGGGCGAATTGGACGAGCAGGCTAATACGTGTGCATAGCACCGTGTGTTGCCTGGCGACCCGTGTGATAATTTAATATAAATGTGATAAAGTAATATCGAGTTCGCGTCCCGGTGTCAAGTGGAGCTTTTAACTCTGAGATTAATCTCCCACCCTCACCTTCTCTCCCGGGAAAGCCTTGCATAGGTGAGGAAGAAGACAAAAAAAAAACAAAAAAAAAAACGCATATTACTGACAACATTTCACCATCAAATAGAAATCTTTAGATTATGGATTTCACCATGAAACAAGAAGAAATAATTGAAACAATGTAAACTTTTAGTTCAGGTTGATATTTGTTATTGTTTTCCAGGAATACAATTTTTAAGAGGTATTAGAATTCATATGTAATTAAATATTTTTTTATAAATTTAAATTTTTGTTATGTTAATCATTGGTTAAGACATATTACTTACAAGTAGTTGTTATGATATGGTTTATAACTTAAATTTAATAATGTTAATTATTATTATTAAATAATTTTTAGATTTTTTTTTCTTAAAAAATGTATTCAGTCTTGAATTCAATTTTGTTGAATAAATTATTCTTTTTCTATTCAATAAAAGCATGTTAATTTTCTTTTTAGGGTTGTTAAATTTTCTAGCGTGCACCATTTATCAATACATTTCCCTAGCAATTTCGGTTCAGACTCGACTAAGCTTTACTACATAGGCCTAAAAGGAGAATTTTCACCAGCTCACAGGCATGGAGTCACCATTTGCACATACGAGACCCAGCCCAATGTGTCTGATCTTACGAAAACTATTGGAAGTCCTGTTGAACAAGTTCAATAAGCCTCACAATATTTTTTTTTTATTATTAATTTTATGTTAAGCAAATGTTTAAAATTAAATCATCTCATGTTTTCAATGCCATGTAAAGTGTGATTTGATATTATTGTTTGAAATTAAAACGTTTTTCATTTTTTTTCTATTTTGTAATAAAGTGATTATATCTTTAGTTAATTTTTCGTAACCTTTGATCCTGTTTTCTATTATTTTGTGTGTATGATTGATGTTTATCCTTACCTATTGATTTTCATAAAATTGAAGGAAACATTAAAGGATTAGGAATACTACTTATATACAGATTATTTTTTAGCTTGAAAAGTCATTTATCCACATAAATGTTTTTAAGAATTTCTAAAAACATATTTTTTATTCATTTAAGTATGAATACTAGAAGCTATTCAAGTGATTTGCTCTAAAATTGGTTTCATATTAAAACTTCTTTGATTCAGTTATTGCCTCTCTAGTTTTCATTACTTTATTTAAACAAATAAAATTTACTTATTTTTTTCACTTTTGAACTGGTATCTCATTTTTTTTTATGTAAACATACATGGGAAATGTGTTATGTAGTAAACAAAATTTGAAAATAGTGCAGATCTAAAATTATAAATGGTTATCTCCATATACATATAAAATATGAAAAAAAAATAACCTTTAATAAAAATCCTGACCTACAGAAAGAAAAACTTTTGTCTAGATAGTATTGACAAATAATTTTACAAAAAAATTAGACAGATGGTAAATATTACGTGTAAAAAAGTGTTTGAAAATGGCCAAGTGGCCTAAACATTATAGAAATATATGTTGATATAACTAAATAAAAGTTTTTTGATATTGATTAAATAATTTTGATGTGTTATATATTTTGGGAAAAATGGGTTCAAAAAATTGTTAATTACTGTTAGTTAACTATTGATAAAATTTATATTATAACATGAGTTGGTAAGATATTTGGTTTTGTTGTATTATATGGTTAATTTTTAACAAATTCCTTTACCATTAATTTCTTTCAACTTAAATAATGTTTAGTATTTAAAGATTTCATTAAAATCAATCTTTAGAAATGTTTAAGCATACGGCGTATAATGATTTTCAGCATTTATACCAGCATGCTTATGAGAATAATGAACAATTATTAACAGTATCATTAACATTTTAGTGCTTGTAGGCAGCGTCTATTTTTTTTATTCCTTTTATTGTTTCTGATTCCAGATAATTCAGCCTCATGTATTTATTATTATTAAAAAACAAAAACAGATTATTTTTTAACCTCTCTCTCTGGAAAAAAAATAGTTTTAACTATTTAATTTAAATAATATTTTAAATATTTAATTAAAACTTTAGGTGTCTAGTTTTCTCTATAATATGGAAGGAGTAGTTTTCTATACTACTTGGAAGGAGAAATGGACAGAGATTCTTTAAATTTTCAAGTTTTAGGAAATTAAAAACGGCCTCTGAAAATTTAAAAATAAAGCAATTTCAATCACTCATTGCTTAGGTGCTTCTTAGGATTGTCGATGAAGAAAAGCCTTAATGAAGAACCCTTAATTTAGTTGTAAATACTGGCAGCATTGCTTGAAAGAGAAATAAAAATTATTTGCTTATTACACATTATAAGTTTCTATCTATGTTGTAAGATTCAGATTCAGCTACCTCAAAAACCTCTGATTGTTGATTTTCAAACATTTAATTTATCTCTAAACATAATAAATTTATCCATATGATACTGTACTGAACTTGCCATATTGAATTAATAAAATAGCCTAGATTGCTGGGGAAAAGAACTAAACCATTTAAATATTAATTTAGGGTAAATCTAATTTAGTTCAATGGTTGGGTATAAGTTATTTTGTGAATTTGACAAAATCCTTTGACCAACCCAATAAAGAAGATTTAGCTAAGGCCTTGGGAGAGCTGGGAGTGGACATGGGATTCAGAATAGCTATTGAAAGCCTTTAAAGAAGAAATAAACATAGTGAGAACGTCCAATTGCATCTCAGCAGCAACAGTCATTATTGGTATGTGACAAGGTTGTTGTCTCAGTCCTCTCCTATTGTGCTCCTGAACTCAGCTCTGAAGAAAGCCAAACCTCGGATGAGAGGTTTTCATCTCGGCTACCGAAATCTAACACCAATGAACTACAAGTTAATGGCATATGCTGATGACCTGGAGGTTTTCGGGAAAGATGGTAGAGCTTTAGTATAGCATTATGGTCCTAAAAAATGAACTGATAAAAATAAACATGCAAATAAATGAAGATAAAGTAAAGTAATCAGGATTGGAAAGTTCTGGGATTACAATTTACGTATAGTCTGTGTAAATGGAAAAATAATAGAACTGGTAGATAGCTTTAGTTGTCTAAGAGAAAATGGACTTATAGATATGGAGATCAGAAAAAGAATAGTGTCAGCTGGAATGTTTTTCAACACTGTTAAAACAGGCTTCATTAGCAGAGAAGTATTAACAGGGACAAAGTTGGCTATATAGAAAAATACTTTCATCCCAATACTGACGTATTCCAGTGAATGTTGGACCATTACAACTGAGCACAGGAGTGTACTGCAGGGTGGCCGATAGCAGGCTAACGCATGTGCACAGCACTACCATTGCCTAGCAACCAGATAAATAGACACTAGAACAGATATGATAAAATAATTATAAGTTATTGTCCTGGTGCCTGAGGGACTTTAACTCCGGCCAAGGAAAATCCCTGTATCGCCTAAAAGATGAAGAGGTGGACAAAAAAAAAAAAAAAAAAGTACTGCAGAGATTCAAATTCAGAATGGAGAATTGAAGGTAAAAATAGGCGAGACTGAATCAGGAATACCACAATAAGGACGAACCTCAATGTAAACCCTATAATAACAGTGATTGAGGAGAATCAACTCCGATGGTATCGACACTCATCATGGTGAATGAAAATACAATAGCCAGAGCAACCTACGAGACTCAGGTGGAAGGTTTTAGACCAAGAGGAAGACCAAAGAGAAGATAGGAGGAAGCAATAAAAGAAGCATTCACAAGCAGGGAGATGGATTTGGAGAAGGAGAAGAGAACTGACGGGAGAGAGAGAGATGTATGGACAAAGCACAGCAAACATAACACTGCAATGGCAGTTGACACAGGCTGGACAAAGAAGAAGATTTGGTATAAGATTTAAACAAAAAATATTTGTTTGGCATTTCATTCAAACCTTTGTTTTTCTTTCTGTATGTTCTGGTTCATTAATGTTTTAAAAAAAATACTTAAAGTCTGCCTATTGGGAGTATTTTGTATAATAGTTTCTCCTTCCAAGTATTTTAAAAAAAAATCTCTTATTGTGTCATGTTTTAGTACCATTGAATGATTATACACACTGGTATGGGTTAACTGGGAAAATAAATAAACCAATAACAAAACTAAATTTAAATCAATTTTATAAAACATGTCCTCATTCTCATATAGCACTCACTTCTTATAAATAAAATAAGTTATAATTGTATTTACAATATTCTTTCTTAAAAACTAACAAAATATTTACACATAATCTTTAAAAATTTGATTTATAAATTTGAATTGAATACTCCACTCAAGGTTCTGGTATAAATATTAATTATGAAACAAAATATTTGTTTGAACCCCATGTGTAGAGCTTGATTCGTTTTAATCCTAACATGACTTTATCCATTTATTTAACATACATGGTACCCACACCAGGTACAGCACCACACAGCCATCTAAGTAAATATCTTAGTTGTGGACTTATTTGCCGAATTGTAGTGGCATTTGCCAATTTTAAGGCCAAATTTTCAAAACTTATTTTAATCCACAACAATAATTTATGCACTTAAAATATTTTGTCAATCCACATTGACAAAAAATATGTATATAAAATTTAACTTTACTATTCAGACAAATTAAAACAAAATGTCTTTTTTTGTTTTGTTTAAATTAATACATATTATGATTCACAATCTAAATATACATTTAACCCAATTAAATTAGTCTAATTAAAAAAATATGAAGTTCTTTGATTTTACTTGTTTCGTAGCAAAAACAAAGAACTATTAAAACCTTTTAGTTTACAAAAGGAAATCATATTGATTATGAGAAAACAATATTTGTATTCCTACATGTAATTTTTTAAACAAAATTTAAAATTTTCAAACTGGTGTTGTCTCTGGTAACATTGTAGTTGTTGGCATATATGTTGTTTCTTGTGCTTGCGTAGTTGATGTATTATCCTCTAACAATATATCGGGAAAGGTGCCTGATTCTCCATTCAGCTCAGATTCTACTGTTGTTGTAGGAAAGGTACCTTCTGGTGGTATAGTTATTTCAGAACCAAAAATTACTTTGTCGATATAAAACATAGTTCCAAGATTGTAAACAAAAATTTCTTTTTCTACAATATTTGCCTCTTCGATCGTACCATTCGTTCCTTAAAAGCAGAAGAAAAAAATATAATACTATTAATTATTCACTTCATAAGTAGTAGAATGGATGTTATTGGATTATTATACATATACCTAAAGAATTATATAATCAATATACTTATCAATTTACCAACCTAATAAATAAATAATATTCATCATTGAAAATAAATAAATATATATATATATATATATATATATATATATATATATATATATATATATATATATATATATATATATATATTCAGAACATATTATATCAGTTTCTCATGCTTCTCATTTTATCATGCTCTAAGTATGAAAAGTGATTGGTAAAAAAATAATCCCTAACCTATGAACTGGTATTGGTAGAGGAGTTAGTTTGATATGTAGACCTGTAGTTCTTTTATAATAACTACATGCAGTGACAGAAAGGTTGGCACTAAATAATTATTAACTATACTAAATAGGAATCAAACTGAGGGCCATAAGTAGGATTTTTTGCAGAAGGAAGGAGCTTAAGTCTTCCTTTCTTCAGCTATATCAAAATTGTAGCAGATAGCTCAATGTGAAATCTGGAATTGAGTCAAGAACGCTGAGGAAGTAAGAAATGCCTGGGCAGAAGGGACTCTTTATTTGCTCACGAGGGAAGATAGAGGCTCCTCCATAGAAGAAGATCCAGTCTGCTTATGCTTACTTGTTTTTGAGTACTGTAGAAACTCTAAATAGCAGACCGTCACGGAATGAGTTATCCTGTGAACGGCTTACTAGCTTGGACCTTGTGCAATATGTTCCAAGGTTAGTCTTGGAATATTTGTGTGACCACAACATTATTGAAAATTATCATTAACTATTGAAGAGTGGAAGGCTGGTTGAAGAGAATGACCAATTTTTTTCAGCCTTTATAAAATGTCGTAGGAGCCAACTCCCATATTGTTCACATATTGCCTATAGTTTAAGTATTGTCTTGATCATTCAAGTTTTGTGATTTATGTCTCCAACAGTTTTGGTAGTATATTATTGATTAATTTATTTTGTAGAATATATGATAGGGTATATCCTTGGCAGGCCCTTTTATTTTTAATTTTTTGTATGAAAAATGTTATATATATAATTATGTGATTTCTTACACATATTTTTTGCATATGTTATAGAATAGAATAGAAGAATCAACTTTATTCTGGGACAAAGTCCCTTAAGAATAACAATTTTGTACATAAAAATTAACATACCATCTGGCCAAAATATATATTACAATAAAAAAATAACTAAAAACTAAGTAATAAAAGAATTATTTACATAACTATAAAGATATATTAAAGAAATAATATGAGCAATATGGTCACAATACTGCAAAATAGTTGCTACAAACAATAAACTTTGAAATTTGAAATGAATGATAAATTACTTGTGTTGGATACCATGTGTTGTATACCATTGAATTAATGAAAAAAATAATAATAAAAGAGCATGTAAATATTTACTGTAAATGATTTACAGTTGTACTCTAATGTGTTCAAATGAATACAATAATAGTATTGTAGACATTATAAAAGTCTTATATAATCTATACCCTAAGCTGTCGATTGATTGGAGAAAATAAAATATGATACACATATAGAAAAGTGCATTCAATATTAGTAATTAATTAAATACTGTTCAAAGACTTAGAATCTTATACATTGAAAAACTGACTAAAAAAACAATTCTCAGCGAACGTGACTGGACATCTTTTCATACTCAAAAAAGAATATATATTTATATACAAATGATGCACAGAGAAAAATGTAATTTTGTTACATGATAAATGGCTACCCAGCGTCTGATTGAATTGTAAGGAGGAATTGGAATAAGAGGGTTTTAAATATGAATAGGGATGGTGCATGGTGGATTTTAAGTGGGATAGAATTCCAAAAGGTGGTGGAGCGGACAATAAAGGAGTGTTGAAATGAGGCAGATTTGTGGAAAGGGGTATAAAGGTCAGAAGGACGAGATCTTGTGGAGAGGGAGTGGATAGACGACTTGAATTGAAGGAGATTGAATGGGTAGGACGGACGATGGTTATAGATTATTTGGTAAAGGAATGTACCTAGGAAATATTGTCTTCTGAAGGAGGGAAAGAGCCACTCTAACTCGGTGTAGTAGTGAGAAACACGAGGATGTCTCGGGGTTCCATTGACAAATCTTACTAAGCCATTCATGATTCTTTTCAGTCTGTCTCCAAGTTTATCTGTCTATAAAAGATTTTAATGATGTTGGGTTTTAAGGATGAATTTAATATTTGGTATGGGGCCAGGGAAAGTTTATTCCTGGACTTCTTGTTTATCTCCATAGTTCTGATTTTTGGGAAATGTTGAAAGTAAATATTTTCCTATGAAAATTTTGCCTACTTGAATTTATGCTATGTGAACTAACATAGCTATCTGTATCAATAGTAGAAACTGGAATAATACAACTTTTTAAGTGTATTGATTAAGTCTACTGAAACAAAATATCGCTAACATTCTAATCAATGATATTGAAGAAGCGATTCTGTCTTCTTGGATACATCTTAAAGACATTATGAGGCTTGACGTAAGAGAGACAGAACCGAACTCTTCTATCAATATACTTACAGATGGCAGTAAGGATCAAGAAAAGGTAGGATCTGCTATTGAATTCTTTGACGGAGGACAGCTATTACATACACAGCATTTCAGGCTAAGACTTACTGTTCAAACAATTAGGCAGAATCTTTTGTTATGTTACAGACCATAATCTACATTAAGAACTGTGACAACAAGACTAATTATTGTATACATACTGATAGTAAATTAACAATACATAAACTAAAAAACATAAATATACATGAACACTTTGTCGAGGAAATCAGGCAAGCATTGATCTTTTGCTACAGCCAAGGTATAAATGTTTTCTTAAAATGGATAAAGGCACACACTGGTATTTTTGGGAACTAGCTAGCGGATGAAGCAGCTAAGATTGCAGCAAGGGACAACGCACTCCCGATAATATTCAACAAGGCACCGACCAGCGTGGCTAAATATTTCCTAAGAACAGCAACAAAACAAGCGTGGGACCAAATCTGGGTGACATCAACAAAAGGCAGACACACTTAAGACTAGATTAAAAATTTAGCAGAAAGAGCCAAAATAAAAAAAATATCCTATAAACTAACACAATATTTGACAGGACACGGAGTAGTCAAAAGCTACTTATTCAGACTCAAGTTAACTGACAACAAAATTTGCAAATGAGACTACAACAGTGAGCAAACATACGACCATTTACTGTATGATTGTACTAGACTGGGTAAATACAGACACAAATTGGTCTCTGCTGTCATTGTGAATGGATACCAATGGCTGCCTTCAAAGGAAGATGTGATTGAAAAATATTTCTCAGAATTTGAGGCATTTGTGGAATATATTGAATTCTCTGAACTTAATAATTAAACTGTTTCCTAACCATTCCTTAATAACACTACCTAGATCAATTGTTTTACTAAATTATATTATTCATTGTAAATATTGTATAAAATCCTTAATTCCTATCCTGAATCTTTATCCATTGTTTTATTCTGCCATATCACATTTCTGTTGTAAATATTCTACCTATCATTATCTAATCCCTTACCACTTTTTCATTTCAATTATTTGTGTATCATATTTAATTACTTCTCTTTTACTAATATAATTTGTTATATACAGTTATTTATTTTATTTTATAATTATTTAAAGTATTGCAATGTATCTGTATTGTGTTACTTAAACCAGCCATGTATCTCAATACACATTATGTCGCAAGATGGTACGCATAGAAATATGTGCAGTCATTACAGGGTTACTATAATGTGGAAAACAAGAAAAGTGTATTGATGGAATACTATAATTTTATTATGTTCATTGACAACAGTAGCATGGTCTATCACAGATTAATAAGCAATGATTATATAGAAAATACCAAGAGTTTAATAATAACTTTGTATGTCTACTAAGTATTTATATTTCTATCTTATACCTAATTCATTACAACGGTTGAAAGTAAACTCTTATGCTATCTCCTCTCACCTACGCGAATACCAAGTTTGGTGTCAGTTGAAAATCAACACAAATCTTTCTCATTGTAACTAAAAGTACAGTTTTGTAAATTGATTTCTAAATCAGAATAATGAGGGATATAAGAAAGGGTCTCAGGACTTTTAAATGGCTCAACTGATCTCAACAATATTTTATTATTATAAATAACATATGACTAAACGAACACTCTCCCTATTTGGGTTTGAACCATTAAGCAACTGGAGGAATGACATGTTGAAATCAAGAAAGGAAATCTGATGGGGTATATTGTATAACATTTTTTTTTGTATTTAAAAATATTCTTAGCTTATTTTTTCCGCATAAACGCATTAATTTCTAATTATACAATCATCTGCAATTTTCTATGTAGGAAACAAACTATTTTTTTTATTAATTACTCTGTCTTAAGATAATCAAAAGTTCCTGTAATAAATAAAATATTGTGTAAAATCAAATATGTAGTATTTACTGTGTAAATGAAAGTGGCAGATTCTATGCTCTTACTATTTTTGAAATCTTACAGAAAAATATCAGTGTCCCAAAGTAGAAATAAATAATATATAAAGTAATCTTGGTTATGTTAACAAAATATATACACATCCATGTATAAATGTTTCCATTTTTTATATTACATGTAAGCCCCTTCATATACAACATACCTTTGTCTGATAAGCTTGAATTCCATACAGAAAAAAAATGTTAAATTATTGGATGATACAGTTTTTCATATGATTCTATATTCTAATATACGTACCAGGTTTTCTGTAGATATGAAGTGTTCTACCAGAAAGAGAAGTAAATGTAGAATTGTTTTTGATATCTTTATCATAAAGTCTTCCTTTCACAAAGTGACTCAATAGGATTTCCAAACCCTCTTTGCTTGAGAGAAGGTTATCTGGAGCAGATTCTAAGTTAAGAGATTTAAATGCTGAATCCATTGGAACGAAAAATGTGTAGCCTGCAAAATAAATAAAAAATTAATTTTATGAGAGATGATTAGTAGTAACTAAGTCATTTTAAAGGGCATAAAAATACTTAAACTATGTTTGATAATTTACTATTTCAAAAACATAGTTCTTTTAATGACAATATATGAAAAGAAATACTATTTTTTCATACTGTTTAATCAAAGAAATATTTTTTAAACTTAATATTTCACCTTATAAATTTTGTAATTTAACTCTGATAAAAAAATGAAAACTATATAGCAGTAGGAATATTGATTATTAGAAACTTATCAACATTTTGATATCCTGGGAAGAAGTACTATAAAAAATATTTTGACCTGTCCTACAACCTTGTTTTGAATCAAATTGGAGGCTGGAATTAAAAATGCCATCTCAAAAATCAGTATACTTTTTGTCATAATTCCTGAGAAAGGTGGGATAGTGTATCTACTGGAAATGAAAGATTTGATGCTTATTCATTTTATTTTTACTAATATTTTGTTAATTTTTTATCAATTTTAGTTATTACTGAAATGAAATGAAATTAACTTTTATTATACAAAACAAAGAAAGAAAAAAAATGGGTCCAATAGTTTCGAAGAAAATGCGCGGACGGCGGATGGACAAAACATTTTTTATTCGTTTTTTGAATTCTATGTACCCTGAAATGCAAAACCTCAAATTTTGTGAGGAGTTTAACTTTTTATTCGATCACAATGGTTCATTATTGAAAATAATAAACCAATATAATACAGTGTACTTATAAATTAACTTTTATTATTTTTTTCTGAATTTAAGTTATATAAATATAAATAATATATATAGTAGCTCTTTGATAAACAGTTTATTTAACTACTATATGTTCTATTAATTTGAAAATGTTTCGCACTAACCTTCCTCTATTATTTAAGAGGAGTAAATGGTCTTACTCTTCCCTTACACTTGCCAAGGTGACCAACCCTACTGGGAAGTTATTATTATTGGTTTATAAATATATAGTTAGGTATAGAAAAGAAATGAGGAAGAAAGAATAAAAAATGGATAGGTCCAATTTAAATTCTCAATTAAGAATTATAATCTGATTATTCATGCCCCAGGTATTTTTTATTTATTTCCATTAAAGTTCATCATTTATTTGTCGCAATTGTTGTTATATCATAGATACAAATGCTAACTGTCGAATCTGAAAATCACCATTCCAATTTCATTATCAATTCAGCCCAAATAACGAGGATGTTTTAATTTCCACACTAATATCTGCTTTTATGAATGTTTGAAGATTTTGTATTCACTCTTTGAAAATATTTAATTACAATTACAATTGCTATAGTGCAGGATTGAAAATTTTTATATTTGATAGCATTGGTATCGACAATATGTCCACTTCATACTGCTATATTGTTTATTCAACCTAATGTGAAAACCAAATAGTCCATTTCTTTGATGGGTATATTACTAAGAAGAAATAGTATAGTATTGAAAAAAGTTAATTTTTTTTTACTATACCTTGGCCAGGAATATGAGGCACCAAATCAGCTACATTAAGAAATCTTGTGATATGAGTAAACCTTCTGTCAGATTCGAGTAAAAGGAAAGCATGTGACAAGAACTGTGCTCCAAACCAGGGAAAAGCAAGAAGAGGCGGTGTTTCTTTGTCCCTGTGTCCTTCATGTAATTTGTGGACAACTCCTTCATCCACAAATAGTACCTCTGTTACAAGCATGATGTTTCCTCTGGATAACGGTGTATCTCCACCAACTACTTCAACACCATTGGCATAAACAGTACCAGCTGCTAAAAAAAAAAAAAAAAGTATATATATATATAGATATTTACATTAATTTTATAAATGTATGCAAACACAAAATAAAGATTTTATAAAGCATACCTGTTTTTTGAAAGGTGATCTCTCTGTTCCCCAGTGTCTTTACTACAATTGGAGTTGTACCCATGTTTTCTTGTCTAACATTACCATAGATAAAATGGTTTGTGAGGATGCTATCAGTAAACTCAGGAACAGAAAATGGATAAAAACCCCAATCAATAGGATGCCATCGTTGGAAAGCATGATCAGTTGGGACAAGAACAGTATAATCATCATCTGAAAACAAAATTTTTAAAATGTTTAATACTTTTAAGAAATCATATTAATAAAATAGTTAATGAAAACAGATTTTCTAAAAGTGTTATTAAGTATTAAACTAATTTGAAATTAAATTTACCTTGTTTCAAAAGTTTGGTCACATTGGTTCTTCCAAGAAGATGTTGAAAGACCCTTACTCCTGATTGAAGGTAAGACAAGACCTCATACATGTCTTGTAAGAAGCTATGGTCTCCAGTCATATCCTCGGGAAACAGATAGTTATCCAAGATGATCAATCTCCCATTCTCCACGTCTACTTTATCTTCTTGTACTTTAGCACCATTAGCTACCAAGCTGCCTGCAAAAGAAAAAAGAAAAGGTATGTTAAAAAAATAGTACATTTTTTATGTTGCCCATTAAACATAGTTGAACATAAACAATATTCTCATTACCCTGTTTATATTTAATATTGAGGGTTCTGCCTCCAAGCGTTGTCACTCTGAGATCTGCTCCAATTCCAAGGTCCAATCTTTGTCCCAGTACCACATGATCCAGGAGTAACCTTTTTATTGAATCCGGATGAGAGCGGAGGCGGTCTGTAGATATTTGCAGGGATGCATTGTTGCGTGGAGCCAAAATTGTGAATTGTTTATCTGCAATAAGACAATCATAAATTTACTAAAAAAAAAATTAAAATACTTTTAGAATATCCAAACTAAAATGTAAACTAATAGAACACTTATCAAGCAACAGAAATATGATTATTTTAATATATAACAAATCATTGATACTTTAATTAATTAAACAAGACTTCAGAAAACCATTAACAAAATGTAATATCGTAATTAAATATTTCTATAAATTCAAAGGTTTGTGTGAATTTGATAAATATGAATATAAGCTCTGGAAGAATAATTTAAGTCCAAAAAATAAATAAGATTTACTGGCTTCAGTAGTAATATGAACTCTGTTTTCTCAAAAGGCAAGGCAGGAAGAAACAACTAAATTCAAAATGAAAAACAAGATGGATTTTTTGGCAATATATATGTAGCATCTATCTTAATAGCATAGATGGGGTGACCAGGGGCGCGCCTCAAATTGGAAAAAAATATAGAAGCCAATTAACAGAGAACTCAATTTAAATAAGAGTTGACTAAGAAATTATGTAGTTAGAAAGTTTTAGAAAAAATATACTAACAAATAAAAATTTCCTCTCAATTTACTAAATGTAGATAATAATAAGTGCTTTCATCATAGTCTAACATTGTAGGGTAACCTTAATATTAATTTTGTTTATAGTTCAAAGAGAAAATAAAGTGTTGGCTTTTGAATGAATTTCTATCAAAAGTATTAGTTCATGTCTATTCCGTGGTGAAGATCAGACAGATACATTAGAAAACATACCTCTCTTCCTCTTCAAAAATTCACCCTATAGCTTTATTTACAAGTTAACACCCAAACGAATCTTGTCAGTTCCGTTTGTCCAATTCTAAGTGTTGAACAAAAGTAGTATGTTTTTAAATAGTTAACTAATGAATTATTTGTGTTAGTATACTCATGCCATAAATAATATACTTCCTCCAGATTTTTACAGATATGTAACAATAAGGGATGAACACAGTCTATGCATTTTCGAAAATTATTGCACAAAAGATTTGGACAAGTTAATTGGAGAAATTATAAGGCTACACAATTACACAAAGGTCTCATTGTGAGAATTTTTATTTCTCTAAAAGTCAATGTGCACTGTGCTGACTGGTAAATCTCCAAGGGGTGACCGAAACCTTTTGGTTCTCTAAGGCTTTTTTACTATTAATTTTATTTAAAAAAGACAATCATATTTTATAAAAATCATTGCAAAACCAATTTTTAATGATTTACATAACAGAAGTTTTGTTTAAAGTTTGAAATTTACTTCTACCTCATCATTCATATTTCCATCCCTATTTAAACATAGAATAAGAGGTTTGTAACCGATTTGAGAAGTCAATAGGACCACTAAGTCCAAGCAATGATCTCACACACAGCACATTATTTATGTTTCGGGATTTAGGTAAAACAGTGGTAAAAATGGAAGAAAAAGGTGCTCACCAGCAAATGGAAATGATCAGTTTGTGTTAACTGAAGACTCCTTAACACTGATATAAGGTAAAGGAAGAGAACGCAGAAGAACCATAAATAAATACCACAAGAACATTGAAACCTGTTAAGTATTATTTTTTATTTCCGTTTTTCTGGGATGAAATTTATTTTATGTTTTACCATTTTTAACTAGGACACAAAGATGAAGGTATAAAAATCAGAATAATATATTTCAAATTTTATTCTAATAATAATAATAATTTTAGCACTAATTCCGATATCGTTGCTAATGTATATTGAAGAGGATTTATTGATCAGGAAATTAGTGATGCTTTAGGCTGGACTTGGTTATCCCATTTCCTCTCCTACTCAAGCTGTGCTGGTTTCGTCTATCAGAGTGAAGGCGTTCCGTTTATGCAGATTTACTCAAACTGGGGTGTATATGGAAATATGTAATTTTTTTATAATTTATTTTTCAGAAATATTATAATCTGTCACAATTAAGGACATTTATAATAGTGTTCAGAGAGCACATTCACGCTCTAAGAGTAAAGAATTTTTTTTTTTTCCTTGATTGGTTTCAACGATTCTTTCTGAATAATAAACCAAACATGCTCACAATACAATCGACTGGATCTTTGCTAAACATTGTCCAATTTGGATGAGTCATTTTAGTTTTGAAGGGAATTTAGAAACTTATCAAAATATATGTTATATAGCAATCTTAGGATATTTTCTGTGTTATGCACAAATAAAGTTTCCTTTTCTTCATTATTTTACTGGTTGTGCTTATTTTTCACATCTGAAGGAGCAAATAATCATCAAAATGATGGCTGAATGAAAGTCAAAATGATGGTATTGGATTTGATGACGAATTGACGAGAATATTGTGTAGCGACAAAAAACTCACCCTTGAAGAATAATACATTATACAGGACGGTCCCGATAATCCACGAAAGAATAAAGTTAAAGTTGACGGATAAAAAAGATTATTTCTAAAAATCTTCATATAATGTACTTTGAGCCTATAGTCCAAATCAATGAATGCTCGAAAAGTGGGTATAGAAGGAAATGACGGGGACACAAATTTTGACTTTGGGACATTGCTTGGACTAACAAGGAAGTAAACATACTAAAAGTCACCACTTAAAGGTGGTGAAACAGATGTGGGGGGGGGGGGGGAGGGGCTAGTAAGTCATCCGGTTTTCGCTTTTATCAGGAAAACTATCCATCGGATCGACAAAGACATTCTATACAAAATGAAAGCTATGGATTGTTGATGTGATGGATAGTTTTCCTGATATAAAACACGAAAAATGTGATCGTCTAGGATCACCTCCCTCCTCCCTCACATCTAACACACCACAAAGGAGTGGAAACTTTCAGTATACTTACCTCCTTACTAGTCAAAACAATGTCCCAAAGTCAAAAATTGTGTCCCCGCTACTTCCTAGTAAATAATCCTATAATTCCTAGTAGGAAGTATATACACATTTACAGTGTTATCGATTTACAATTTTATAGGAACTGAATAGATAATAAATGATTGAACAAGCGGGATATAAAGGTAGGAAGGGTATTGGATTGGCGGATGTGGGAAGGGATGGAGTTCCATAGGGATGAGGATCGGATAATGAACGATCTTTGGAAAACAGCGGTTCGGTGGGCCCTTATGTATAAATCAGAAGACCTGGAACGAGTATATCGGGAACGAACAGAGGATTTGAATTGGAGGAGCTCGGAGATGTATGAAGGTCAGTGGGATTGGATGACTTGAAAGAGGTAGGATGCCTGGAAATACTTATGACGTTAGGAAGAATAAAGCCACTTCAACTCTTCATAAAAACGGGTAACAGAGGCGTCCCTTGGGACCCCGAAGATGAATCGTACAAAGTAATTTGTCAAACGTTTTAGTTTCGCTTCGAGATCCCCAGAGACGTACCCATATACCGTACAGCAATAGTCAAAGTGGGGAAAAATTAAGGAAGTGACTAGGAGCCTACGATACGAGTCATAAACTGATTACTGAGCTAGTCCTTATGTATGGCGTTCTATCTCTTCTTCCCATTCCACGCATTCAACACTGATATCATGTTACACTAATCTTCGCTTCTCCCTCAATATTTTCTTAGTTTTATTTAAGCCTTTCGAACCAATTTAACGAAGCACCCATTCTTTGAAATATTCACTAAAGAGGAAAACATAATTAAAACATGGAGGATTCGTTATATAAGACAGTTGAGGTGGTATGGACGCTAGAACGTCAACACCTGACACAGTGGATGCCAAGGAAGTGCAGTGCCAGTATAGGACCTATTAGCTGGGAATGTGGGGGTCACTGCCCTGGGTCCTCTGTCAGGTCCTCTTCGGCTAGGGTCTTCATTTAATAAATTATTGTCCATTAACACGAAAACAGCTAGGGGTAGAGGAAGGTCTAAAAATGAAGGAACCATCAGAGAGAAAAAAAATCTAACGACTGTTCAACCGGCAATTGTGGTACCGGAAACCTAACCTTATTATTAAAGAGAACGAAACAAAAACATAATGGTTACCATAATAACGAAGTAGAGAAACGTAGAAAATCCGAAACATCAGTTAATGAATCAACAGCTTAAAATAAAAGCAAATAGACTACTACAAAACATCACAATTTTAAAGTCACGAACGAGTAGAAGTAAAATTAAATTGAGGCAATGATATGAGCAGGTTGTCATGGATTATATATAAATTTTCGTTTGTATAAACAAACTCGTGCCATATTATATAGAGCAATGTCAAACCTAAAATTTAACAAATCATTAAAGTTTAAAAATAAATGATTTTCAAAGGAAGGGCAGACAAATCCCCTCTCTCTCCCCCTTATCTTAAAAAAAAAAATGAATCTTCTTTCCCTTCCAATGTAGAAAACATTTAATAAAATATAGCAATCAATTTAAACAATGAATTTCTGGTAAATGATCAACAGCTATAGGTCGGTTGTAGGTATTTCAACATTTTGAAAGAAAATAAATTAATTATGAAATAAAGACTAATTTTCCCAAACTCAACTTAATTCTTCATCACCACCATCTCCAGTAAGCACGGGCGGATCTATGGGGGGGGGGAGGGCTTTCGGGCTGAAGTCCCCCCAAAATGAAAAAATATAATCATGTTTTATGGGAAAAAAATTAAAAAAATACCTCTTAAAGTATTATTGTTCGTGTAATTACATTTAAAAGTACTTAAGGAATAACTTAAACACCATTTCATATAGGTAGTTAGTTTCTTTCTGTTTTTCCAAAGTAATTATCGTTATTTTTATGAAAAAAAAAGGTTTCGGGCTGAAGCCCCCCCCAAAATAAAATCCTGGATCCGCTAGTGCCAGTAAGCTATTGTCTCTCCTTCGATTTTAAGCTATATTTAATATAGTTGATTGCAAATTTTTTTTAGAATTCAAGCTTATAGGTTTTCACGAGTACTTTTTAAAAAATCCATATTTTCAGGATTCTGTTTTTTTTTTTAGATTTTGATTGTTGTGACACGAAGATGTAACTTCATTCCCACAAGTTTTACCTGGAATAATTTCTTGGTT